TTGAACCCGCCCAGACCAGATGCACCAACATCAAGGCAGGGCTGCATCCGATTCTCATTATATTCATAACTGTGGTGAAAACAGAGTAATTAAAGGCACGAGTCATCTTTATACCAAAAAAAATCACTCTCAAAGTCATGGATTGCTCATCTGTAATGTGTGTGCTGTAATAACGCCCATTACAGCATGATGAGTTGGCGTTATGATTTGTACCCCTTTTACTTAAAATTCATTGCATCCGTTTGGTCATGGAAATGATTGGCTAAAATTGCATATTGGTATCAATATTATTGTTTCTTAATTCAATCTAATACATAATTCGGTGTGTACACCTATATGCTATGAATTTAAAAATCGGATTAAATAATGTGTCCCTCAATTCATCGAAATAAAATAGGGGTGATTTTTCCGATACACCGATTTAAAAAAAAAAAAAAAAATTGCCATTAATAATAGTTACGATGGGGTCCTAAGGGAAACCTCCCTTATTCGCTCTATATAATTATGATTGCGGGTTACCTTTCAAAAGAAATGGGTCTGGGCTGTCTGCCTCCAATCTTCCGCTGCAGACTTTCACTTCCATCTAGATATACGCACATTAAACAGTTTTACAAAATGTTACAAAAAAACACCCGTACTCTAGATTACATTTACGATGACATGAGAAAGAAGTTCAATGTAGAGATATTGCAGGATAAAATTTCACTCTACATTAATTATTATAAGTCATAATATTAACAATATCATATTGGGTGCTTATATGTGTTAGTTGTTTCAAGGAGGGGGAAAGGCAGTATTTTGATCGTGAAACTTCAATATTTTGGTTACTTTACCTACTTCGATAAATTAATAAATGAATGAATAACTAAGTAAATAAACAAGCAAACATTAGGATCACGTTACGAAATGAGGATTATGAAGCCCCCCCCCCCCCTCCTTCCCTCCTATCCTCCTATCCGCTATCGTCTTTCCCACTGTCCCTCCCACTGTCCCCTTTTCAACATCCCCGTCATCCTCCAATAATTTTGGAGTACGCCATTGAGCTTGGCTGGCCGAACCGAAACCGGACCTTGAACAGGACATGCAAACTTTCACTAATCACTTCAACTCGAAGAGGCTGGAATGATCGGAACGCGCATCGGACATCCCAAAAATAAATTAGATTAAAACTGCGCAAGTTAAAGGCATCATCGCTGCTGTCCACGCTCACAGGAGCCGACTCCTAAGTTCACGTTCTGTTTTAAAGATGTAGATGTTGTTGTCCTCATGGTTTATGCATTATAAATCTTCATCTAGAGAAGTATTAATATAGCCTATGCAGGTCTATATCTGATGCCAGGGCGGTCACTGCAAGAGGTACCTTTATAATTAGGCCCACACGCTATAGGGTCATAACATTCTGTTGTACCTTTCTCCAAAGGTGCAGATTTTGCTTTTGTTATAATTTTTGGATTATGAATCTTCATCTCGAGAAGATTTTAGCCGATTTTATATCAGTACGGTCACTGCCAAACATGTTTTAAAAGGCTACATCGTGATTTTACTGACAGCATGATGGAAGTTGCTTGGCAACTGCGCCATTCATTTCTGAGCAACATTAAATTTTTGCGAAGTTTGGACTGTCATCGTAGTGGAAAATTACTTTTAGTATTTCAACGTATATGGGTTGTAAGAGAGATGAAGGAATATATAATGATATACATGTACCTTAAGTTTTAAGTGTGCAAGAATTAGGGTTAAAATAAACAGATGTAAGTGAGGGCAATTTTCTTGCACACAATTCGAAATTGCAAAACTCGGCAAGGCAACGCAAGTGCTTCGATCGGAAACCAAATCTCTCGCGATATGTGGCAATGATAATGAAAATGTCTGTCTGCCATCGACCTTAGCCAAGTTAAGTGATTTCCTTTCCCCGTTGGCATACCAAACTAAAGTTCTGGAAGGCAGACAGAATTTCCCAAATAACCCGAACTTCCCCTCAATGACAATGATTAAAACAACAACAACCAAAAATAAAAATAAACATGCTGTTATCATCGAAGGCGCAGCATTTTGTTAGTTTTGAAACCATATCAAGTGAAGGACGGCTAGCTGTTGAGCCGAAAAAGTTGCATGATAAAAACAACATAAATTTGAAGCTCATTCGTGCGACTGAGTGTGGAACTGGTTTGCGTTACCGTTGTTTCCTCTGTAATAATACTTGTTTGACTATAGTCGTTTAACCTTTACAGACGAGACGATTTTGAAGACAAGCGAGTAAAAGAGGATAAAGATCTATTGTTGAACTTCCTTACAATTCGAGTCGACTCATTACACCTGTCATACTCTACAAATCTGCTTTGAATTGGATTAAATGAAAACTAGGAAGGGTGGAAAACAGGAAGCAATCGAATGGAAAACAATGTTCAATATTATTGCAGTCTGAGAGAAATGGGTGAGTAACTACGAAAAACAAAAATTCTTAAATGAAAAAAGATGATGTCTTTTATAGCAACGTTATTAATCATCGTTCCTGAAACGAAAGAAAAGGCTTTATAACGAAATCTTTTTAGTGCAATGATGAAAAATGAAAGTTTGTGATACGGTGAAGAAAAATTTGCAATCTGACTCCAAAGCCGCCCGTCGTGATCAAAATTGTTTATTCAAGTTCAAGTCTCCCGCGGTGACGATCGCATCTCTATCGCGGGACTTTAATCGGGATGAGTCGCGGGCAGTAGTCCGCGAGATTAGAAGACTCCATTTCTGGTATTGCTGGGCCGAATAAATTAATTTGATTTGGTCCGAGGAATCGGCGGTAAACCTGGTTTAAACTTAGCCAAACAATGGCAGGTGTTAGGTTCGTCCCAGAAAGTGGATTGCCGCGATGCTTGTTTTAAAAATCAATCGCAGAAGATTGGAGGACCACCGACAGGCGCGCTAGATTAAAGTGATGAGCGCCAGGCAGATGTAGCAGACGCCATTTTGGATGTTACACGCGCAGGAGATAATTGACTCGGTATCTTGTTAAGAAAATGTGTGATTTTATTTCTTTTCTTTGTTCAGAAAGGGTTTTATAATTGAAACCGTTTACTTTTCTAGGCAATAAGTGCATCACTAGTCTTTGTAAAAATATATTTAAAAAAAAAAGGGGGGGGGGGGGGGTAATTGCCGAGAGGATTATATGCCTGCTGGAGTGCTTGTACTTTTTAAATATCGGTACTTGTATTTGTATGTAGCTAATGGTACTTGTGTTCAACGGTGTGCCTTTGTTATACTGGGGACCCAGTTGCCACTTTTAAAGTCACATGTTATTTTTGTACTTGTCCGTCAGAGATTAAAGAAATTTGAAGTATAAATACAAACGTAGCCAAATAAACGTAAAAATAAGAGATATGCATATAGATCAATTAACACGGAAGAGTAGGCGCAGAGATTAGTGAAGTGAGGTGTAATATAAGATTAAACCGCTGCAGTGCTTCTCAGCAAACCAAGTTGTGTACCAATAGCTGTTCTTTCCTCTTTTTTAAGACTCTTCTTTGACATGGAGTTTGTAAGCTTTGTCCCAGTTCAGTGGGTTCGTTCTATTTGAACTGTCCACATTTTAGTAAGTCATATGGTTCATCTACCTTAAAGTGAAGACAATTCTTCAAGCATATAAATAATCGGGTGGCAAGTTTTGCCCGGACACAAGCAGTGTCTCAAATTCAAACTTTTTTCTTCTTCGAAAGCTCTGCATGGAAGGCAAAGAAAATCAAGAAAACGCCCATATTCATAGTCAGAAATAGATTTCAGTCGTTTGTTTGTAAGATGAAACTGCCTATTTCAGTCTAATTGAACTTCAGAAATAGAATGACAGTTCATACAACTGAAAGTAAAATTGATCGGTTGCACAGATAAGAGAGTGTTGTAGAGACACCTGATCCTGCCAGGGATCCGATTTAGAAGTCGATAAAAACAACCCTTAACCCCATCTCGAGTACGGTATTCTTGACTTTTATTTCTCCCATAATATGTCACGTATACATGGATGTCTGTGGTATTTTTAATTTTTCTGCATTTCTTGTATTTTTTTCATAATTCTCATAATTATTGGGCTTATGGATTGATTTATCCCTTTGTTGACTATATTTTTGTGATCATCTTTGTCATTTCGATCCTTGATGTCTGTGGTATTTTGAATTTTTCTGCATTTCTTGTATTTTTTCATAATTCTCATAATTATTGGGCTTATGGATTGATTTATCCCTTTGTTGACTATATTTTTGTGATCATCTTTGTCATTTCGATCCTTGATCTGATTTTGATGAAGAATTGTAAATCAATTTTATATTCATATTATATTTGAATCAATGTCTGTGAAGAAACAATAGTTTTGAGAGGACTACTTTGTAATCATGTGAAGTTTTTTTTAATGTCTTAGTGACACTTGGAAACAGAGAGCAAGCTTCTCCACCCAGTATTTGTGTGCTTCTGTAGTGAACAAGACATTTTTCTTTGGGCCTTTTTATGATTGTCATTTGCTAACATGATTTGAAATAAGTTCTAAAAGTGACAGCCATTTTTCGCCCAGGATATTATGGTATCCTTGAAAGTCTGAACGCAACATGGACATCATTAAAATGTGGTAGCAGCACTTTAATGGTAGTAAAAAATGACCAAGATTTTTTTTTTAGGGGGGGGGGGGGGGGTGTACCATGGTGGAAACCATTCCCATGGAAGAAAATGAGAAATTCAAGATACTTAATGCTTCAAGTAAATTTTGTGCAGGATACTGTCTCTGCCTTCTAAAAAGAATTTTTTGTACTAAGATAAGCTGAATCGCACTTGCACTTTCAGTGGTTTCATCATTCTTAAAGGTCATATTTCATTACTATGGAAGCATTTAACAGTTTTCTCTTCTTTTTCTCCTGTTATTTTACCTTCTCTTCCTCTTCATGTTCTTCACTTCATTCTTTGTCTCTTTCTTTCTTTCTTTCCATTCTTCTTTGTCCTCTCCACTCTTCTTTCTTTCCGTGCTACAGATGTCTTTGAATCGAACGAGAGGTTAGAGTCGCCTTCAGCAACTTATGTGAACACCACCTTAGCCAGCAACGCATCCTCCTTGGGCGGCCACGAACCTGCCCCGGCACACGCCCAAAGCCTCATCGATCCATACCGCGATGACGTCAACGGTGATGTGACGAATGTTGATCGAGGAGGTGATGGGGTGAGGGTGGCATTAGCAGTGGATGATATTACAGTGATAGAACCTACAACAGGTAATTGACGATATCATCACCAACAGTCCCATGTATTCATATGGATGTTATCTTCTGCCAAAGCACCTCAAGGGAACATGGCAACTCCCCATGGTTCCTCGGCCTATGCACCTGTAATTGATACCATAATGGTGACATTCATTGTCTAATAGCTTCCTCTATGACGGACCTCACTTCCACATCCCCTTCCCCTTCCCCTTCCCCTTCCCCTTCCCCTTCCCCTTCCCCTATTCTTCATGTTCCCACCCTTCGCTGTACCCCAAATGCACTTTAAGCGATATCATTCACCACGAAACAGACTTGATTGGAAACATGAGCTGGCATTGTTGCCATCCTAAAAGATAGGACCTGTAGAGTGTAGAGGATGTCTGAGAATTGAAAACACAACACTAATCAGGAAGCCATATTAATTTGACGTAATACGACTGAGCCCTCTCGAGCCTTACCCCAACATAGCTTCTGGAAAGCTCAATCCCTCATGCAATGGCAATGCATCACAGATGTTATGCGAGGTCTGTCGCATAGTTTTATTGAGGGAGATGCTAACTTTGAAATCATGAAAGTGTGCGATATCCGGGGCAAAGGAAATAGGCACGATGCTATCGTAATAAGTGCCAATGTCTAACGAGTCTTGTGAGGTAGATGGGAAGAGATAAATTCTTATTCTGGTTGACATGATGACGTCAATATTACATCATTCCTAACTGCCTCAAAGCATGTTTTACATCTTGAGAAAATCTTCCTTGAGGTGAAGGAACGGTGAGGAACAAGAATATGATCGTGATAAGACCTTGCTCCACACTCAAACTATAGATGTTGTCATAAGTTGAGGGGATACCAATAATTTATAGATGTTGTCAAAAGTAAAGGAGTACTCTTTGTGATAACAAAGTGATTCATAGTTCTTTCTCATACCTTGGGAGGTGCTTGCCCTCAGATTCTGGCAAGTGTTGAGTCCAAAATGAGGAGATGAACAAATTCCAATATAAGAACGTTTTTGAAAGAAATTTATTCAAACAGGGGGCACATAAACGTATTTAAACTTGATTTCTATGTATGATTCACTGGACGTTGCTGTTCAGGGGCACTTAACTGAAGGGGTTGGGAGCATTTCTTTATCATATGCAGCAGCAGCAGGAACCTTCTGAATACTTTAGTCTCCCCATCATTGAGAAAGATCATTGCTCCTGGTAGGTGTGTGGGTGGGTGTCATTTATAGGGATTCATGAGGGAAAATTCAGGGCTCAATTTTCGGATTTTCCTTTATTGACGTTGAACCTATTTAACAAAACCTTTCTTCCTTCCTTGTTCCGAGCGTGCAGTTGATCTGACCCTGACTAAATCCATTAACGTTTGGGTGGGAACTGAAATACAATGTTTTTATCCATGCATAGTTGTCTTTGTTTTGATTTTATGATGATGAATTGCTGCTGTAGATCATGAAAAACATGAATCAGACCTTTTTTAAAGATTCTATTCTAACTCAATATCTCAATTGATTGAAGACTAACATCTAGAATTGAGAGTTGAGAATAGTTTTGTATGAAAATGAAATAGCTCTGAAAGATGAAGAGAGGGAGGGAAACTTATCTCAATTGATTGAAGACTGACATCGAGAATTGAGAATTGATAATACTTTTGTATTGAAATGAAACTGCTCTGAAAGATGAAGAGATGGAGGGAAACTTATTTTTACAATTCAACAGCATAAGAAGACTTTTAAATACAAAGAAGGGAACTTTTAAGAGATTCAGACCTATTTAAAGATTCTATTCTAACTCAATGTCTCAATTGATTGAAGACTAAAATCGAGAATTGAGAATACTTTTGTATGAAAATGAAATTGCTCTGAAAGATGAAGAGAGGGAGGGAAACTTATCTCAATTGATTGAAGACTGACATCGAGAATTGAGAATTGAGAATACTTTTGTATTGAAATGAAACTGCTCTGAAAGATGAAGAGAGTGAGGGAAACTTTTTTTTAAACAATTCGGCAACACAAGAAGACTTTTAAATATGTTGAAGGGAACTTTGAAGAGATCAAGCCACTTGATAAACTCTATAATTATTTCATTCTGCACCTCTTCCCCTCTCAGAAACAAAACTCTTGGACCACAAAGGAAACGGAGACGCGGTCGTACCCATGCCCCTGATAAGGAAGGGGTTCCCTCCCCCTTTCCCGATTGGCTACAACGACGAGAATCTGCACAAGGGCAACTGGGGTCACAAGATGGAGTTCATGTGTGCAATCTTCTGCGTTATCTTCAACATCGATAGCTTCGTCCAGTTCCCATTTCTGATGTATGACAATGGAGGAGGTAATGAGAATAGATTTGAATGATTTTGAGGAATTAATTCCTGCAAAGTTTCCATTTACATCACCTGGGTGGAGTGTGGCAAATGTAGATTAATGTCTTACCAAAGGATGTTTATAGTGGTGTTGCAGGCAGGGACGTAAACTCCTTAGATCCACTGATCCATTAATTTGTTGATATATCAATTAGACAACAACACCTCTACATCATATGCAATATCGACAACTTGGAGTTGTCATGGTATAGGGGTTCATTCCCTTGACTTTCATTCGTAAGGTGAGAGTTTGAATCCCCGCCTGGCATCAACATCCTTTTGCAAGAGATTAATCTGCAATTACTGCTCCCCACCCAGGTGTATGAGTGTTCCGACAAAATTATTAAGTGCTATATCTTGGCCATTCTTGGGAATGTATAGGCTGGAAAGGGCTTTGAGCAGTTCATTATAACTTGAAAAAATGCTGAAATATCAGTTATCATATTATCAGTTTGTTTTTTGCGTCCATTTACCCTTCTTGATGTATGCTATTTCAGTTAAAAAAAGGAATTAAAAAAGTGTTTTAGTTGGAAGTGTTTTAGAACTCCACTCCACTGGGGAATTCTAAGTCTATTTAAGATTACTGTAAATACAACTTTATGGTATAATAATTATATAGCACCTAACACTTACTTTATCAGAAGTATTCATCATCATTAGTAATAGCTTTTTAATAGCTATTAAATGTTTGCCCATTGAGGGGATAAAGGACGAAAAGTTTATATTTTCAATGAGCGTGTGAAAACTTCACTCTTATGAGGAAATGTAATTCTAAATCAACTGATTACACAATAGTTTTTTTTTTCAATTCAATTCAATTTTGCTTTTATTGAGAAGAAAAAAGAAAAAAATATGGCAAAAGTCCAAAAACTAAAATTAAAATATTTACAGTAAAATACAAGAAAACATGATATGATAAAATGTTAAAATGTATATTGACGTATAGTAATTCAATAATCACTCAAAAGGAGAATGTGACTTCATGCATTAAACAGATAATGCTAAACAGCAATAAATACATAATACAAGTACATTTCAAGTTAAAGTGGATTTATCTTATACCTAGATATTCAGATTAGATTCACAATAGAAGTGGAGTATGAGTATGAAGTATCAATAATATATACATTCCAAGTGTGAAATATATTTGTTAAAAAACTAAAGAGAAATCAAATCATGAGGTAAAGTGGTTAATTGAAGTGGATTATTGTTGTTTTTATTTGCATAATCATACTCAAGAAGCGGTCTTATCTTTGACCAACGTAAATTGACAGCATAGAAGTGGAATGTTTCATGTAACAACGTTTTTATTCCAAAACGGAAATAATTTGTGTAAGGAAATTATAGAAAAATCCAAATATTGAATGGACTGGTGAAATGGAGGTACATGTAATATGTACCTAGGTATGGCTATAGAACTCAAAAAGGTTATATTTGCACACGTGTTACTTTGTAACTTTAAAGGACTTGACTGAATATCAGAATCCACTGTCCAAAATCTTTAAAAGAATTGTATGGATATTGAAGTGATATGCTTGTTCATTCCAACAAGTTAGAAACAATTCTCAAGCAAGAAAAAATATTGACACTGTTTTGAAGGTATAAGGATATTTAATCATAAAAAATACTGAATGGATTATTGCATCTCCAACCCATACGTCTATGGATTTAACATGCACATTGTAATAAAAAGCTATATTGTGTTGTTTTCACACTGGAACATGACTACAATGGTGTCATTTGAGCATGAAATATCCAACCCTTCACCAAGCATTCGATCATTAATCAACCTGAAATTGCTATTGACTAGAAATCGCCTGCCGAGCGCCAGGAAGGCGTTAATACACATCTTTTGACACAGTGTTAATGTCCTTCTGGCTCCGAACAGCTGAAATTATGTTGATTGTCAGTTTTTATAAAGACCCTGGTGATTCTTGCTTTTGTAAGGGTACTCCATGTAGATCTATCACTCTTAACCCACTTATGTACATGTAGCAAGGAAATATACATTAAACATAGAATACTGGAATAAAGCCAATGTTTCAAGTACACATGTGAAGTATTTGTTGTCGTTAGACTGTCTTGAAAGAGCCCTACAAGATCAGATGATATGTGTGCTGTTATTCTTTAGTTTAGAATTTCATTTTTAATTCCTGAATTCTCTGTTTTTTCCTCTTCTTTTTTTTTTAAAGATAAGGGTTAGACATCAAGTTAACTTGATGTCAACCTAATTGATTTTAATGTGATGAAATCAGTTGCATTGATTGAAATATTAGATGAAATGCACCACAAGCCCACCCCCCCCCCCACTCACTGTTATTTAGGGTACGCGTATGCATGTTCCCTCTTTTTGAGAGCGTTCCCCTATTTCGGGGTCGGGACTACAAGCTAGCAGAGTAAAGATAGCATTTTCGAAGTGGAAATGACTTCTTTTACAGTGTTGAACTTTAAGTCAAATAATTTATGTTTCTTCCTACTTTGTCTCTTCTGTTTTCTGTTTCTCTCACTCTCTTTGTCACTCTCTCCCTCTCTCTGTCTCTGTCTCTCTCTCTCTCTCTCTCTCTCTCTTTCTCTCTCTCTCTGTGTCTCTCTCTCTCTTTCTATCTCTTTCTTTCTCTATCTGTTTCTTTCTTTCTATCTTTCTTTTCTCTCTTTCTCTTCCCCTTATATTTTGTTGTTTCCCCTCCAGTGGTGTTCCTGATCCCATACATGATATAGCCCTGTTCCTGATGATCTTGTCCCTAGCTCCAGGTCCAGATTTGCTTTTTAAATGTCAGTCATTAAATCACACAATCCATTTCCCCCCTTTCCTATCTCACTCAGGATTTAATGATTCTTTCCTTCAACTTGTGTTCCTGATCCCCTACATGATAGCCCTGTTCCTGTGGATCCTGCTCCTTAAATCTGATGGAGAATTTTCAGATCCCATTTTCTTTCAGACAGTCAGTCAGTCAATCAATCAATCAAGCAAACCACGGTTCTTTTCCTTTTCTCTCATTCATTCATTTTCTTAATGATTCTTCCATCCATCCAGTTGTGTTCCTGATCCCGTACATGACAGCCCTGTTTGCATTGATCCTGCCCCTGGTCCTGATTGAGATATCCCTGGGCCAGTTCGCCAGCTGTTCGTTCCTGACCTGCTGGAAGTTCTGCCCGCTTCTGAAGGGTAGGTACAGGCAAGATTGGAACTGTTACGATATGCGATATCCGAATATCCGAATATCCGGTATCCGTCATAGTTAAATAAACAAGATGTCTACCATAACAATCTGCCGACTGTCTATTATCCTGATTTATCTACCAGTATAAGATGTTGACGTGGATCCTAATCAAATGATTGGTTGAAAGCGTACACCTGTACACCTGACCAGGCATTTATTTTGCCTAACGCGTAATTTGGATAATGACCGGTCATTAGTAAAATCATGTTTTAAAACATCATTTTATATAACAATTAAAACACAATCTTATAAAACAAATAATACACAGCATTTTGTTTGGGCATTAGTAAAATTACCCACACTCGGTACCTTCAGAACGGTTCAAACACCTTCGGCTACCGCCTTGGGCGTCTCAGACTGTTTCAAAGGTACCTTGTGTAGGTAATTCTTACTCATGCCCTCACTGCTGTGTATTATTTGTATATTACTAAGACCCTCAAACTCATCATGGTGGCAGTGGTGGGATCGAACCCACACCATCGAATCACATGAGAGGGAGATTCTCATAGAGAAATGTATAAAGAAACACACGATAACCATATAATGAAAGGTGCATTTGTGAAAGAAGTGCCCTGTTATGTACAGTGGTATCGTACACAGATTCTTTATTTAGTCGTTGTTAGGAATAATGCCCAACCTTGTATCTTGCTATACATCATTTACATATAGCTTTCATATTTTCACAAGAAAATCGTATTTACCTATGGTATTCATTCAAGCTGCAGAATTTAAACCTGATGAAAACTTGTACAATTGTACATAACAATCTTTTTCTGATTGCTTCAAGACAGCTTCTTTCATAATGCAATGTCATGACCAGGGGGGGCGTTCACAAAACTTGTCATCAGTGAGACATAACAGATGTTGTTATAAGCTACTGAAATCCTTGCTTCTGATTGGTTATCAGCAGATTTGTCACTGACATTTGTCATTTGTCATTGAAAAAAAAACTTTGTGAAACGGGTCCCAGAACTCGATCTTATCTTTGATTGCTTCTTGTTGCTTGATGCAGGTCTGAGTGTAGGGATGCTGCTGCAGCTTCTGGGCTTCGCCTTCTTGTGGGGGCCTTTCTCCGGACACAGTCTCTACTACATCTTCACCATCTTCCTCCCGGCCGATAACCTGTTATACACCTCCTGCTCCAACGCCTGGAATGACGATGTCGCACCCTGCCAGTCCGTGGTCCCTGCCGTGGCCCTCGCGCCAGGAATGAACGGGACTAATTACACCATGGCGGACGACCCGTTTGACGGGTCCTCGTATCAGGAGATGATATCGAACCTGACTGCAGTCACTCCGGAGTTTCAGTACTATAAGTAATTTGAAAACGTTTGAGTTATTTTTTTCTTCTTCTTACTCTTCCTGATGGATGGGTGAATTAGTGAATTTGTGAATAACTGAAGACAGATGAAAGATGAAAAGAAGAAAGTTTGATACATATTAATAGACATTGGAGCAATAGTTTAATCGCGTTCATTTTTTTTATCAAAGAGAGAAGAAAAAAATTGAAGCAGTACTTATTTGTCTATCATGTTTCCGTTTGAACATGAAAAAATAACACATTAGCTGCATTTGTTTTGGTAGAAGTTGAAACTACCTGTAAACATGAAGAAAAAAAACCACCTCCGGAGTGTGGTTGTGACACCATCAGAAACTTCACTTGTTTTTGCAGTTTAAATGCTCACTGTTATAATTATCAAACACTGACAGTTTCTTGTGGGTATTTTTAGTAGTGTCAATGGGAGTTTTAAAAAAAGATGGTTTTTCGAAATAGTTTTTGGTTGTGTAAATGGGCATATATTAATATTTTTTAGGTGGAGGTATGGTCCTAAAAGTGCAGCTTTCTGTTGATAAACATGTTGTATGAGTAACTTGCCAAAAGTACTTTAAGATGCATGACAGATAATATTACTGACCTATGACATCTCTGTTTGTTTAGGAACCAAGTTTTGATGCAGGTTGATTCCACCAACAGTCTTGGATACCCTCTGCAGCATCTGATGATTGCATTGGCCGTGGCATGGCTGGTAGCCTTCCATATCATCCTCTTTGGGATCAAGTCCTTTGGAAAGGTAAGAGGAAGATTTCTTATTCTTCTCCTCCTCCTGTTCTTCCTCCTCCATCTCCATCCCCTCTGTCTCCTCCTCTTCCTCATTCTCCTTCTCCTCCTCTTCCTTCTCCTCTTCCTCCTCTTACTCCTCCTTCTCCATTTCCTCTGTCTCTTCCTCTTCCAACTCCTACTCCTACTCCTACTCCTCTTTCTTCTCCTCCTTCTATTTCTTCTCTTTCTCCATCTTCCATGAAGATGAATTAAAGATAGTTGTTAAAAGATCTGAAGAAAAACAACGCTAAGATTCCTAGAAGGGGTACCCTTAGGCATACAGAGTTTCCTGTGTGTGAAATTTCATTGTGGTTCTAAAAGTGATATATTTTAGGGTGATCCAAAGAAGTGATATTAAACAAAGAGTGTAAATAATGTCTAGATGATGCAATGTTATTGAAAAGAGAGAGAGGGAGAGAGAGAGAGAGAGAAAGAGAAAGAAATGGGGGGGGGGGGGGGCAGACAGTACATCTCAATCATTATAGATTTCTTTATTTTCAGAACCTCCACACACTATTATTGCACTCAATTAGATGTAGATTACCTTAAAATGGTAAAACTATTCTGTTTTTCAAACTAATCCATACGATACCCTCATGATGAGAAAGTGATTTATTTTCAAATATCTTATTAGATATCTCTATTATGTAGACTTCACAGTTAATTATAATACAATATTAACCTCTATATCAATCTCTTTTCTGTTTCCTCACACAGGTTGCATACATCTTGTTCAGTGCTCACATCCTCCTCCTATTTGTGCTTCTGATCCGTGGTGCCATCTTGGACGGAGCTATGGAGGGTATCACAATGCTCTTCTTTCCAGACGTCGGCAAACTCCTGGAAGTCCAGGTATGCTTTCCATCAATGTGTGTTTGAATGGTTGCAATTAATGGATCAGTGGTTAGTAGAGTAGTGGTCCTGAAAGTTCTGGGTTCAAAATATAGTCGTTATTCTTGTGCACACTGATATGTGATAGGTGTGTGGTTGGTTGCAGATGCATTGGCTTAGTGGTTAGTGTAGCGTTTTCAGAACATGAAGGCCCTAGGTTCAAAATAAAGTCAAGGCACAATTATTTATTTGGGTCATACAGTATTTATACATCAATCATCTTATAAGTTGATTTGTTTATTCATTTTGACATCATTTTTTCTTTTTTCTAAGTAGTAGCTAAGTCTTAACCCTATTTTAACTGGGCTATTTCAGACCAGGTTTTTACTGGGGGGGGGGGGGGGTCAATTTGACCCCCCTCTAAGATCTCGGCCGTTTCACCGCCGATCGCCGCGAAAATTTGCATGCATGTCAAGTGAAGTGTATAGAATACTATGGTAATTTCAAATTTTTGAAAAATTCACTCATTTGCATATTTATGGTAATTTATGCAAATAAGGTCATCAAATTCACATTTATGCCCATAAATCATAGATTATTCATGTTTACGTATTCTTTTTTCACTACATATATTTATTAGACCATTTAGAATAATAATACAACACAAACAATTGGAAGAGCCAGGTTATTCCTTATGTTATCTCTTGTTTTTATAATTTCTTATGTATTTCATTGTTTTTTAACTTATGTATTTTATTGTTTTTGTTGTTTTATTTCATTTATAACTACAATTCAACTATTTTGACCCCAAAACAAACATCTTAACTTCAAACAAGACTGAATAACCAATGTTTTATCTATTTTTAGGAAAAATGACTTTTACATATGTTTTGTACACAAATCACGAAAATGAGCGATTTTCGGGCTGACATGCAAAGACAAAAGGTCACGTGACCTTGTAACCGTAGGTCCGATTTGCATTTTAAAAGATGCGTAAGACTCAAAAGTAAAAAGTCATGAAAGGAAAATTTTATATCTGCCGCGGTTTCGGAGTAGTCGCGAAATTTCTACAGGGGGGGTCAAATTGACCCCCCCCCCCCCCAGTTAACATAGGGTTAAGTCTTATGTTATCTTTACAGGTTTGGTCTAAGGCATTCAACAGTGCCATGTACACTTTTGCACCAATGTGTGGGATTCTGATGTCTCTGAGCAGCTACAACAAGTTCCACAACAACTGCTTCATGTAAGCATAAACAGCAAGGGGAAGAGAGAGAGACAGAGAGAGAGGGTGGGATAGAGAGACAGAGAGAGAGGGAGGGAGAGAGAAAGAGAAAGAGGGGGTAGAGAGAGAGAGAAAGAGAGAGAGGGGGATAGAGAGAGGGGAGGGAGAAAGGGAGGGGGTGGGGAGGTAGAGTGACAAAGATTAAGAGAAAGAAAACAGAACAGAAGAGACATAGCAGATAGAAACATGAATTTGTTGACTGAAAGTTATTTTTATAATAGACCAGTTCACTGTTAGCACATTGGCATTTTTAAAAGTCAGCATCCCTATATTTCACACACAAAATTCCTTATTTACAGTGTACTGGCCAGTATTATAATTTTTTGAAAATAGAAATACACCTTCTTTCATGTCCTACATGGTTATTGCTTGAAGTTGTTTTCTATGGTGTTTGTTGATTTCTAGGGATTCTGTGGTACTCATCTTGGGGGCGCTCTTCATCAACCTCCTGTCTGCCGTCACATTCTTCTGCTATGTCGGGTACGGAAACAAGGTCTTGGACATGAAACCCCTTAATCTCACTGACCGAACTACAGGTAAGTCTAGCCGTCAACAGAGAAAATTGAGCACTGCTTTCTTATCTTTAATTGGAATTTACTGACCTGTTCCTCTCATTTTCTGCTTCTATTAAAGCCTATCTGCACTAGTTTGGCCAGGAGGGATTAGACCTCCCTGCATGGTCACTGACAGGTGGTTATCTCATCAAATCAGCTCTCAATTAACATAAGAAAATGGGGACCATGGGGGACCAACGGTCACCATTTAGGCATTGTTTGCTATAAGTAGTGCAGTGGGTCTTTAAACCCAACTTTATATCAAGGTAGACCTCCCCTTTAATGTTTCAACTGTTATCCATTTTTTTAATAGTGTTATCATCAAAATGCTATGCTAGCATCTATATGCATTTACATTGGTTCCATTTGCACAATTTGTAAATTTAGCACATTATAGTGTACTCTGTCAAGCACTGTCTATTGAGGAGAAAGTTTTCTTTTACACATTATTTCTCAGATATGTTTGCTTGAATGTTGAGATCTACCTTTAAGAAAACATTATATAATAGATATATTCTAGAATTGTATTCTATTTCAGAATAGATATATTTACAATGCACCCACCGGAATACATGTTTGGTTTAGGAATCAACATTACTAGTTTCTCTTTAATTTGAAGGTAGTATCAAGTTATTGCCGACACCCAGAAACATGATCTTCAGTTTAGCACTCTGTAAGGTGCTTCAAATCTATTATCAACAAACTCCTGTCATTGAAACTGTATTATCACTGTAAGGAGTATGTCTGTACTTATTACTTAAAGGTAGGCGTTACTACTGCAGCTAGAAAGGATTAGACCACCCAGTGAGCCATCGAGGTCACTGTGACAGGTGGCTATCTCATTAACTCAGCTCTCATTTAACATAAGAAAGAGAGGATCATGGGGGACCAACAGGCACCGATTTGGGAAGTTTTCTATATAGAGGGAGCAAGTAGCTACAAGTAGGACAGTGTGCCTTTAAGTTGCTTCATTAAATAAGAGTTTAGGTTTCTCTTTTGCCTGTATTCATAGAGCTACATTGTGTATGATTACATACTTACATACTGTAAATTAGAAACATGATTATTTAACTCTTTAATACTGGCTGGGGTCAACTTCTTTTGTAATTCAACAAAACTGTCACAGTTGAATTTTGTCACACATACTATGTATATTTACTAAATCATGTGTGTGAGGGGGTCCGCTCGCTATTTATAAGGACCGCTACTCATAAGGACCACTATTCATATGGACAGCTGTTCATGATTTGAGAAAAGGGTCATTATTCACAAGGACCACTATTTATAATAAAAAAAGAGGGTCGTTATTCATAGGGGTCCCAATTCATAATACGAGAAGAGGGTTGCTATGAACCCTCTTCTCGTATTATGAATAGTGACCCTCAATTTATATTATACAAATATACATTGCCTTGAGAGGTTCTGGTTAAAACTATGCGCAAGAGGTGACTCCAATAGTACTATTTGCTGATTAAGATTTGAAAAAAAAAAAATTTCAACTCCCAAATAGAAAACCCAAATAGTACTCTCATATAGTACTTTCTAAAAATAGGTCAAATATTTTTGGTCATGTGACGAGTTCTCAACCAATCAAAAGCCAACAAATTTTTGATGCAGGATATAATATAAACTAGCGGTCCTTATGACTAGCGAGGTTTACCCTGTTGAGAGCTGCAAGGGCATTAAGACTGTTTAAAGAATAGAAGTTAACACCCATCTGGCTCTCAACACATGATGCACTCCAAACAATGTGGCAGTCTGTTTTTTTTTTATCCCCATTGAGTAATGAATTAACAAGTTTTGGTTCATGATATGGATGATATTTTCTTTATCATTATGTTTTATTTCTTATGTTTGTTATTCTTTCTGTTTCTCAGGAGAAACCATCTTTGTGATGTTCACCACCATCTTTGGAACCTTGCCGCACGCCAGGATCATGTCTTTTCTTCTCTTCTTCTTCACATTCCTCTCAAGTCTTAGCTTCCAGGTAAGTATCTTACTTGTATTTATTTAATTTAAAAAAAGACAAACAACAGCTTTGAGGTCTACAAACTCTGTAATATATTTTAAATTACACATCCCTCCTTGTTTACAAAATATGGCCCTAGAAATTCTGACTTTGTTGATTGCTTGTAGATTTTGTCTGTTACACACCTGTGAGTGTATGTGTGTGTAAATTTTAATCCTGCTTGGGTAAATTACACTCTGGCATTTCCTGTGTAATATACAACCTGCCAATTAAATATTTACCTGAGAAGTTAAATGACCTACTTCTCTCTTAAACCAGCTGAAGTTCAATGATGATGTAATAGTAGTGCGCAAAGGTTCATCTTTATTCATATACAGTATATCGATGTTTTCAATTTGTGTTTTCTGCCCCTGATCATCTCTGTCTGTCTGTCTATCTCTGTGTCTTTCCTTCTTTTCCTTTTTTTCTTTCATTCTCTCTCTATTTATCTTCCTCTGTCTTCTATTATTCTGTAATCTATTTCATTGTAATCTTTTCTACATATTGAAATAAAAAAACTCTCTCTTATACAATCTTCCATTTTATGAATTTTCTTTCTTTCTTTTTCAGGTTGTTGTGGCCATCTCGTTAGTGATTGGGTTCCTCGATGTACTTGGATATCGTCATTCGTGGAAGGCCATCATACCGGTCTCTTTCTTGGTCACCGTCGTGTGTTTCGGTGGTGGACTGCTCTTCATCACACCGGTCAGTCATGGTCAATTCTTTATGATATACCTTTAACAACTAAATTTTTAATTTTTTTTTAAATTTATTTATTTTGGTTTAAAAAGACATATAAATATACATGATTCAAAGGTCCAAGGACCAAAACTGATCGTGTTTACAAGTAATGCAATAAAGTTATAGATACAGTAACAAGTACAAGATGGCAATAAAGATGAAAAAAATAATACAATTTAATCGATACAATACCAGAATAAACTAAGAGAAAGTAGTGGTCAAGATCGTCAAATTACTGAACTGCTATAGGGGTAATGGTAGCAGACAAAGAGACAATGATGATGCTGAGTAACCAAATGACCAAATTATTTTTACCCCTTTTAAATGTTTTTTGTTGGTGTTATTTATAAATCAAGAATGAAAGTTTGATCGGTTTAATTAGGGCCTTTGTTGAATTCTTCTACATGTAGATGCAAGTTTTAATATGTCGCATTCTCAAGAGACATAAATCAGGACAAATCTATTTTTCACAAACTAAAAAAACTACAAAACTGGGTAAGGGTATGAATGATTTAGTTGTAAATTGTATTATTTAGTGATACGGCAATTGTTTTGATTTGCCAATCATCCAATGTATTTATGTATTTATCAATGAATATCAAATAATTAGTCATAAAATTTGATTTATTTGTTGATTGTGCTCTTGCTTGGGGGCATATCACAAAACAATGTAATTTTCCTTTAAAAATTCTTTTGAATTAATATCCTTTCTAGAACCAAGGCTATCCTATAGGTTGCAACTAAATGACTCAATATATTACACTTTTGTTTGATTAATGTATATTCTTGTATTTTTTTTTTAATGTTGATGCAGGAGGGGCCACATTTCTAGGGTAATGAGATTAACCTGACAAAATAAAACCTTTTTTCAAATTAACCTGGAACTTACATCAATTGACTCAATATATTACAGTCTGATTCTCTTTTATTTGATGAATTTATATTCTTGTTTTCATCTGTTCATGTTGCTGCAGGAGGGGCCACATTCTGGGGAAATAAGATAAACCTAATAAAAGAAAACCAGTATAGTTTAATCTGTAACTTATCGCTAATAACCCACAATATATTACAATCTGATTCTCTTTTTTGCGATTAAATTTAATATTCTTGTTTTGATCTGCTCTTGTCGCTGCAGGAGGGGCCACATTTCTGGGGTGTTCTCTACAAATTCTTCTTGCCTCACATTCCGTTCCTCCTGAGCATCATCATGCCTTTGGCTCTCACTTGGATATACGGTGAGTGACGAATGTCTTCAAGTCAACTGAATAAAAAATTTATTATTAAAGGCCATCAAACCCCCCCCAAACAATGGCTAGCGTCCCTAGGAAGATAAATAAGCAATTTTGTAATGCAATCAAATTTGATACACAAAACTTCAAGTGCCATCATACAAATTATTTCATTTACCTGGTACAAATAATTGTATTTCAATAGTCAGAATGCAAATTGCATACATTACGTGTTATTAGGTTGGACAAGTCATAATGTTAGTCCTACCTAGCAACAAATTTTAAAGAGAGATATCGTTGCAAAGTCAATCACTTTGGTTATAAATGTGACTTATGAGTTTTTAAATAAAAATAAAAACTTTAAAAAATGAAAAAGTTCTGATTAAGTACCTTGCTTCACAACACAAAGATAAACATCAATATGAATCCAATTAAAATAGTTTTTAAACAGTAATTCCCCGACCTTATAGCACAGAATTGGAGGGATAAAAGAATGATGTTTTTTTTTTCCTTTTTGTAGGCACAATACCAGCCTGGAAGTTCCTGAAGTTCCAGCGAGACATCAAGGCCATGGTGGGATGCTTCCCCATCGTCTTCCAAGGATTGTTTGCTGGGCTAGAGGCGGTCGTCTTACCCCTGGTGATCTCGGTAAGCTTTTAATTCCTGATGACAGATTGAGAGAGGTTCTCAGCATTGTGAGAAAAATGAATCTCAAGTTGAACAGAGACAAATGCGAGTTCAATGTCAAGAAACTCACCTTCATTGGTGACTTGATCAGTGATCAAGGAGTTCAACCTGATCGGAAGAAGGTGTCTGCTATCTTGAACATTGAGAGACGAACATGTCGGAAAGATGTCCAAAGGTTCTTGGGTATGAGCAATTACCAAGGGAAGTTTATCCCAGATCTGTCTAACAAGTCAGCAGGGTTGAGACATCTTCTTGACGAAAAGAATGTGTGGACATAGGATCATGCACAAGAGGATGCGTGGAATCAGGTGAAACAAGCTCTGATACAAGAGCCAGTCCTACATTTTGATGACTACAAAGATGTCTGACTGCACAGTGCCTCAATAAAGCTATACCACTTATTAGTTCTACCAAGCTCTTTAACTGGTCTTCTATAAGAACATAATACTTATTATTCCCTCCCAGCTTCATAGAGTGGTACCATCGTGCGTAAGATGTATAAGTGGTGATACGGAGGTTCATATTATAGTTTTATCCAAGATACTCTCCAAGTACTTCTTCTGTGTCTATTTAGTGTTAAAATACAGCGTGAAATGATGGAACTTATTGCCTATATTTGTTGATATCAAAAGATGTGAATTTGTTTTTTTAATACTACCAGTATTTGATTCACAGTGGAGTAAAGGTTACATCATCAAAACCAAAATGTAGAAGGCTTTGGAAGACTCGTCTTAAAACGTTTGTTTTTAGAAAACAATTTCCATTATTATCTACATATTCCTGAAGTTTTCTGAATGTATCTCCTCTTCTCTATTCTTGTCTTTACTTCTCACCATTACAGTGCATAGGGACATGTTTGTGTTATGCTCTATAAAGTATGGCATAATATTATTATTATTATTATATATTTAAATTTGAATTTATTAACAACAACACATCACAATAATGACAGTACATATGAACAATCATACAATGCAAAGAATGATACTGATACATGTATACATAACATAAGAGTAATGTCGATTGAACAGTAATGGTTTTAAAATGATCTTTAGACATAGCTCTGCATACTTTTAAATGTACAAAAGATATATACGTAAATATGTGTATTACTAAAGGATTTTTGAACCATCAGTTTCGACCATTATTCTCATCCCCCTCCAGGTTGCATGGGTGTACAATCTGTACCTTGTCTTCAGCGTCATCGATCTGAACTTTGTGGACTACCAAGGGTGGCACATCGCCGTCGCCATCATCTTTGCTTTCGTTCCCCTCATCATCGGCTTCCTGTCGGGCGCCGTGATGGAGCTCTGCAAGTATGTGACGGTCTACAAATACTTCACTGAGGTAAGGAGAAGAATATTTGATGGGGTAGTTTGCTCGCACTGACCAGAGCCATCTATATACCAAGTTTGGCCAACTTGGTTTCACTGGGTCACAACATGGCGTATATTCTTTTGTTTTGTGGTTGCCTAACAAAGCAGTAGTTGACATATTGTATCAAACTTGAACCGGGTTGGCCAAACTCTGTGTATAGATGGCTCTGGCACTGACAAGATTTTTTTCTTTCTTGTTGATGTTAAAGTTAGTATATAATACCCCAGTGGCCTGGCATGAGGGCACTGTTCTTACTTGAGGAATGAAATGCAAACAAATAAAGGCTTTTGATGAAGGGGAGGGTGTAGGTATGAGGCCATACATGTAGCATTTCCCTTCCATTTTCCCTTCTCCTTTTTCTTTCTCTCTTCTATTTTTTTCTTTTTGTTTTCCTCCATTCACTCCCCACTGTCACCAAACTGTTTCATCTACAAAACAACAATCATTTATTGTGAAAAAACAGTTACAAAATGATCTCGGTTATTTTGCGTCAATTTTGAATAACTTGTTTTTGCATAATCAAAGTTTGAAATACCAGCACAACTTATTGTAGCTTGAAGTACAAAGAAATTGAGGTTGCTTGCATAAAGAGGGGTAATGTCTGTGGGCATCCTTTTTACCTATAAATCTTGCAGTGAGCCCTGTCTCACAGATAATGACAGCTTTATTAAATACAACCCACTTTTCATTGTTATGAGAAATTTGAAAGTAATGTTGTTTGCATGTTTTGTTCCCAGCTCTTTTGGCTTGCATCGATGCCTCTTCGTGAGTGGGGTCCTGCAGTGGAGGAGAACAGGACGGAACACGACTACCCCGTCGTCAAATCCCCTGGAGACGATCTCGTCGTTGCGGAAGGAAAATACCGCGAATACTCGCAAGAGAACGTCAACAACGCAAACGACAATGGCCTGCAGCAGGGCCATGGCTATAACGTATCCATGAACAATGAGGGCAGTAGTAATCCGCCGTCACCTCGCGACAAGCAGGACAATGTTTACCCGTCGAGTTGCGACACGTTGGACAGGGACCAAGATCCAGCGGTGAATTCAAATGCGACGTTACCGGCCGGCACACCGTTGCTTGGACTCAGCTTGTGCTCACACGAGACCACATTGTAGCTCAAGCTCTCCGAGAGACTTTAATGACATCATGCAAGAAAAGAGACTGCAATTGATGCCAAAAGCACGAGAAAGGGAATTATTTTTCTCATGAAACAGACATCTGTTCCTCTTTACCACTTCTTTCTATTTATGTTTTGCTAGACATCATTTTTATTAAGAATGTAAATAAACTTTTTCATCTCTTTTTTATTTTGTGGATAGTAATACGTTTATATTATTTGTATCAGTGCATATATTTTCTTGAAGAAAGAGTTTTTTTTTTTCTTTTCATAATCAGTAGATCAGATTGGATTTTTGTTGTTCTGTTTATCACTTCATTTTTATGTAATAGGTCGAAATAGAAACCGAAATGGCTGAAAAATTTAGGCAAAACTCTAAATCTTGTTATGTGATATATTCCATTGCAATTTCTGGAATGCGCTTTATAAGAAACCAGGTACATACATTTTGAAAAAAATTTAGATAATATTTTCCCTTCTAATGTGATATATTTATCAAGATATTCAGGCTGTGTATCATTCCTGAATAGCATTCACCTATTCTTTAATTTTCTGGACTTGAAATGTTATATCTTTCTATAGTTTTCATCATATGTAAGTAAATATTCCAGTGCAGTTAATGATATTAGAAGTTTAGAACCGGTTTGAGTAATGAGATAATCATTATTTAAAGTTGCACTGTATATACAAGTCTGCAAAATGTTTGTACTTGGATTGTCTGAATGTATGGCTTGAGAAATTGCAATATTATTTTAGTTAGACATTCACAGATAGGCACTCTATACATATATCACTTTGATCAAGCAAATGGACTTAGTAAATAGCAGCAATGGCTTAATATATTTAACCTAAATGCATTCACACCTCAATGAAATCTTCTTAATGATGATTTATGAATTCTAGAATTGCATGACAATTTATCCAATATCAAATGACAATGGAATGATATTCTATTTATGCCTCCTATTTCCAATCAAATGTTTACTGATTAAATCTCAAAAATAATTCTTTTAGTAGTTTTGACGAGATAATGAATATTAGATAGTGTATTTGATGGTTTTGAAAAAAAAGTAATGTCTAGTAGTTAATTCGTTCAAGAAGAACATGTTTTATTTTGTATATACACCATAAAATATGTATATACACTTGTACACAATATGAGAAATGTACAGTTTTATAGTAGTGTTAGTATTGTATAGAACATTTGAAAGATAACATGTGTACATCATGCTTCGTTTGGTGTCAATATTGATAAACTAGTTTTTGCCAATTTGCCCACTTGTCCGAATCAGAGAAAAAAGCCTAAAAGAACCAAATAATTTTGCGACCAAGTAATACAACAAACATGAGTAACAGAGTATTTTTAATTTCCAAACAGAAGGGGAGAACTTAAGCGTGGTGTCGACACAAGAGGTTGGTTTTAATTTGTAAAGTCCCTTTGCTTGTGGTTGGATGTTAATAATTTTCCAGATACTGATGTTTGGTTTTAATGTGATCCATAACCCTCTTTCTGTAATGTACTTCTGGTTTAAACTCATTGTCAAAATGTTAGAAGTATTTGATGATTGTTTTCTGAAGACCAAACAGGGTGCTTTTTTATATTAATTAGAAGTCCAGTGTCATGGGCTGACACTAGTTTGATTTTAACACGCACCTTACAGACTGATGTTTGTGTGATCGTAACACTGATCTAGAGAGTTAGATGATAGAAACTCTTTTTTTTTGTATTGTGGTTTTGAAATAAGTTTAAGGGCTTCCTGGCTTGTAACTCTGAATAATAACAATATAATCAGTGATAATAATCATTTGAATACAGGTTTACTGACATGAGTCCCAAAGCACTGTATGCAGTTTTAGCATTTGTTTGGTGCACCTTAAAGCTTTTCAAGGCATTTTATTTTTTAAGTCAACTAAGTTCTGCCATGTTCCCTTGATAACTTTGCTTTCCTATGGTGCAGGATATAGAGGTTGTTAGTCTTTGTATTGTGCCACCTTCTTGCCCTGTTTTTTGTTTTACATGTTAACCTTTAACCTTTGACATTTAACCTATGACATTTTAACTTCTTCCGTAAATGAGCTTGTACTTTGGACAGGTATGAACTCAATGGAAATCTGTGTGTAATTGTAATAATGCAGACTTCAGTAGATGATACCTCTATATTGAATATTCTTTGGTAGAAAAAATCTAGAGCGTAACTTTATCTAAAATAAAGCAATAAAATAAACTTTAGAGTGATTGCAGAAGTGCACTTCAAGTCGAAAGATAAGAATGATTAATAAATATTCACTGTAGTAGTAGCAGTAGTTACAACACAAGGGAATTATGATGATGAAACCCGCTTGTAATTACGATTGCTTTCATTAATCAAGTCGATGTTGATCTTAAGTTTCCATTGTTGCCGTTAGTAAACACTATTACTGATGCAAATGCGGCTAGGAATACAAGAAAAATGCATTAGATTAGATCATGTACAGGTCCGAACTTTCTACAATTTTGTAATGTCTAGTGCATTTTGTATGATTAGTGTAACCAGTTGAATGGCGTGACTCTTCAAAATTAGCCTGCAACAAAAAGCAAATAGATGTTTCGTCTTCCTAAATGTAATGTTAATTTAACATTTTAATAGTTTTCGCTTCCATAACATGCTTTGTGTGAGGGGTTAACAATTCTTGCCCACCATCTGTTGTTGTTTTACTTGTGATTCTCTCATGACTAGACAGTAGGTATGTTGCCAATTTAATAATTTGGATTAATTCAACCAGAATTCCATTTATCTATTATAAAATATCCTGCATTTTCTAAGCGATATTTTGTACAAAATGAACCCAAATGTTGTACGTTTTTTTCAATTATCCATTTGTAGTTAGATGTAAAAGTAGAATTCATTGAATATGTAATTGATTAATCTTTCAAAATTGGCAGATCTATCTAACCTTTCATACACAGCTTTTGTACACAAGAAACAACCTCTATTTTTCTTATTGGTGATGTTCTTGAATGACGTGGAATGACTGTAAGTCAGTAATAAATACTGCATGTATTTGCTTATAAACATGTGTGAAGTTTTCTAGTTTTTATTTTTAGACAAGTTTTTGCCTTAGCATATTGTTAACAATCTGAAAGAAAGGGGGGAGAGAGAGAGAGAGAGAGAGAAACAGACAGACATAGTGAGAGAGAGACATAGGGAGAAAGACACACAATAACGAAAAAGACTATGATGGACTCAGAGAGGAAGAAAAGGAAGATTGTATTAAGGTGGACATACTGTATGTGTGAGAAAAAGAAAGACAGAGTGTGTTTATGGAGGAAAGATAAAAACAGAACTTGGAAGGAAAGAAAAAGGAACATAAAGAGAAAGAGTTCATAATAAATTTATTGAACTGAAAATCATATCAAGCACATAAAACAATAACGATAAAGACACAAACAATAAGGAACTTCTCTTTTTCTGTTTATAAAATTATGACCATATTTACTGATCTTTCCTTCATTTCATTCCACAATATAAACCTCATGTTTTACATGATAACATGTACAAAAGTAATAATATAAATACACAGTAGCTTAAAGATCACATTCTGTACACATTGGTAAATGTTCAGATTTTTAATCTGATACATGTAGTTTTATGTACCGAAAAGACCCTGTGCAATAATGCATGCCATTTCGCAAACAAGAAACATGGATGAAAGCCAATTAAATAATTAAGGACAGCCTTTCACCTGTTTTCGTTTCATGATTAAGAGTTACTAATAGCATGAATGCCCATCTTGATGCCAATGGGTCAAGGGTCAGGTATTATTACAGACATCATTAAAAAAAAACCTCTGGAGGATATACTTCATCATCATCTCTTATATAATACTGTCCACCAAGAGCCATCAGTGTGGTGAAGTTATTTCAGTTTCAAATACATTCCTTAACCGTACTATCACACTTCTGAAGTGCTTCTTTCAATTTGTAATATACATGCCTCTCTTATTAACGTTTTAAGAAACTGTGATTTATCTGAAACTAAACAGTTATCAAAATACATTTCCTTTTCATCATTGTCCCCTTCTGAAGATCGCACCATGAGAACTTATCTTGTGTATCCAAAGTCATGATACTCATGGTGCAATACTATACAATCAACAGATAACATACATTAATATTCCCTTTAAATATTCAATTATTGCATTATCTCAGAATGTACATTACATATACAAGTACATTACATATCATTGGTGATGATTGCTGACAACCAAGTTGACAATTGTGTATCACTAATAAGATTTTGTGTTCATGCGACAGATCTGTAATCACTTGTAAAAACTTGGTAACTCATGGTATCAATTTCCAAAATTCATGAGCTTGTTTTAAACATCAAGAAGAAAGACAAGTTTTAGTCCAAAACATTAGGTAAAGTATCATAATTTTGGACGTAAACCTGGCCATTACACTGAAAGTGATTTAGAACCTATATTTCAGATTGGTGTAGCGTATAACTAACGAATCAGACCGACAGCACATCGATAAAACAGCGAAGAATCAAGCTTTGTAGTGATACCGTTAACAAAAGGCGGTTCAACCTGAAATTTAATCAGAATTAAACAATTATAAATAATAGGCGTCTTATATATAAATGATATTCAAGTAACACAACTAACACGGTCTGTACAATAGACTATCCCCATAACACTACACTCATTTTACGTACGATGTAACTGCACATGTAATGCATCATACAAAGTTACTGTGCGTACGTATCACTTTCATAACAAATTTTATACATCAAATTATCTGAAAACTATGAATGGTATAAAACCAATACCCCACTCAAACTGACGGCTAATTATTAATTATCAACATCATGTGTTCAAATTATACTCAAAACATTGGGCTTGCATGTCTGGAAAACTAAATTATCAATTGCATGTCAGAAAGATGACATTCCCAAAATAGAGAATCATGTAGGGCTAAATTACTACGCCTCCACTCGGCAGACCAAAAATTGAACTAAAAAACCATCACTTCTGACATCATACCTTGATCGTCAAGCAAAACAGAAACTGTCCTTTCAAAACAGAGATTACTATTGTAGGGATTTGAGGTATGAACTCCAAACAATAAAGATAATAACATAAGCTCACCAGATTAAAACTCCTTTTGGCGAACACCAGCGATGAAAAGTTTACAATGTGTGATGATATCCAAATAGATTAAAGCTGTATGACAAAATCCTCTTGATGATAAGTGAAGCTGAATAAAGCTAATGTAGTGGAGATGTTGTAGTATAAAGATGCATGTAACTAGCAGAAGATATCTTGCTTCCAACTCAAGTCCTACTAAAGCTACGGTCACAAAGGTTCTTACGTACGATGCGTTCTCCCTGTTTTTCCATTGTCTTCCCGAATTTCCATTGTCTGAAAATCGTTCGTACGGCGTTCGTAGCAGTTCGTAATGGCATTTGTGACCGAGCTTAAGATGAATGCACAAGGAAAAAAAATCTACTAAATTGTGCCGTGACCTTTCTCCAGACTGTCTCTTGATTGGCCAGCTGTTGCCATGACACCAAAACATCTACTAGGGTACAGTAGTGGAGATATTGGAGCAACGGGTGAGCTTGCCTGATTTATATTCTATTGAGTCACAATGTTGAATAGGCTGACCAGCAGTGAACAAAAGTGATGATATCAAACGAAATGCTGGTCTGTTGATTATGCTTACGGTATATGAAAAGCAATTGATGGTTGTGTAGTAAAATCAGCTGACAATTGTAAACAAACTGTGATGAAGTGGAAATATTTAAATTGATGATAAAATCTGCTACAGATGATGCTGATGATGATCGTCAAGCGAAACAGAAACTGTCCTTTCAGAACAGAGATTAGTATCTTACAAGTGGTTATTAGAGGCTGATGAGCAAGGAACCTCTAGGACTTGTACTGAAGACATGGACGGATTCCTCACTGAATAATGAAAAGATGAAAAACCGTGACAAGCTGCACCTACAACCACAAAAAGAAAAGAAACATCAACATTGGTTACAAGAAAAGTATGCAATAATTGGCAGTAACTTTCTAAATAATGTACATAATGTTTCAATGTAATATCTTGTTTAACATGTTTTTCATTCATTTTACATGTCATACAGTCCTGTACATTCTCCTTAAAAACAAGTAACCTGGACTTATATGATATTGTATATCCCTTTGTTTTATGGACAAATAAATGTGATATTGAATAAATTTATAAAAAGATGAATGAAATGAAATCATAATTTGTTTCTTTCAAATCCTCAATCACAACTTTTCCCTATCTCCTTGTTTTTCAATATTACAGGTAATTTCTTTAATTTCTTACTTCTTTGCTTGAACAAAAGGCTAATTCGAACTGACCCATAATTTTTTTTAAATTAAGATTCACATAATTATAAATCAATGACGATTGACAGAGTGATAAAAATATCAATTTTCCACAAACTCCCTTATCAGAGTGATGAGCATAGATTTCACTTTCAGGTGTTTTCATGGCAGGCAGGGAGGTTCTACATAAATTACAAGGTTGGTCAGGCATTAAACAGCTGTGGCTTTGTGCGCCAGGTACTTTGTTATTGTCACGGTAGAGTGCTTTTGAATACATTGCTAGGTTGGGTAGATTAGCAAGCAAGCTTGGGCAAGGCATGGTATGACAGGGCAGCCATTCTTGTATGAATGTGTTTTAGCTACAAGGTGAGTGCAAGGTTTCACTGGGCAGTGCTAACCACATGGCAATGCTGAGATGCCAGAGCAGACAGCCTCTTGTCCCGGCACAAGTAGAATCTCTCCAAATTGATTGTAAGTGATATTTTGATTGTTTTTTTAAAGCTATTTGTATGTCAAATGAATGTATTAGTGTCCTGTGAGGAAATTTCAGCATTATCGTGAAATAGGAAACCACCATCCGTGTACTAAGGTGCATGCACAGAATTTGAAGAATATAGCGTACTCCTAGTGGGCGCCTTTTTACGCTAATCAATATTATCGTAAAGTAAGTATCACATTGGTAACGTAAAAACTGCTATTTTTCGGCAGAATCAAAATCACAACTTGTGTGAGAGGTCAGCATTTTTAAAATGTAAATCGCATGTTAGCTCATTATCATCAGGTAAACTTGGAAGGTAAGCAAATTGATATCACTCCTGTATCAATTGTTCATATTTTTGGAGTTAAATTCTTGACCGATTTCATTGTGCTTTGTACAAGTTGACAGAAGAGTCCACTAGAGCAATCTGAATCCAGTTTCAAGGTTTGTTGGGTGCAGGAACGGATGATTACAAACATATTTTATGCTTTTTTTTGTTTTGTTTAAGGCTAGGCGATATCAATATCATATTTCATATTATCATCTATGCAAGCAGATGAACGAGTGGTATCCAAACCACAATATATATAAGTAGAGTTAGAGACATTTGCTCTATTTTTTCCAAACAATAAACACAAAATATTATTATTATTAATAATATAACGAAAATTTCTTTGGTAGGTTAGGAAGTCAACATCTTATTATACAACAGGATATTAAACCAACTCTAGAAGACAACCTACCATATTGCCCATCGATGGTGGCGGCTATAAGAGCACCACTAAAGTCTGGGTGATATTTGATGATTCTCTGAAGGGCTGACTGACACGCCTTGTCAGGTGACATCCCATTCCTTAGATTCTCTACAACCTGATAGCTAGGGATACAACAAGAGGAGTACATGAGAGATTTTCGTTGAACTTCACTTGCATGTTTTCTTTTTAAGGTCACAAATGAAATTATCATTCATAGAATTGAACCTGATACTTTATATCAAAATTAATGTCATTGTAAATGTATCTACATGAGGAAACTTTGTATTCATTTGTTGAAGCTGGCATAACTAGACACAAAAGTTTAAATAAGTTTAAATAGAGTTATGATTGATCCAAATCAATCGTAAGTTTGCAGTCTCCTATCTCGTATGTACATACTTGTGATTGATTTCAATCGCAAATAAGTTACGATTGATATTAACTCTTTATAAGACGGGGCCCTGAATGACTACATGTAGTTTATGATTTATGCAATTTCTTAGGAGAACTATTACATTGACGTTATTCAAATCTGTTAAATACAAAATAAATTCCCACTCTACAGAATAAGTTTGTAAGCTGCTTCACAAAAGCACTACAAACATTCTGAATTTGTCTTTGGTTTTATATCTATTACTCACATTAATTTGATTTCATGGATGTTCTATTCTATTCCGAAAGAGATTGAATGATCAAGGAAAGCAATTTTATTGATTGACTTGCAGTTGTATCCATCTTCTGCTTACCTTGGTAAAAACCGCATCATCACGTCCCCATCACCAGTTCCTGCTGCCCCGCCCACATCTCGATCTACATAGGCACCTGACCCAGTGATAGGGGAATCCCCTACTCTCCTATGAAAAGAAAAAGCAACAATAAAGAAAACTCTTACCAAAATAAAACAAAACAACCTAACAAACAAAAAACAAGACAACAACAAAGAATTTCATCTGCAAAGGACATAAATATTTTCCATAAGATATCTCTTTAGAGTTTTCAGGGTCTCATGCAGTTTCAAAAAATTGCATTTATGACCCAATATTTTTGTAACGGGTATTTGTCAACAGATTATACAGTAAAGATCAATTTTAATACTGCAAAGTATGCTGAGTTATACTGAGATTTTTTTTCTGATTAACTTAATGCAGTAAAATACTTTGAGCTTACTTCTCTTTAAAAAATTGTGCTGCATACATACTGATTCATTACACACTTGAAATTGGACCCATTCAATATAAGTTATGAAGAAAACAAATTAAAAGTACAGTCACGACATCTGCTTTGCTTAATAGCATTACAATGATAATTTTGTATGGTATGCAAAACTAATACTTTTACTTTACTAGCACACACAGCATAAGTTTGAAAGCACTTTACCTACCCTGGTACTTTGTGATTGGCGCCATTCGTGGATGTACCCCCAGCGATACGTCCATTGGAGTCGATTACAATCATTCCGATTGTGTCATGATTATTCTTGTTGATATCACTGTTATAGCGCTCTCTAGTTGATGTCTTCAGAGCATTGGCGTTCACCGGAGTGTATGGGCCGCATGACCCTGAAGGGTCGGGAGAGACATTCTAAGGAAAAGGAAAAGACCAAACAACATAATAATTGAGAAAGAGCTCAAAAGTGCAGTAACACCTGGTGCTGCTTCACTTTTATTTTGTATAGATTTATACTGGTAGGGTCAGGCTTGCCATTTTAGATTTACTTGCCTTTCTGTCATGTAATGTCATCTTTCTCCACTTCCATCCCACTACCTTGTATGTTCCAAAAATTTCTCATGTTACATAGATCTACTTTATGTAATTTTTTAATTGCAGAACATCTATTAAAACAAGCAACTCACCTGTCTGTAGTTTGGTTGGCAATTTGCTTTTTGCCATTCCTCCCATATTGATCTGTAAAAAGGAAGTTAGAAAACATACTATTAATAGATTCTTAACACCCCCCCCCCCCCCAACAAAAACACACATACTCTTGTAGTCACAGGATTATTTGTATTAGAGAGATTCAAAAGGTCAAATTTCTGTTGAACCTCGATTCATATTTTTTTCTTATTTCCTAATTTCAATGTTTTTTCTTTACATTGCACATTGCATATTTGATGTTCCTTTCACGTAGTTGTTTGTTGTTTTCCATAAATTGCAAAATGACAATAAAATGCTCATAAAATATTGTCATTTTATAAAGTATTATATATAAAATTAAGATTCCAAAGATTCAAGTTTTTGTTTTTCTTTGGTCCTCCGCTTTTATAGTTTATTTCCTGTGAATAAGGTATTTCTAAACAGTGAAGTAATCTTGTGACATACGTTACAATCAATGAATTATTCTTTTAGCTAAAAAAAATAAGTAAGCTTTAAGCAGGAAAAAGGAAGAAGTTTCCATTACATACCTTGATCTGTTGGTTGTTAGGTTTTCTTGCTGAAATCCCATCTCAATTGCAAATTTGGTGGCTGTAAAACAAGAAAATTAGTAAATCATTACACTAAAGACCTATTAAAAGTCGAAGAGTTTCAGAATAATTCTTCCAAACATACTGAACCTCACATCTGGGACTCATTTCACAAAGCCTTCTTTCAATGACAAATGACAAATATCAGCGACAAATCTGCTAATAACCAATCACAGAAGCAAGGATTTCAGTAGCTTATAACAAAAACTGTCATTTGTCACTGATGACAAGTTGACAAGGAAGACTTCCCCTTTAAGCAAAAAAAAAACACATCTGAAAGCAAATGCATATACCACACATGTCTATGGGGGCGTTTTAAATTGTGTTTTTATACATTTTTAAAAAAAAAGCAATTTTTAACACTTTTTTTAATGCACCAACCAAAATCGTGCCAACCCTGCCTATTTTTAAGCAAATAAAGATAAAGGCCTATTTTTTAAGCAAATACAGATAAAGGCCTATTTTTAAGCAAATACAGATAAAGGCCTATTTTTAAGCAAATACAGATACCGGTAAAGGCCTTGCAAAAGGACATTAGTGCATTCTTAAAGCTACATCATTTGTTGAACACAATTCTAAATACCTGATTCGCCCACAAGTAGAGTCTCTGTTGTGTACATCATGACTGCCCTTGCTACCGAGATGGCGCTCTTAATACGACGAAGTCCACCCACAGAACCAACTGTATGCGTATCCCTTTATTGTAGTATGAACGGTGTAATAAAAATTAATGCTAATGATTATAACGAATGGTTGATAGTCATTTCTAAAGAGCTTTTCACCTGTCTCTAATTTATTAAAAATTGTTTATCTGCAAAAATAGAAGTTCAGATTGAAAGGTCAAAATAGTGAAAAACATTTTGTTTAAATGACAAACATAAAAACAACTTTGTATCGATACAAAGTCTCTTACAAAGCTTTGTCACTATTTTTCAAATAGCCTGGGGTAACACTGGCGTAGGGGGTTCTTCCGTTCAAAATAGTAATGTGTTGAATGTAAGTATACTCAAAGCAATATTTAGAAAGATAGAGACTAATCTACAAATTTTAAGATTCTATTTTTTAAAAGTTAATTTGGGAGGGGGGGAGACTCTAAAAAGCCTATTAGTTGTAGAAGCATGGGTATCTATATTACTGCAATAAATCACACAATTCTGACCCCCCCCCCCCCCCCCCAAAAAAAAAAAAAAAAAAAAAAAAAATCCAGATGCAAAAAATATATAACGGTATATTATGTAAACATATATCTGGAAATAATATTTTCAGTCATCCAAATTTATGTAACAGAGAAAAATACTAAAATAAGTTTTATTTCTCACCCATCCATAATCATTGCATCCAGGGTAGTTTCTCCAAACTCATCAGGGCTAGGAAGAAGAAAAAAATGAAGGAAAAAAATGAAAAAAAATAGAGCATCAGTAGCATAAATCAATGAATTTACTCCTGACACATCACACATGAGATAGTTTAGCTGTTTCCAAACAAGTATGAAAATGATAAAGACCAATTGAAAGATACTGGCATAAGATAAATTAAAAAGCAAAAATAGCACTCACATGAAAGTGACAATTATCTCTGTTTAGATCAGAGTTCAGAGTAGAGGCACTTTAACTTTGGAACACCGGAAGACAACGGTAAATTAATGAGAGAAAACTTGAGAAATCTGACATTCTTAGACACATGTATATGTGGGTAGCATACACTCCATGAAAACAGAAAAATACATTAAGCGAATAACAGGGAAAGATCATTCCAAAATAAAATGAAACTTTAATTTTATTTTATTATGTCATCACCACTCCAAAATACCTATTTAGAGGGTTTCCCTGAAAAAATGTACATTTTACCCACAGTAACAATTATTACCACAAGAAAGACAACCTCATGACAAAAAGTTAAAAACCTATGGAGTATTTACCTTCCACCATACCCCACAGTGCCGTCACATTGCTGTACCTCACATACTGTACAGCCTTCCTCCACAGCATCTAGTGTAGATTGACCTCCATTGATTACACTCCAAGCTTTAGAAAGAAAAAAAAAGGTAGTGAGAGACCGTGGGTAAAATTATTCTTTATTCTGATTTTCCTATTTGACAATAATGAGCACTTGACAAGCGCAAGGTACATGTACGATGATATGCGGTCTGTACTATAGTATACTGGAAGAAGAAGATCACTATCACTATCATGATATCATCAGTATCAGTATCACTCCAGTATCAAGTTTTCAATTTTTTTGTTCAATTCTTGACCGATAACAAAGTACTTTGTACAAGAAGAAAGAAAAAAATGGTAGCAAACACTGTCTTTGTGTAGGGCCTGCCAGGCCAGGCCTAGGGGGTATAGACTAGGGTATGTGTCACTGTTTAAGCTAGGTAATATAAATATCATATTTCATTTTATCAGATCGAGGAGCGTGATGTACGTTGTGCAGGCAAATAAAAATTGTGCGGCTCTAGCCGCGCGGCAGAGTAAAGCTGCTACAGCTAGGTACTAAAAAACCCTTGGCCTAGACCAAAAGAGTGTAAATCTTGTTGCATATCTCATTCATCGCGGTCCGACCAAACCGAACCATTTGTTCCGTACAGTCCCCATAGGACGAACTTCAGTCTCTATGATCGGAGGTCTAGTGGAGCCAGACGTAGTCTCAGTGGAACAACCGACGACTAGAGAGACTGAAGCTTTTGGTCTAGATCTAGATCTACATTAAGAAAATCGGGGGAGAAAATGTCGGGTCTCGGGAGCCAAAATTACAAAAAGATGTTCCGAATTGGCTCGGTGCGAGACCTCTGGATTACGTTGCGCACACCATACACTGACTTCTACATGCCTAAAAACTCGCCACAAAGACAGCTCGCCCCTGGACAACTCGACACAATACCCTAGATATCTCGCCACAATACCCTGGACAACTCGACCTTGGCAAGTTGTCCAGGGTATTGTGGCGAGATGTCCAGGGTATTGTGTCGAGTTGTTCAGGGGCGAGTTGTCTTTGTGGCGAGTTGTCTGGAATTCGGTGAAACCATACGTGACGCGATCTACAGCTCTTGCGCAATATCTGACGGGTAGTTGTCTTATCTCGCAGACGTTTTCATTTATTGCTTTATCGCAGGTTTAATATACCTAGGCCTCTTATTCAGGCACGTAGCCAGAGTTTGATGTTTGGGGGGGGGGGCACATACATGTAATCGATAGAGGTAAAAAAATTGAATATTATATTTTGGAATTATATAGTAATGCTCCGTAACCCCTGTCGGCTTAGTTATGTATTTAATACCAAACTCTAAAAACGCTCGTACGCAATAGCTTACGGCTGAGCTGTGTTCACAACCGATCGCATCCATATCAACGAATTTCAATCCGGGCGTAGAGGTCGAGACCAGTCTTTAAAAAAAAACGTCTTAGAATCCGAAAATGGCGCACGTTAGCTGAAGACGATTGGGCTATAACTTAGCCCGCTCAGATGTCTGGAACCAAGGAAATTTTCACCAACGAAACTTGTAACTTGTAAGTTCCATTGTGATGGGTTATATTATATCTCTGATCTCATGTAATTAATTGTAAGTGCTTTTAACAGCATCGTACTGTAGTCTTTTAGAAAAGTTGCGTTAATATACTGGTGCCAGTGTTGTGTGTTATACTACACAGCCAGGATAGTGATGCTCCTATGTGTGAGCTGAGCCGGTAGCCGCGCCGAGACGCCTGCCCTCGATGCGCCGCGGCGGCCGCGTTCGTTGGTGCCTTCCCAAAACTAAAACAGAAACAAAATTATGGTTAACTCAGTACTCACCCTTTTCTGTTGCATTTGTGAACGGCCATGTGTTTATTACAAGTGGTAACACACATTCCACATAAAATGGACCGTTGATTAGAAGGAAAAGAAGGGTTGCCGAAAGAATAACATTCATTTTGCGTTAATTCACTCGAGTTTGTGTGTGATTTCGAACGTAAGATAATCACCTGACCGATCACATGCTGAAATAGAAGTCACGTGATCTAGTCTCGATTGAATCTCCCAAGACAAGTCAAAGATCATGTTATTTCTTGATAAAGTATATCTATTAATTATTTTGAGAAATAATAAGCCAAGCTGATTAAATTTTAAAGGAATGGAATGCTCATTATCGGATACTGTGAAATGTTTGCCTTTCTATAGTCCAAATAGAATTTGTAAACTATAATAATTATAATTTTCCTCTTCTGATAGGTAAATCCCGTGTGGTCTAGTGGTTAGGATTCGTGGTTTTCACCCACGCGGCCCGGGTTCGATTCCCGGCACGGGAGAGCTGAAATTTTTTTCTTTTTTTTTCTCAATGTAAGTAGTGTTATTGTTAGATTGTGCTAAAATACCCATCAGGATTGTCTTTCCTCTTTATAAAATGTAGTCTTTCGCACTACAACCTCACAAATCTTCAAAAAATGGACCATGTAAAGATTATCACAACGTCCCTATAGAAAATAAGGGTATAATAATATTATACAGTGTTACCAATGTCTCAAAATTGCCTATTTTAGCTTTGTTGTTTCCATTTGTAGATTTCCCCCCTTTTTTTTGTTCCCCCACACCCCTTTGAAAGAGGCTCCGCCCCCACTTATGTTAACATTTTTTTTTCTTCACAATAAACATATTAAAGATAGTCAAAACATCACTGTGTGAGTGGATCCGGAGCCCACAGTTGGATTGGTATGATTAAAAATCATTAAAAATTCCATAACTATGTCACAACTGCTTCAATAGGGGAAGGGCGTGTCCGATTTCTTCTCCCTGATCAGTTCCGTCTTATACCTCAAGAAATTTATGCAAGTTCGAACTCCCAACGTTTCGAGGGACACATTAACTTCATTTTTATCTTACTCAATAAGATCTGAAATGAAAATACAAATAGGAAAGACTGAATAAAGATTTTATCACAAATTAATAAAGCGATGTACAATTTCAACGTTCTATATTATTTAAATTCAATAGACCATTTTCGTAATTAAATCAAATATCATGCATAAATCTTAATGAAGTGCAGTGTTACAAATTATTTCATTCACCTCTCATATTTGCTACAAATAGGCTCATTGTATTTCAATAGTCAGAATGCGAATTGCATACAATATAACCTGTCCTACCTAAAACAGCACGGAAAGTATATGCAAAAGCATTCAGACTATAATTGAAACACAATTATTCATAACAAAATTTATATGGGGTAATGAATGAAATATTTTGCGAATGAGGCATGAATGAATTTAATTACATTACGAAACAGCCTATTAGTTCCACATATAATTGGACAATCGGCGCAAATCAACACGCTTTAGCAAGGCAAGCCTATATACACAATACACAAACTTAAAGGCCTTTTTAAATGACAATGCTCATTTCAACGTTGCAACAATAATCAATAAATCCTTTTGTGATGAATAAAAGGGTCTTGTCGACATAGCGCCCGCCTTAGTCCTATACGCATCGCTTCCTTCCCTTATAAACTCGCAAGGTATATGCAGACCGTTACTTTCACTCCAGCATATCAGTAAACCAATGGACTAGATCAAGAGCTGGAATGCACCGTGAAACAGGTGGCAACAAACTCCACCCGATAACAAATCTACGTATTGAAGATCAGTATATTCCTGACAATGCGGACAATAAATTTAGGAGGTGTATAGAGAACGAAGTTATACATCGTAACAATCATCTTCAAAATGAACGAGCCTACCTAAAATAATTCCATTAGTTGCGTCAACATTGGATTATTGTAAAGGCTTGGGAACATTTTTATTGGAAGATGGAATTGGTAGGAATACACATCACTTTGGCGCTCTTTTGGATGATATCTTTCGCTAGGATATCTTATCAAGCAGGTAAGGATTTTAGATAATATGAGCATTTTGTATAAAATTGGTGTTTTCATTTTTTCATTTATTTTGTTTTATTGAAGGTTCTCCATTTTGTATGAGAATTCATTTCAATATTTACGTTAACTAAGAATTAAATCACAAATGAACTTGGCAAGACCATCTGGTTTATTTCTCAATCTGAAGATGGTTATATACATTTTTTTTTCTGCTTATGCAGTTCATAGTAATTTATTATTGTCACTGTCGTTTTTCGATAAGACACGAATGGATGTACAGGGAAATACAAGAAACAAAAAGAAGATGCTGCGTGCATCGTATTTATTTCTAAAATTCTTTTGTGGCAGAATCAATGATTATAATTTTCAGAAGAATTTCAGGGAAGCGAATTATTGTCTTAACGTAAGAAAAAGACGCACATACTTTGATTCTTTTCCCCGCACGGATGGGAAGGGGGATGGGGAGGTAGGAGGGGGGGGGGGGTATGTGTCCTTACGTTCATAATGCTGACATCAATCATTTGAAGGGTGGTGTCACAACTCAAAACTAGTTACAATTTATGAATAGCGGCCGAACATGCTTACGTGCCCGTTCTGTAATATTAACATGTTTTATTCACATAATTGCGACTTAATCAATATTTTCCTATTGGCATTAGAGTTGAACTAGGTTAATGATACATGATTATTTTGCAAACAAGTATATTACGTTTGTGCCGGCACGTCTATTATTGCTGTGTAATATCTTTTTAAATGTGCTGTGGAATTTTATGATAACTGTTCTGTATACACGTTATGCTTTTTGATGTAAATATGTTCATGATTATTCAGGGCCCATGGAAGACCACTACTTATTGGTGAATAATATTGGCCACCCTGACAAAAAATAAATAAATAAAAACTCAAGTGACATCAAGTATTATGAAAGTTTTATTTAACCATCTTCCGGTTCATACTTTAACTTTTATATAAAGGGGTCATGTTTAGTGCAAGATTGCAATAATGTGTGGGTGAGATGCAATTAAAAACTGTAATATAATCTCCACCTATACATAATGTAAGAAGAGCCTTTGAATCCCCTATAATTTCCATTCAGGAGATATAATTCATATATATATTCTAATTTATCTAGTAGCCGTTTCTCATTTTCCTTTTTATTTTTTATATTATTATCGTTTCATTTTATTTTTTATTATTATTCTATATATATTTTTTTGGTGGGGGGAGGGATGTTGATTAGAAATCTGTCAGGCTGTATTTTCATCTAATATACCTGCTCTTCCCGAAACCTTGGTTATCAGCTAAGATATACCTCGTATGCATAATGGCATCTCAATGAATATAATTCACCTGGCATACATTTAGTTGTTGCTATGTCGGGCAAGCCTTAAGTGGGCTTTTAGTCCACAAGAGAAACTGTTGTTCAAAAATTATAAAATTAGTAAACAGGTTTGTTATTCTCTTTCTATGGATGACGCATTAGAACGTATAAACGTAATAACAGCAACACCAACAATATCGTCATCGAAAGGGCTAATTCTGCGAAAAGTGTGATGTTTGCTACCCAATTTGTGCGAAATTATGGAATGGATAGATGTGTTCATGGTAGATACCAACAGGTGGTATACGATCAGCCTTGAGGTTTTTATTCTCACCCGTCTCCTATCCATTGGTAGAAAATTATCTTCATTGTAACGTTGACGATGATTGATTAAAATGGGTATTATTGAATTAGGCACTTATGATAGATGTAGGAATTATTGTATACATGACAATTAAAACGTCGTTGCACGGACAACCCATTTTAGTTTTTTCAGAATTCAGTTATTCAGTTATATCTCTAAATATTATTCATTTGTTCAATATGAAGATCACTTGAAATGGAACGATAATTTAGCTCTGGGCCTACTTCAGCCATTTGAGTTTGAGAAGACACTATGAGATTCAATGAGGACTATGAACATGATTTGCATATCTAGTATGGAGAAAATATTAATGGAGAAAGAATTGATACAATTATCTTAAAACATGGAATAATTTTAAAAAGTACTTAGTGGAGGCAATTAAGATAATGCATTTTCACAGCTGGCATTGAAAATATTGATGGAGATAAAATCGGCCTAATATCATGGACATGGAATATATTTCAAATATGATAAAAAGAGAAAAAGGGGAATCAATTTAGTCTTACTGTTCATAAAAAATTAGAGCCAAAAAAAAATCCAAACTGATTGTTACATTTTGGCTACGTTATAGTGTTCAACATTTGCCTCCTACACACACTGAGTAAAAAAAAAAACGCTCTTGATTTATTTTTAGCTAATATCTAACAGCCTTTTTTTACTCTTTGTATAAGAAGTCTGTGCTCGTAACCATGCAAACTTTCCAGAAAGCTCTCAAATAGGTTGATATGGACCATGGGGTCATACTGAACGTGTTCAATGACATACAGAAATAGGCATGACAGTTTCATTTCTAGTTTATTTTCTTTGTTTTTTTATAATAACTTTGATATCGAAAAACATAATAACCCACGTGCATTCTTGAGAGCGCACAAAAAAGGTTTGTTGTTATGACATTGAGTTTCTTTACCCTGGCGCCACACGGCATGATATTTTCTTTAAAAGTTCACTGATGGTGCTGAATTCCAAGACGAAATAGCTCCGAGATTACTCACAAAATAAAACTTGCGTGTAAGATACTGAGGAGGTTAGAAAGCACGTGATGGATTCCATCATGAACAATGAAAATTAATGAATGTTATAAAAAAATTGCTTTTCCAATTTCACTGAATGGCATCCAGACAGGGGATTGCCGTGGAATATGATTCAATTTGTGCATTATTTGTAAGAAACTCATAGATTGAATTATAACATCACTTGAAGAACTTTACGCATTCACCAAGGATAAGGATTGTTATAGCGTTCAGGTTTGTACATCATCTTTTAGATACAGATAAAATATAATCATCTACACAGTCATGTAATCAATAAATCAATCAAGAACATAACATATCACGTGTTGAAGTTTAACTCATAGCATAGTACAGGGGCACAGGGCACAAGAGGAGGATGAAATGAAAAGAAGATGCCACAACTTATACTATACACATACCCCCCTCATAAATGACCTGCTTTGCATTTTAATCAAAGAGTAAACCGGTGCTACCAATGCACACCCTCCCCAATATACAGCCCCCCCCCCCCCACGATATCTGGACCGTAACTACACGACTGGTTGTAATCATTTATTATTAATAAACTGATCAATAGTGGAAGATTTCATCATGATCATACATATACTACACACAAATTTAATATTATGAAGATAGAAGTAGCATTCATTTTCAAATTACCGAAATCACTGATCGTGTCTCTCACAAGAAAAACAAAAATTCTCTGATCCAATACAACCAATTCCTTTGAAGGTCATAAAAACACGGGCAAAATCTGTATTCTGAGATTGCGATTTGGACGTGAGAGATTTTCAAAGCAAAACAGGCACAGCTGCGATGGCCCACAAACAATGGAAACATCGATCTGTTGTTACAGCAGAAGATATAGAAAAAATATAATTTCAGTGTGATATGCTTGATACAGAGGAAAGGTAAAAGATTTCAAAGAAAGAGAGGGAGAGAGATAGAGGGGAGGATGATTTTCTTCTTCTCGAACCAAATCGGTACATGCATGTCTTTGAAACAAGCACGATTTCATTTAATTACTTTTTATGAAATTGATTCTACCTGATAATGTTAACATTTTAATTAGCTATCAGACGAACCACAAATCTATCTGAAAATAATGGCATTGATGGTCGAAATAATCAGGTGTTTTTTTCACAGGATACAAAATCTGTATCATTTACAATCATATTATGTTAAATGGGAATACGTTTTTTGATTCATGTTTTTAATTCATAAAGACGATTTTTTTTTCCGGGGGAGGGGGGGGGGGGGATAGCTGTAGCGTAGAATCATTTCGGGTTGGTATGACCAATCCACGATGTAAATGGTCAGTATGACATTTTAAAAATAGGTATGATAGTCCTCTAAGAAACATTGTTTAATGAAGACAAATCTTATTTTATATACGTGTTATTATATGCCGTGGTATCTGACTGCTGCTGCAGTATTTGCGATAACCACTTTGATTAGGCGTATATTTCCATTTTGATATAAAACAATATCTATGCAAATCAAATTATTGTGACCTAGAAAATGTCAGAGAGATGGATAACTTTGTCTCTTATTTTGAAATGAATTCTTCAGGCCCCTTTTTGTTCAAACGTGAAATTTGTATTCAGTTGGTATCAAGTTTGCCATCGTGTAGCTCACGACCAATTCAGAAATGAGAAAAGTCTCATAAAGTTCTTTCTATTTATTTGCTATACGATTAAGAACACTCATATCCACGGAGCCTCATTTAATTTCTTATTGATTATTTCGTGGTAGAATGATGGTGTGGCCAGTTGCATTGCTCAGTCTGTATTATATATGCTCATCTCAAACTGACTTTAAAAATGTCACCTCATGTTAACAAAAGAATCCGCCTTGTTAACACAAAGACTGCAAACGAGTCGTGTATACTCTGCTATTCTCTATATTTAGCTTTTAAAGAGCAAATATATACTCCTTTTTCTGCTTGATCAAAAAAGTACAATTACTGTTGATCAGTAGGTGTGTTATTTACACAATTGTTCTGTCTGGATAACGTAGGCATGATAGAGGCAGGGAAGAGGCTTGTTTACGAACATTTTCAAAGTGTATGCATACTTTTTACACAACAGATGTTTTTGACAACCTGAAAGCTTGCGCGTTGCGTGTCCGACATAGCAACAAATAATGTAAGCAGACTGGATTCTAAGTATTGTAGTTTATTCATTAATAACAGGTTAATGGAATAACTCTTCACTGGGTCCCCATGAAAGATACTAGGGACTTTTAGATTTACACGACGAGAACATGGACCGCCACGTGTGACATCCTTTTAAGGTAATGTGACGTCCTTTTAGGGCACTGCCGGCACGACCCAGTGCCTTAACACAATGTCACACGCGGCAGTCCACGCTCTCGTCGTGTAAATCTAAAAGTCCCTATTTTAAACATGTTAGTATATAAACCGATCTGTTGTTACCGAAATTCCCCGATATTATATAGGCGTATATACTAAACAATAGAGCAATATGAAACAGCTGGTGAAGGGTGTCATCTAATATCAGACGATTATTTCGTAATCCCCTTTTTTCTGTTTTGATGCCATAATATAATTTTAACATCAAAACTCAACCTTTTCCCAAGAAAAGAATGAGCACGTCAAGAGGGCATTTTGTGGTGATTTTTTAAACATTGATACAATTCTCAGACTCGATACAATTTTTCACTAAAGTTGATTTAATGGCTGAATTTATAAACAGTGTAAAACAAGGTTCTAGTTGTATATATACACAGTCATGTATGAATATGAAACGGTGATTGCAAATTCCAAAATTTTCGGGGGGGGCGTAGCCCAGTAGCTTCCGCCTTGTAAGCCATTGTGTATCTTTGATTTGCACGACGAGAACATGGACTGCAATGTGTGACATCCTTTTAAGGCACTGCCAGTGTATGTGACTTATAAAAGGAAGTCACATGTCCACGTCCACGCAAATCGAAAAGTCCCTATTGACTCATTGTAATAATTTTGTTTAAATAATTTGATTTCATATGTGTGTGTTTCTCTCTCTCTCTCTCTCTCTCTCTCTCTCTCTCACTCCAGAAAATGTGCTTTATCCATTTGGGCAAGCAGAGGGAGATACGCAGCTTCCAAGCAATGACGATGGTGATTCGGGGAAAATAAAACTCTATATGAAATTCCCATATTTTGATGAAAATCACGAATCGCTCATAGTAAGTATTACAACCCTTGCGATAGTGTATTGAAAATGTTATTTCTGCTGTTACTTTGTTGTTGTTTTTGTTGTTTGATTGTTTTAACAAATAGAAAAATACTGGTATATATATATATCTTTCTCTTCCGGGAAGAGTTTATACTAGTCAAATCTGCTTTAGTGACCACCTGTCTACAAAGACCGAATGTTGTTTCCCTTGAAAATGGTTTCTCATTGAAACATGTAGTCACCTGCACATAAAGACCATCTGCCTTTAAAAACCACGTTTCTTGTCTCCCTTGGGTTATAGACAGGTTTCACTGTTTTCCATAATATATTTGTTCACATCGTGTGTTGCCGTGATTCTTCTTTTGTTTGTAGACTCAGTTCACGCTACATGTAAATGGTCAGATGATATGAACATTTCTGTCACTTTGCTTTTCGGGGAAAGAAGGTTTCATTTTACATCTTATGTTTTCTTCTTAACAATAATTTGTATTGTATCCAACGTTTTAAATCAGCTGTCACTAAAGGCAAATAGAAATAGTAGAATGAATAATATCCCATCCGCTGCATTATAAAATTGAAAAGAGCTTGCCTTTGCGAGGAATGAATTTCTATTCGAACATTTACTATTGTTAAGCCGATTTTGGTCGTCATGATCATTGTCATTTTTGAAAATGAATGAAACTTTTCTGTCCTCTCTCACCCCATTCAAATCAGGTGAACACGAATGGCATCATCTCGTTTATCAAGAACGTCTCCCAGTACACACCCGACGTTTTCCCTCTCGACGACGATCGTCGTATCATCGCTCCGTATTGGGCCGACGCCGATACGTCGACTCAACGTGGTGAGAACGGTAAAGTCTGGTACAGGCAAACGAACGACACTACTCTGCTAACGAATCTTACGGATCAGATTCGAAGCGTTTTTCGAGTCGAGTTCAGATTTCGGCCTTTCGTCGCCACATTCGCGTTCGTGGCGACATGGGAAAATGTGACGTTCTATTCCATTAGCGGCGGTGCTGCCGTAAAGGTAAACCCGTTGTTGTATAACATGCAGAGGAATCCACTTTGAACATTTTTAGGAGTCACATTAAATTAGGGGTCACCTCCTTTGGAGTTGAATCCACTCCAGATTCTAGTTGAATCCACTCCAAATTATAGTGGAATCTACTCCAAATTATAGTGAAATCCACACCAGATTATAGGTGAATCCACTCCAAATTATAGTGAAATCCACTCCAGATTATAGGTGAATCCACTCCAAATTATAGTGAAATCCACTCCAAATTATAGTGGAATCCACTCCAGATTATAGGTGAATCCACTCCAAATTATAGTGAAATCCACTCCAGATTATAGGTGAATCTACTCCAAATTATATTGAAATCCACTCCAGATTATAGGTGAATCCACTCCAAATTATAGTGAAATCCACTCAAGATTATAGATGAATCTACTCCAAATTATAGTGGAAAACTGTGCTGTGAGTTGTTTCCACTATTTTTAAGCTTTGATTTCCAATACAAATTATTATGATCCTTTGTATGACTCCTCAACAGTTAATTTACATTCCTGTATTTTCGGACTATAGAGGTAGTAAGGGGTGATGGGGGCAGGGGGTTGTTGGATGGAGAAATAGAAAGAGAGAATTTGAGAAGAGTAGAGGAGAGAGAGAGGGGGAGAGAGAGGGGTGGGAGATAGTCAGAAAAGTAGAGAGAATGAGGGAGATAGAAATGTGGAGGAGATGAGAGATAGATAGAAAGATAGAGAGAGAGAGAGAGAGAAAGGGAAAGAGAAAGCGACAGAAATGAAAAGAGACGACAGCAAGAAAGAATTATCGCTGAAAATTATATATACAATTAGGTTTCTCATCATCTTTACCCTCTGTTACCATGTCAACAGACCAATACATTTCAGGCTGCGCTGGTGTCTGACGGGGACTATTCATTCACAATATTTAACTACGAGCATCTCGAGTGGACTACGGGGAGCTCGAGCTTCGGGAACAAAGGGACTGGACTGGCGGGAAACAGCTCCGATGCCGTGGCCGCTCAAGTAAGTAAAATAAAAGAAGAAATAAAACAGTTAATGAGTTAAAACTCAGTACTAAGACGACCACGTTGATTGAAAACTCAGAAGCCAAACCCACTTGTACAAAGCAAATAGACTAGCTAGAATAATTTACTTTAAAAAATACACCAAACTTGCATGAAATAACACTTAGTAAATTTCAGGGCAGCCTGTTTATACAACTCGGCACAACTCGGCACAACTCGGCACAACTCGAAGTCACAAAAATCAATTCTTTTGATTAAACTAAGAAAACACGTGTTATTTACGCTTCCCAAGTCGAATAATGCATTAGCATAAATATTTTGTTATGGTCCCAACAGATTCGACTCATGGAAAGTAAACTGTATAGTTGAGAAATATCGATATATTCAATAACATTGAAATATTTAAATTATACAAGATTTTAATTCGAGCACTTCGGCTGCTATTGTAAGTCCGGTGGTATAGAAGTTGACTTCATCTCCCCTCAAACCAGATGACTCAAAATCTTGAATGAATGAAGCGAAGAACAAGAAACTTTATTCACCGAAAGACAACCCTTTGTTTTACATTCCTAACAATGATTCCAATACCCTTTTTGCTAGATATTGACAAGTTGGAATGTTGACTGTCAATTCGATGGTTAGATCTTTCTTTTCACAATGTGTCATTGATTGTTTGGTTTTGCGAACATGACCAACATTGATTTTTGGCTTGAGGTCGCCTGATTGATTATTAGGGAATCTTATAACCGTGCTCTGAAATATTGAATACATTGTAAACTTACACAAAGGAAAGTGACCTTAATCGATGAAATCATATGTTGCCTGCAAATGCTAACTCCCATGAGACGTACATCAAACACCTTATCATGGTCACATTAATGTTGTATAGCGCTTAAAGATACTATTCCCTTTTGCAACCACCATCAAATTCTGTAGAACTTTGCAGGAATTATGAATATGTCATGTATGTCCTATCTGTGAAATTTAAACGTTAGCAGTGCCTATTCAAATCATGCAAGGAATCTCGTTTACCTTCTAGAATTCACTGTCAGACACTATTGAGTAACTGACTGGCTTTTGTTCTTCTGTGGTAATAACATACATGAGCTGTAAAGGGTGCATGAGCACTTGTCTACATCAATAACCCACTTCTTGTAATGGCCAAAATTAAACTGATTGAATCTTTGCGCAGCATAAAACGTATGACCATTCGGTACAATGGTCTGAAAATCAGACTATTACTTACTTGCTCTATAGCCCTTAAGTCGATTCGACAACTAATAGTCGTTATTTCCCCACTTAAAGACATTTTCAAGCCCCCTATTTTTTTGGAAGTTCTAAATTAGTATTATCGTTCAAATGCCGTTGGAATTTAACCTTTTCATTTTTTAGCCTGCAAATGGGACATAATAGTATTGAAACACTAATCTAAACAGAAACGTTCAATCTATAGGTCGGTTTCAATGCTGGTGATGGGAGTAACTACTACTCGGTACCAGGATCAAGAACGGATGCGATCCTTGACATCAGCCATACCAGCAACATCCTGGTGCCAGGGAGATGGGTCTTCAGGATCGATGGCAGGTCCATCGAAGCAGGAGGATGCGGAGAAGATACCAGTAAGATTGACTTCTGCTTTTTCTCTATACTGTTCCTTCATCTAACCATCCCGTTTAATATCATTTGTATTGTTTTTTAACTCTTCACTATATTTGCTTCTTTCACTATAAGGTCTTGTATTTAGTGTATTCGTTTAGGAATGATCAGGGTAGACAAAAATACCGCCTCTTTTCTTGATGGTGATGGTGATGTTGGTTGTTATGGTGGTGCCGTTGATGATGATAATAATAGTGATGATGATGATGATGATGATGATACTAATAATGATGATGCTGCATAATGATGCTGAATGTGTGCGTTTACACGATACGTGATTCGTGACTCTTGTCCCGATTCAATCCTCATGGTCAACTTGCTATAGTAAATACCATGTTCCATGATAATTTTGTGGAGCACCAGGTATAATATACACCGCAATTTCTCCCAAAGTAAAGGATTTTAACTTTGTGCTCTCAAACACGAAAAATGTCAGAAGCTACAATGCACATCCAACTGTTGCTACACACAGCAAGGGTAGCATAATGTCCATGTTTTGTAAAGTTAACCAAATAGTGCTGTGAAATACACGAGTTGACATCGAATGCGATGAAAATTGTTCTATAATATAATATGTGTGATATTTTTGAAAATTTGCCTTTGTTCCAACATGATTTCATGTTAGCCATAAGACCCATCAATTAACATGATGAATAGAATACCCTAAGAAGACTAATATTATTTTAAATCAGGAATACAACTATAGAAGATTTTACTTTAATATGAAATACGTACAAAACCTATCCCCATCTTATTTTCTTCTCCACAATTGCAGCTCAACTTCAAATCTCCCCTCAGCAAGTGAGCATGCTCGGGGGTGATGTCCTATCGATATCAGGGCCCTGCTTTGAGAGCACAAACAAAATCCTCTGCCGTATGGAGGACGTCGTGATTGACGCCATTTACGATCCCGAGAAGGACCCGTTCACTGTTAGGTGTCCATCCCCTTTGTTTTTGCGTGCTGGTCCTGCCGATGTGGAGTTGTCCAGAGATGGCGGGATATCGTACAACTATACCGGACGGGTCTCCGTAGGTGAGTGAGGATCATGATACTTCAATACATTCTCTTTATTTGTCAGAAGAAAGAGAGAGAGAGAGAGAGAGAGAGAGAGAGAGAAATAAGGATAGAATTGGTTAATAAATGATTTTGTAATAGAAGAATAACAGATAAAAATCAGATACGTATCCAGAGAGATATAAAGGGAAAAGGGAGGGTGTCCACTCCGGGGAAACGTTTGTCGCATACTATTTTCGTTATTCTGGGCCTTCTGTGCGTACACTGTATATCGGGGAATGAGAGAGAGACAGGGAGAGAAAAAAGGGGAATGGGGGTTGGAGAAGAGAAGAAGGAGGAGGAGAGTGAGAAAGATAAAGAAGTAGGCTGTCTTTTGCTTGCCTAGACTTTTAGGTTATGAATAGAAGCCCTAGACCTCTTGAAGTCTTTAAGCAGGTAGTATTTATTTCGTTTTTCTGGGCCTTTGGTGAGTACATCGCGAAATGAGAGAAAGGCGAGTGATAAGATAAGAAGAAGATGAAAGAGAAAAGGAGAAGAAGAAGAAAAGGAAAAAGAAATATAAGAAGAAGAAGAAGACGATGCATCACTGTAATCACCTCTATCTTGTTACCACTTCTTAAAGATATAGCGACATATAAATGCAAACGTTCACAAAGAAATACCTCGTTTCTCGAATACTTTCTAACTCACCACTTTCATTTTCTTTCCTCGTGTGTATTTATGAAGTCGGTCTTGACCGGATCGAGCCATCTATTACCGTACATGAGCAGTCTGCCGACATCTTAAACGTGACGTGGAACACTGACGGGTTTCCCAGTCCTGACTCCACGGCTCAAGAAGACATCGCCATAGATATTCTGCTGTACCTCTACGAGGAAAGTGCAACGACGGGACTTGTGCAACTGGCCCCGGCAAGCCGCATCCAAAGTGGCATCAAACTTGCCAATGGTCAGATCTTTTTGAAACTGATGGACATTTCTGCTGAAGTAACAAGTGGGAGGAGCGTGGGCATTTTCCGCATCACGGAGGCGGGAGTAGTAGACACTACTCTTTCAAATAGGTAAGTGATGGAGAAATAGAATAATCATCATTTGAGGCACCAATAGATCTAGACCATTTAGAATAAGGATTTAGAATTTAGAATGCTGTAGGAGGGAGTGTTGGATTAGATTTGCTGATGACAAGTTACCCGTGACATTTCAAACAAGCTTGAAAAAAAAAGGGGGGGGGCGTTAGATCTTCATTTTACGAACAAGAAGGGTAAAACTTCGTTGTCGTATTTTCAAATTCGCCGACAGATGATAAATATTTCAAACATCATGTAATTAATCAGATAACAGCAAATGACTTAGAACAACCTCTCTTAGCTCTGAGAAGCCATTGCCACTAGGAAAATGGATACCACCCCCTTATTGCGAGCAGAAAGAGAAACACGTTCTGATATGCGACGTCATTTTATAACGAGCGACTTTGACGGAATTAGGCGTAGATCTAAGATGTAAAATCCCAAATTTTGCCAATAGATGAATCAGATTTAGATCTATAGATTATGATTAAAAATTGTCATTATTCGTTCAGAAGTTTGCAGGGCCGTGGGGTTAGAGATATTATAAAGATAAGGCCTTGCATCCACCTCAACAAATTGGGAAAATGAAAAATGAAATATTGGAGAGAGCTTACTTTCTAATTAAAAGTGACAAACGGTTTGTATTTGTAATCTTGGCAATGTTTTAATTTGTATTCATCCACGAAAGTCGTCGATTTGTTCAATGATGACCGTTTCTTCTTTTCACTTATTCTTCCAGATGGGTCAATGGCGACCCGGACATCATGGACATGGAATATCCTATAGCCGCCATGTGGTCCTTGCCCTTCAATCTCAACCCAGACTCCAGCCCAGCCGCAGCGGCACGCTGGTGTGAGACATGGGCGTCGGATCAAATCCCTTTCCGAACGACTGGGGACAACATCCCGCCTTGTCCGTGTCTCCTTTCACAGGCTCTGGCGGACATCAGCGTGTTCGAGCGCTACCCGTGGTGCAATCAGCGCCTCGATGACAGGTGTGAATACCGTCAGGAAGCCAAGCACTGTGTCAGAGCTAGGATAGCGAGGTAATGAGATTGAACATCGATTTTTATTTTTCGTTGAAAATGTTTGTTTTTATGTCTCATCTAATATTTTCAGGGTGTGGATTTACGCCCGGATTTACGTTACAAAATGTGAACAATCTCCCATTTCTCTTTTTCTTTACACCTTTTATATCTCCTTCCTCTCTCCCTATCTCCATCTTCGTCTCTTTCCCTTTCCCTTTCTATGTTTCTTTCTCTTTCTCTTTCTCTTTCTCTTTCTCTTTCTCTGTCTCTTTCTCTTTCTCTGTCTCTGTCTTTATCCTGTCTACCTTTCCGTAGGCTTACTTTACATCACTCCGTTTCCCCAGAAAATGCTAGATGTCGGTTGGCAGTTTATGTTAATATATGTTGCTATTATCACGTAATAATGTGAGAGGTCGTCAAAACTAAATTATATTCCACATATTAAGAATCTTGCTCTCGATTGGTCAAAAGTAAATCACGTGATGAAAGATAGTTCGCCCATCATTGATGGGAGAAGAAAAGTTCGTTGCATTGTGTAGATAGTATACTATCTTCTTTTGATGTGAACATATTCCTACATAACCTTACTCTATGATTGGTCAAAAGTAAATCATGTGATGAAAGATAGTTCGCCCATCATTGATGGGAGAAGAAAAGTTCGTTGCATTGTGTAGAGTACTATCTTCTTTAGATGTAAACATACTCCTACATAATCTTACTCAACGATTGGTCGAAACTAAATCACGTGATGAAAGATAGTTCGCCCATCATTGATGGGAGAAGAAAAGTTCGTTGCACTGTGTAGATAGTAGTACTATCTTCTTTTGATGTGAACATATTCCTACAGCAATCTCGGGCACGGTCAGCTGTGCTGCTATGGCGTTGACGGTAACCTGATGCACTTAAACGACACTCCCGCCGGCGGCTACACCCAAAAGCACCACCACCGCGGCTTCCTGCCTCCCAAGTTCCCCGGCACCATCCCATACCTCTCCAACTACCTCCGGGATCGCATCCCGTGGGAGGAGTGCTGTGGAAAGACCGGAAGTGGTACAGAGGAGGAGAAAGATCATTGTGACCTCTTCAGGGGTCTGCGGCCGTCTGATGACTGCAAGTTTTATAGAACACCTACAGTCGGTACGAATGGGTTTTTTCTTTTGTCCTTTATACTGTAATTCAGTCGCAAATACGTTTGAAATACTTGGGTGATATAAAATACCTGATGTGTTGACCATTATACACACATTGGCCCAAATTCACAAATGGGGTTTGTCGACAAACCTAGGTTTATGTGCGTCATATGACGCGTGTTGATGCGTTTCTGACCAAGGTTTGTCTGAACCTAGGTCTGAAACGCATCGAAACGTTAATGTTTACCTCCAGATTCGTCATTTTCAGGAAATAGTTGGTATCATGTTGACAGTATTTTGTCGTTGTTGTATAAAAATGATGATAACCTAGGCAACATTAATAATATTGAACTGAACAACTGGCCATGATATTTTTTTATTAAATTCTCTAAACAAAATTCTACAGAATGAAAATTTGATCAAAACATGTTTTCTTGTTCTGATTCATTCAAACTTTTCCCTTGTACTTTACTGACTCAAAATTGCTTGTGTGCCTATCATAAACACTATTAATCCTAAAAGGTAAAATGATAAAAATGATCTCGTGGAATTGCGAGAAATATCCTAAACACGAAAATGTATTTTGTCTCGTCGGTACAGCGGCTGTATTCGGTGAGCCTCATCTGATCACGTTTGATGGCAAAGACTACATCTTCAACGGCTACGGGGAGTACGTACTGGTGACTACCAAGGATACAACACCATCGGATCTACGTATAGAGGTTCAGGGGAGAATGCAACAAATAGATGAAAATGGTGAGACCTGACAATCAATAACGACAGTCAAAGACCATATTGAATGTCATGCTTGTATATATATATATATTGCGTCCCAGAAAAAAACGAAACCGAGACTTATCGATGTTTTATGATAACCTAATCACAATCATGATTAATAAATGACACATATTTGTAAAGCTTAGATCCTCCTCTTTCATTTGATGCAACTCACATGATGCATATTTCACGCATGAGTGATTAAAATCAATTTGAAGAAAGGGTACCAAAAACTCATTTGGAGGACGGTATCTAGAAAATCTAGAAGAAAAAAAAAATCACATTTCAAGAAAGTTTATTTTCTGCCCTTTCATATGACACCTCAATCAGGAAACATGAGCTAGGAATAACAACGTTCTGTTCGTTTAAAGTAATGCTTGCATTTTCATAATTTTATTAAACAAATTCGTTTTCACTAACTGCCTGCCGTAGCAACAAACAGAATTGACAAAAGACTTAACTCTGTTTTGTTGACGATCAGCCATAGACGAAAGACTCCATACATGGCTGATTGTCAACGAAACGGAGTTAAGTTAAAACATTGAAAGTTATCTGACATCCTAGCTTACTCGTGTTTTTTTTAAATTCCCATCCTCCATCGACAGTTAAGGCGACTGGTTTGACGGCTGTAGCTATCAAGAGTGACACCTCATCCACGGTTCAGATAGAACTAAACGAACGAAGAGAAATGGATGCATGGATCAGAACCCGTGATGGAAGCAACGATAGATGGAATCACATCAACTTTGTCAGAAGTAACTTCTGGATGGACAATGGTAAATAGTATTATGATTCTCCTGAAGATTGTTGATAAAATTTTAAAACTCTATACGCTGTTTTATTTATAAGCCCCCGTGGACATCTGTTTTGTGTTTGTTACACTTATTTCTGCTATAAAATATTGCTTAAATAAGTCTGCAGTGTTGGCCATCCGTCTGCAAATTACGGTATGCATGGACATGGACATGGTAAGCGTTTGGTGTTTAAAAAAATACGACAATTTTTTTTGTTATTGTGTCTTTCAACCTCCTATGTAAGTAACTTCTGGATGGACAATGGTAAATAGTATTATGATTCTCCTGAAGATTGTTGATAAAATTTTAAAACTCTATACGCTGTTTTATTTATAAGCCCCCGTGGACATCTGTTTTGTGTTTGTTACACTTATTTCTGCTATAAAATATTGCTTAAATAAGTCTGCAGTGTTGGCCATCCGTCTGCAAATTACGGTATGCATGGACATGGACATGGTAAGCGTTTGGTGTTTAAAAAAATACGACAATTTTTTTTGTTATTGTGTCTTTCAACCTCCTATGTATGTTTCAATTGAAATGAATAAAGTTGTGGCATATACAGAAGTTAAAGTTCACTTAATTTCTTTGCTCTTTGTTTTCGTACAAAAATAAATAAAACATCCTCTTAACAATATATATTTTTTATAATCTATAATATAGATACTTAAAATTGCCTGTAATCAAATAAATCATAAATGATCATCCATAAGGATCGTAAATCCACTCTGATGATACGCGATTGCGGGTTGCACAATACTTCTTTGAAAATACGATTGTTTTGTAATTAGAAGAGGGTAGGCCTACTTGATCTTCCATCCCCTTCCTCATCCCAACGCCTCGCATCCAAGTTATGTAATCTTTAATGCATCCATTATCCTACAAAAACACAGGTGTTACGATCGAGTTGGGTTCCACCGACGACAACCGCAAGCTCTTCTCGGTCACGTTCGACCAGGGAATCGCCGTGGTGCTCGAGAAGCCTCCTAACAGCAATGCGATGTCGATCCAAGTTTACCTCCCTCCTACTCTAAAGGAACAGGTCCTAGGTCTCTTGGGGACCTGGAACAACCAAACATCCGACGACTTCACATCTCCGTCTGGTCGCATCATCTCCGGCCTCTCACAAGAGAATCTGCACAAGTTTTTCGGCCAGGAATGTAAGATGGGTTCGCGCGTTTAAGCAGATAGCAAAGAATGTATATGACATCGTCTTGATACTAAATGGCACAATTTTCTTTAGAATTGTATAATCTTACGAAGTCAGAGTTGAACTGTACCGTTTGGCCAGGCCAGTGTTGAGGTTCGTCTCGTTTCCATGGTCCAGATTGAAGAAAATAATGTGCCTTTAAAATCGTTGTTGGAAGTCAACCCTATCCCAATATTGTTTGAACACCCACACTGTTTCGATATTTTTCTTAGTCAGTGTCGGATAATGATGTCAGTTTTTATTTTATTGATGGAATCTTAGAAGCAGAATATATGATTTATTCGGTCAAGGCCATATAGTTTCCAAAATCTGGACTATTTCGTCATACTGTTGATGGACCCGTATCGCGAGACAACAATCCAATTTTCTGTCTCTTTCTATTGTTTTATTTTCTACTCATGCAGCTTAGCATGAAGAGAAGCGTTCAGTGAACAAAAATTGATGGCCGTGGAAGAAGAAAAAAAAGCGTACAACAATAACTACTAGTATTTGATAGGAAAATGTATATGACTCGTTATTTACACTTATTTCTATAACTATCCTATACATCACTGGCATAAAGAGATAAATAAAATCCACGTCTTTCTTTTCTTTTTCTTTACTTGCGTACGCCAATTTTTCAGGGAATGTTAATCCTGTTAAAACACATTTCCGATACGAGGTCGGATTAAATTACTCTTTGATCAACGACGAGGACTTCGAGCCGAACTACGACTTCCCAGACTTTGTGACCGACGATGAACTCGACGAAGTCTGCGCCGATGATAAGTTCTGTCGCTATGACTACAAAAAGACGACGAATCCAGATATGGGAGAAGCCGCCGGGCATGCGCACTCTGAGTGGGAACGAACGCGAAATCGGACTACTAATGGTATGCCGATAAGTTTTAACAAAAATATTTGTTAGAAATAAGATTCAGGGATCAAATTGGATGTGCAGAATAAAATCAGGGAAACAATATGGATGATACACATAGCAATAATTGCGGAACAATGTCTATATACCACTGACGGGTTTAACTCTGTTGTCGAAATGTGTGGAACATAATTTATCCCAGAGTCTCCCATCCATCTCTTCCGAACTTTGGCAAGACATTAATCTACATTTGCCGCACTCAACCCAGCTGCTGGAGCTAAATCTAGGGTAATAATTTCCAAAGTTCTTTGGAAGCGCAGAGAGATGTTATTAATAATGCGATGTACAAGAACTGAATATTATTATTATTACTATAGCGTAATAGCCGAAAAATCTTTTGTATTTTGCTTGGGAGTATTTCAATATCAGGAACGATCGCCTCTGACCAGATTATGTATATTTTTACTAAGCTAAAAGTTTTTTCATCCATCCGTCCATTGTTTTACAGTCGTAAGCTGTGGCTACCTTCCACCGCCGGGTAATGGCAGCAAGATGGGCGTGGTCTATCTAGGAGGGACCACGGTAACCATGGCATGTCACAAAGGATTTGATTTGATGGGTACAATCGAATGGCATTGTAGCCCTATGGGTAGCTGGACTACAACGACACCGACACCGACGCCAACGACGTGTGGTAAGTTTTATCCCAGGGACTCTTGAAAAAGGTTTGCGATGTTACGTAACTTTTAAAATAGCAAACGCGATTTTTTACATTTCACATGTTGTATAATACACCATTACATTTGGCATACTACATTTTTTCAATTTTGTTGTTGTTGCATCTATACAAACGAAAAGAATAATATATAAGACTAAGTTAAATAAAGGGAGAAATATGATGGAGCCTAAAGAGAAAGCAATGCTTGTAGGTCATAGGCTCCGGAAGTTATAACATTGATATAGTCTTGTGTTTATTAAACAACGTAAAAGGATTAAATTGGAACTTATTATGAAGAAAAGGTAAGCATTGGTCATATACTTAGCAATATATATATTACATCTTCACTCACCGTACGCAATGGCAATTCTCATTTTAAAGGTTGCATTCAATGACATGCGCATTAATTTTATGCACATTTTATACACCAAGTTTTATCACATGTTCATTGTTACTATGAAAAGTAAAAAGTCACACAAATTGGATCAGTTCAGTAGTTTATGAAATTTTCAACAATTGAGGGAAAATCTCAATTTGCTCTCCAAAAAAGCATGCATGCAATGTAAGCCATCCATATATAACAAATTGATTATATTTAGAATTTAATAATGAAATTTCACGTGGTACGATTTTCAACCAATTAACTCGATAAAATAAATATCTGGAAATAATGTGTTGGTGGTATTACTACATAGAGGGATATATTGTGTCACATAATATATTTTCAATTCAGTGCACTAGGCCATTTCTGATTGGCTCATTCTGGTGATCGTATTGTCATTTCGTTCTGCCCTTCTTTCCTCGCCCCGCCCCTACCAGCCGATGTTTTACGCCACTGGTGTGTATATATAGGGTTGCTTGTGTATTTATGATGTTCCTAAGAGGGATCTTTTATAAATAGCGGTCCTTGTAAATAGCGAGCAGACCCCGCTGATAAGGGTGTTCCATCATTTAAAATGGTAAATAAATAAATGAATACATTTTCTACATGCAGTTGAGAGCGAGACCAATATGTGGCTTATCCTCTATATCGTGATGGCTATTGTGGCTTTCCTGATCTTGATATCGTGCTGCCTCATCTGCTTTGTGTGTTTCATGAGAAGACGCAAAGACAAAGAACACGACAGAGAAAGGTTTGCATGCATAAGATCTATTATATTACCATTTAATCCCAACAGTAATAATAATAAGAATATGTCGCCCAAAAGTTTCCTAAAACGAGTTAATGGTGTTATGCTAGGAGTCCACTGGGCCAGCGCCAGTTGGTGCCAGTTCGCGCCAAAGATAATGTGATTGGCGCGTAGTGGCTCGCTGTGGCGCCGAATTAATGTCCGCTCGGCATGTGTCGCCAAGTGGAATAAACTGGGTGCCATATGACGTGCGCCAAATGCCACCCGGCATGCTCCAAAATGTTGCGCCAGTTTGCGCCAGTTCGCGCCATTACACGGCCATTTGATTCCAAAATTCACCCTGTTGGCGCCATTCGCGCCAATAGACGGCTACTTTGCGCCACTTGGTGATTAGTTTGTGCCAAAGGTCGCCAAATTGGTTTGAACTTGCCGCCGCTTGGCGCTACTTGCCGACTATATAAATACTGGCCATCGGCTACCTGGTTTAGACCCTCCTCAGCCAGGGGCGTCGCCAAAGGATGGGTGGGGGTGCGACACCCCCCCCCCCCCCACCTGACGAAAATTGCGCTGCCGTCGGGAAAAAGAGAAAAGGGGGAGGGGAAAAAAGAGAGGGAAAAAAAAGAGAGGGAAAAAAGGAGAGGAAAAGGGAAAGAAAAGAAAAAAAGAAAAGGAAAAGAAAAGAAAGAAAGGAAAAGAAAGGAAAGACAGAAAAAGAAAGGAAAGAAAAGATAAGAAAGAAAGAGAAAAAAAGAAAAAGAGGGAGGAGAGGAAAGAAAGAAAAAGAAAGAAAAGAAAGAAAAGAAAAAAAGAAGAAAAAAGAGTGAAAGGGAAACAAAAGAGACGGGGGGGGGGGTGAAAGAGAGGGGAGGTAAGAGTCTGAGAGAGGAGGTGTGGGAGTAAACGAAAGAAGTGGTTGTTGGGTGGAGTCGTCTCGTCGAGGGAGCAAGAAAGACACGGGTATATATGTTGCTGTGTCGGGTCAGCTGTGATCCTCGTGTACTATATCAGTGCAGAAGTTTGAAGTCGGTGAGATGTATATTGTCGGTCGGCCGACAAGTTTTTTTCCCTACAAACTGTGACTTCTTATCCGCTAGTGACGACTTCGAGAGTGACTACAACTACAATACTTGTATTTTCTCGAAGTTTCACTTTCCTATAATATTAGCTAAAGAAATCAGAGGTTTAAAATTCGAACAAGGTTTAAGAGTCAACAACGGTAGGACGAATCGTCTTCCTTTCTATTGTGATGAAACGCCAAAAATTCCGCGCTTTGCGCGAGAATGGGAAACTAGGGTTCAGACAAATAAGGCTTATTAAAAGTCGAAAACGGTACAACGAATCGTGTTCTTTCTCTAATAATTTGAAGAAACGTCAAAGCTTTCACGCTTCGCGCGAGAGGGGGAAACTGAATTCAGAAGAATAGGGCTTAATAAGATTCGAAAACGGTACGACGAATCGTCTTCTTTCTCTAATAATTTAATGAAACGTCAAAACTTCCACGCTTCGCGCGGGAGGGGGGGGGGGGAACTGAATTCAGACAAGGATAAACAGTCGAGAACGGTACAGCAAATCGTCTTCTTTTTTATGAAACGTCATAGCTTTCGCGCGGGAGGGGGGGAACTTCATTCAGCCAAGGATTAACAGTCGAAAACGGTACAATTAATCGTCTTTTTTTCCTAATAATTTAAGGAAACGTCTAAGCTTCCGCGCGTCGCGCGGGGCCCATCACCCTCAACCCCTTAATGAGCGCGCTTTTAAGTGATTTTCTTGCTCACTACCGCCCCTTCATAAAATAAGATCCTAGCTCCGCGCCTGCATTAAAATATATAGCTATGATGCTGACTAAATTGAAGAAATAATACGTATATTTATGTCGTCGAGGAAAATGACCATTTTGCGAATATGCAAGTACTATACATAGTCCATAGGAAAAAACAATTTAGCCTTCTGCCCCAGGTTTATAGGGTTGAATTTGTAGATATTGGACATCTAATTTTGTCGGTAATTGGTGGCTAGTTTTGTCGGTAATCGTTGGCCTCTACACCCCCCCCCCCCCACTGAAAAAAGGTCTAGCGACGCCCCTGTCCTCAGCTGCTGTATGAACAACATCTCTACTAATGCCACCTGGCTTGCTCCAAAATGTTGCGCCAGTTCGCGCCATTACATTCCAGTGGATTCCAATCGGCGGATTGTTTGCGCCAAAGGGCGATATGTTCGCGCCATTTGGTGCCACTTGGCGGACACTTGGAGCTGATTGCTCGATGCAAGTGGCGCGATGAAAATTTCAAACATTTTGAAATTTTCTTGCCGCCACATTCAAATTTGGCGCCGTTACGGGCCACCACGAGCCAGTTGGGAGGCAGTGTGAGCCACTACACGCCACTAGGCACCTTATTGACGACACTAGGCGCCACAGTAAATTGCATTGGCGCAAACTGGCACCAACTGGCGCCGGCCCAGTGGACTCCTAGCATAATGGGTACCCGGTAGGATGCGACCGTCATTGTTGGTCAAACAGTTTTTGAGCGTCAAGTAACGCCTGGCTGGAATGCTCCCCAGGGAGTGGAGGTTGTGCACACAGTGTGTGCGGGGAAGCACTGAATCCAATGACCGGGGTAATAGTATATTTTTAAAGCGCTTAGAGACATTTATTAAGCGCTATATAAAAATTAAATATTATTATTTTATTATTATAAATGCAACGCTTCGAATCTACATCAATGTCATTAGATTTAATCCCTTTAAAACTTTGTCTGGAATGATTAAAAGAAAATAAACTTTTGAGATTTAAAATTCCCTTTTTCATGCTTAGTGCGACCAGGTATCGACGAAAGGACCACCTGTTTGAAGGCATTGCTTATACAGTTACTAGACCTACTTCAATTTTTTTTTTAAATGTGCTAGTACTCGGAAGTTCGATGAGGTTTTATGTATGGAAAAAAGTTTTAATCTTCACCAGTGATAATTTTCCTAAGCTTACCGATTAATTCTGGAGGTGATGATTAAGGAAAAATTACCGTATCAATGTCTCTCGAATCAGTATTGCATTCAAACTATATAATGAGATTTGTGATGATTTCTGATTATATCTGTTTGTTTTTATTTTATTTGTAGGGGCAGATCCAAATCCAACGCTGGGTTGTCTGTTGCCTACCAAAATGCAGCTTACATGCCGGATGGAGGAGAAACGAAGATAAATGGTGTCACGCCCACTTTAAACGGAGTAAGCAATGGCAATGGTGCCTCACATCACATCGCCAGGGACGCAGCGACGGATGGAGGCGGGGCTTATGGTCAACCAGCCAATGGGCATGCCGCAAATGGACATACAGCTAACGGGCACGCAGCAGCCAATGGACTCACAGCCAATGGGCACGAAGCATCAAATGGACACGCAGCCAATGGGCACGCAGCAGCAAATGGAAACACAGCCAATGGGTATTCAGCGAGCAGCATGTATGGCCACGGAGCTGATGATGAACATTGGAACAGAACATTGGATTCAGCTATCGGAGTTGTGGGCGTGCCAGAGGGCGGATCAACATCCAGTGGCAGTGTAAGCAGTCCAAGGAGACCCGCCCAGCCTTCGACAAGTCGCGGTGACCAGCCGTCAACATCCGATGATCCTGCCAACTACAAGGGCAAAGCTCCGCCCATTGAAAAGAAACTGAAGAAGAAGGCGAAAGAGAATCCTTATGGCGCATTACCTGGTCTAAAATCCAAACTGAACAATCCGGATTATGAGACATTATCAAAATATCGGAAGGATATTCCCGCTCTCGGAGAGTAAGTATAATCAGAGTATTATCAAATAATAAAGTTTACCAACTAGAGCAGTATAATAGAGCCCATAACACTCAGGTACTATAGTATGTGATATTAGCTTCGGGTCATAGGCATATCTGATAATCTGTAATAAACAAACATTGTGTGAGCTAGTTATTTCAACAAACATTTGTTAATAATCAAGTTACAAGCAACATAGAGGTGGTGTGGTCAAGTGGATAAGTCATCGGACTGTGAACCACATGGTACGGGGTTCGAATCCCTGCTACAGCACCAACGTTCTTTGACAAGACATTTATCTACATTTGCCACATTCGACCCAGGTGAGCTAAATGGGTAAAATTGGTACCATCAGGAATTAATTCCTTGATTATGCTATAGAGCGCCATAATGGCAGCCATGCTGAACTCGGGATAAAAAAAATATGGACCGCCAGGAGTGTGAAGTCTGACAGATATAAGAACTGTACAAGAACCCACTTATAAACGTCCATTGAAACTACTACTATACGTTAGGATTTATATTTATTCCACGATGCCCTTCCTCTTTTAACGGCCATTAAAGTGAACGACGTATCTGATATCATGTTCCTGACACTCGTTCTTATTTCTTTAGAAATCTTTGCGTACATTTGATCTTTTTGTCTTGCGAAGTTACTAATTAGTATGTTGTATACTATGTCACTAGAAGCTTTGAGAGACATGTAATATTCAATGATTCCTTCTTTTTTCAAATCTAAACATATTTGTGGCTTACACCCAGTAAAGAAGATCCATTGGTCGATCTGTAATTCATTGAAAAACAAGTCAGAAAAAAAAATGTTGGAACCAGCGATCTTATTACTGGGTGTAAGCCACAAATATGTTTAAATAATTGAAATTTCTCCCATTTATTACATTCATAAAATATTCCTTTTTTGTTATCTATCAAAATATCTTAATCAAGGTATTTGTGGCTAAGGCGGTACAGAGAGGTTTGCATTGTATGTGAATTTATGATCATTCCATCTGTTGCACAACGCATGCAAATACGATCTATATGACTGTATACCATTACATACGGCGCTTTTTTATCATTTAATTTCATTTTCACTTCTTGTTAAAAAGTTATCCATGTTTTTCTTTAAAAATAAATAAAATCATTGTATGTGAAATTATGATCAACATGCCTGCTCCACAACGCTCGCGGATAATAGTACCATCGATCTATGTATACCATTACATACGGCGCTTTATTCGTTTTTATTTAATTTGTCTTTAGTTCTTAATTGTAAAGTTATCCAATAATGTTATATAGGACTCTTTGTCGTTTTACAAACCTTATATATATTACCCGCAATGAGATATGCATGTGCTCATTATAATTATGTCTCAAGTGTAATATCAGAAATTCTAACCGATGATTTTAATGTTTGTTTGACGAATGCCCATATAATTATGCAATATGCAATATTTTATATATTTTTACATTTTTACATGAGTTTTAAACACTTCATTGTTTAATTATTGTTTATCCTATGTAATGCACCACATTTACCACACTCTTTTGTTCATGTTATATATGAAATGTGAAATATTGCCCTATGGTATAAAATATCAACTATTTCATTATTTTGCTTTTACCCTCGTTTGTGAGTAGTATTTGTGTTTGTTTTATGTGGCATCTGCAGCACAAAAGTTATCGATGTACTTTATTATTGCCGTTTGTTGTGCAGTATATCAGTAATTTGATGCCACTGTTGTAGTATTTTATTTGTGCATGCACCAGTGGTATACAATGTTCTGTGAAAACAACGCTGTGACTTTCTAATAAGATGTATTTAATATTGGAAGATTTAAAATTAATTTATGCAAATATTGGCATACGCCAACCTGATCGTCTAAGATGGGAACAGTAAAACCACTGAATTTAAGATACCGTGCTACAAAAATGAAATACCGTTTTATTTCCTTTATACTTTCCCATTTCTTCATTTTTTAAATTCACCTTAATATCAGGATTTTGAGCCGTAAAATGAGAAGAAATGGAGAGGGGAGTTAAAGAAACGTCTTCTCTCCAAGCTCATGTAGTGAAATCACTCCATCCTTTGCACGTTCACATAACAAATATATTTCAATCATGATTTTTGTTCATGTTCTTTCAGGGATCATAGTGATGAGGGTGAAGATGAGATTTCGATCATCAAAGGTAAGTAAAGAAAAAAAAAATATGAAAAAAATTAATAACTCCGATTTCAATTTTCTTGGCTTAGTTCAACTACAAAATGAAAGAAATAGATGGATAATGTAAAATAATTATTTCACGCACTGAAGCCGCCTAGATCCATAGGCTGTGTCTATAGCTATTGCTAGAAAGGGCGTTGTATGATAGACAGGTAGACACCCTTTGTTTATCATAATACTGCTCAAGGGCGGATCTGGGATTGTTTGAAAAGGGCGGGGCAAAAAATTGCAAACTGCGAATGTCTACCTGAAAGACGATCATCTAGGGTTATATTGTCTACAGCGGCTGTGAAATTTTAAACGCGTTTTTATTTCTTATATACTTCAATAGGGCCGCTTATACACATGCTGCTTACGGTCATGATAAAATCAATGTTATGGCAAAACTGAGTTTGGCTTTGTAAATAGTATTAATCAAACCTGTCATTTCGGCTATATTCGCACCTCATATAATAATGTAGAAAATTGTTTCATTGCGTTTATTCACATTTCTACAATATAAAATTTTCTTTCTGTTGCAGCACAAATTAAACGGGAGCTGGCAAAAGACCAAGATGAACGACGTTGAGATTGATTGAAATCACAAGCATTATATAATATTTTCTTTTTCTTCATCTCGTGCCCAACGGGGACTGAGAAAAGTAATGATTACTTATTATGTTGAACCAGTATCACAAAAACGATTATCTATTAGTATTAGCCTATATATGTCTTTCAATGTTTTTTTAAAGGCATTTCAGAATATTGGGATATTTTATAGTGTTTTACTTACTGAATACTTATATATTTAGTTAGCAAAGTCATAAAACGACAGTACAACTGATATTTTATAACTTATGTCTTTTATTGCAACATCGATTTTTTTTCTAAGCCATTCAGAATTATGGGTTATTAGAGTTTAATGACTCCATAATTATGAATATGTAGAGACAAAATAATAAAAAGTGACAGAACAACAGTTATTAATAGCCTACGTCTTTCATTTCGATTATTGGATTTATACTTTTTCTAAGGCGTTTCAGAATAATAGGATTTTATATTGTTGTTTTAGGGATTGCTTATTATGTTAAGTCAGTATTATCATAAAGTGACAGAATAATGCTATGTCTTTCAAACATTGGACATCGAACACACTTTTTTGTATGGCAGTTCATACATTTGGGTTGTGTTTTAGTGACTACTCATTATGCAGAGCCAGTATTATCATATAGTAACAGAACAACGCTTTGTCTTTCAAACACTGGACATCGAATTTACTTTTTTGCATGGCAGTTCATAAATGTGGGACTACTATCATAATGTTGAGCCAGTATAATCATAATGTGGTAGCACAACGGTTATCTAATACCTCATGTTTTTCATTGAGATATCGACTACTTTTTACTAAGGCATTTGAGAATTATGAATTCTTACAAAATGTTTTAGTGACTTCTTATAATGTTGAGCCAGTAAAGTGCCAAACAACGCTATGTCTTTCAAACATGAGACAATGAATATACCTTTTTTGTAAGGTAGTTCATAAATATGGGTTATAACATTGTGTTTTTTCAGTGACTATTATAAATGTTGAGCCAGTGTAATCATAAAGTGACAACATAACGGTTATCGGTCTAATAGCTCTTGTTTTTCATTGCGATATTGAAAAGACTTTTTGAAGGCATTTTAGAATTCTTACATAATATTTTAGTGACTACTTTTAGAAGATGAGCCAGTATATAATGGTGAAATGGCAGCATAACGGTTATCTAATATAGCTTGTATATTTCATTGATATAACGAACATTATATAAGGCATGTTATCATGTGGGATATAACATTATGTTTTTAGTTTGACTTGTTCTAATATTCTGTCTTGGGAAAGACGCTTTTCCAATCATCTGAAAAAAAAGGTCACTCTCAATTATACATACGTATAGATATTACTCGAAAATGTGTGATCTTGTGTTTTGAGTTTCATGAATACTGACATTGTTAAAAGGTATGTAGGATTATGTGCAGATTGGACAAGGAAATATTGAATAATGAACTACCGAACTGATATAGATCGGTAACCGTAAATCTTTGAATGAAAAGTGAATTTTACGGCAAAACACATGGATTTTGGTTATATGTTTTATGTTATATTACAATTAACATCGAACAAATAAGAATATAGATAAAACATGGTCATGATTGTTTTTGTACAAAATGAATATGCTGAACTAGTCAGATATATAATGCAGTTTATGTCATTTAATTTCTTACAATGTTTTACGCATAAGGCTATACTTATAATCTGATAATAATATATTTATTTGGCAACTCGTAAGCGAGGATGTATTGCAGACATAGATATATGTTTTAAGAATATAGATAGATTAGTTTATTTTACTCTCATTAAAGGAGGAGAAATCCTTTATCATACGGGCTGGACCCCGTTTGATGGTGGTATAGTATTTATTTTAATCATAATATAAAAATAATTCATACAAAGTAGAAAAAAAATCATATAAAATCAATGAGTGGCTGGATATACCCCACTCAGCTTTGTTAACATGACAAAATTGACAAGAAATATCAATATGAAAATTTCTCCATCCTTCGTTTATTCAAATTTTCCCTTATGTATGCTTTTTTTTTAAATTTTTACATCGTCTCTATCTCTTTCCCCCTGTCACTCAGTAGCTGTTTAGAATAATCAATGTATCCTAACTTTTTATATGGGAGGCTAAACTGTGCAAAATCAACCGTCTGTTATATGATTTGGTTGACGTAGTTAGTAGATATCTTTCTTTTTTAAAAGTCGAATTAACTTTGTCATTATGAGTAGGTATTTCAATATGAATGAAAACTAATGTGCAATATGCTAAATTATGCTGGAAATCTTTTTAGTTCTTTAGTTGATAGGCTACGCCAACTTAATGCCAGACTGTATAAGATGGGATTTACACAATATATATCCCGGTGTACTGGTATATATCTACTAACACTTAACGTTACTTATTAAAAGGGAAAGGCTCTTAAAATGAAGATGAAAAAAAAAAAGAGGAGAAGTTTCTCCGTTGGCTATTATTATGAGGTTCATGGAATGCATGTATAGAAGTACTATATATAATTTGTTTTCTCATTAATAATTATATTGGCATGTCACACGAATAATACAACAAACTCATTAATGACTGTTTATATACGCTCATAATTATAATCAATGTCGAAGGTACAAGCTAACAAGGTAATTTGTTTAAACCGGAAGTGTGCTATTTCTCAAAACTCACTTGAATACATTTAAATATACGTATTTCCCTCGACAGAATGAGTTAAATCCTTTCTGCTTCTCCCCAAATGAAATTTGATGAAATTTGATGATATTTTACTATGTTCACAGTACTCTAGGAAAAAAAAGCTGCATAACTTTTTTTCTAGCCATCTGCATGGTAGTCTACAATCATAATAGATTAAACTTTTCTTTATCGATTAAACCAATATGTTTGAGATCTGTTGCTTAACAGTACTTCAGCAATCGTCAGATATATGCATAACATTATTATTACATATATATATATATTACAATTATGTTAGCTTAGTATTACAACATGCGACTTATCTATAGTGTGAAATCGCTTAGATTTTCTAAGAAATAATCAATTTCGTTTACTTATGGTTAAAATAAAATCTTTAAAGTCAGTCATATTGACATGAAAATGATCTTTAGATCTAATTCGTAAATTGTAAATTATACAATAAAAGCCGGAACAAAAGACAATATTAAGTACTATAGTTTACAGAAAATAGCTGCTGTTTTGTTTAAAGATTGTACATAACGATTTTACATTTATACGCGTTATATTGTTTTGTTTATTTAAGTGAAACGTGGGCATGTAGGTATAGTGTCAGAAAATACTGTATTAATTGATCTTGATTCATTACAAACAGAGGGGTCCACGAGCGGGGAAGGTATTATTATCAAAGAGTTGATGCTTCATGATCCTACATTGTATATGCTTTTGATAATTGCATTGCCCCCCTCTGTCCCATGCTCCCCTTTAAGAATGGTCTAGCGATGCCTCTCCCCCCCACAACCCTGAAAAGGGGATCGACGCCCCTTTTGAAGGTAGCAGACAACAATGATCTGTTTCGTGCTACTATCAGCTTTCATTAGTTAGACATAAGTGCTTAAAACAGATTCCAATTGAATTCCACTTATATACATATATATATATATATATACTATTTTATGTGGGTTCAGGAAATAGCAAAATTGAGTCCTTATTGTATTTATATATGTGTCGTGAATAAATCTCTACACTGATAACAATTTGCTCATATATTATGTTTGATGAATGGGTGTCAATGGATGTGTTTGAACGGGCAATAAAAATGTCTTATATTCTTGCAGGGTACTTATATATTGTAAGTCACATATTATGTGTTAATCAATACAAAAATTAGCAGACTGACAAACTTGTATTCATTGAATAAAATGACAATAACCATAATAAATTTAATTTATCTTGTTGGTGTCTTCTGTGCAGGCACGTAGCCAGAGTTTGATGTTTGGGGGGTGCACATACATGTAATCGATCGAGGTCAAAAAAGGGGTCTAAAAAAAATTAGATCGGTCTTGGAAATTTTTGGGGGGAACGTGCCCCCCCCCCCGTGCCCCCAGTGGCTACGTGCCTGCTTCTGTGAGCCTGTGTAGTAGAAGCATTGTAATTATTGATTCCTCTTTGTTGAACGAAAAGGAAAACGTATCATTACGTTTAGTTAATCAGGGTAATTCCAGTACTAGTCGAGTTTCATTTCTGGCGGTCCCTTACAAGAGTACAATATAGAAACTGGAATGAAATATAGAAAGCAGAGGGAACAGACAAATATGAGATGACCGTTTAAGGAAAGCTTTACAAAAACAAAAGAAAAACAAACAAGTTGATAGAGAACAGACTTTGTCAAAGGTCATAGGATACAGAAAGAATGTGAAGAGATGGCTCTGACAGGATAGGAGAATAAAAATTGAATCTCTTCAAACAAATCGGTAATCTGGACATCTTTATTGCTTTTTTTACTATCACACACATATAACTATCAAAACATATATACATTTGTGCACAGGATTAAAGAAGATGTTCAAGATATGCACTATTAAAACAAACTAAATGTTTTGCCTTAATTGCACAATCATTTATGATTTAATTAGAGCCATATCTGATATAAAATGCATGAATACAGTACATTGAAGGGCTGTTCATCATATTTGCATATATCTCCCATAATTATTATGAAAATAATTTTTTAAAAGTTTGCTCAATAAGCTAGAAATTTCTTTAAATGTTACTGAAAATACATTAAATTTCTGTTCAAAATTTGATAGGCAGTCATCCGATTCATTTCTGAAATTTTAAGCTATATTTGCACTTTCACTCCACCAGGATAAGAGGTATCGCACACTTTGCCACATTGTCTAAGTTCCAAGCAGATGGCCTTAATATATATTCAAAAAAAAAAATTATCTATGATTTGAGGGGTCCATAATTGCGCAAGCAATGATTTATAGTGGACCCCTCTGTTTCCAATATGTATCCTTAATTTTTGTAAATGATTAGAATCGATTTGTAATGTTTTGTTGGAAACAGAAATAAACTTGAATTGACGAATACATGATGACAAATCTCACAATTACACAAAAAACGTTATCGTGTAAAACAGTGCATGTATGTAAGAAAATATATTGAATTCTTAAAGTAGTATAATATATATGTATACATATAAATATTCATAGTGTATGGAAAGATAAACAAATGTTTCTCAGAGGTGTTTTCATGATGAAGAAATTCCATCCATGTTACGATGAACTGCATCAGTATTTAGTCATAACATATCATCCTTTTTCTATCACGGAAACATAACTGTGAAACTGTTTTATCTTTCATGTACCTGATACATAAATCTCTACTAAAACAGAGAATCTTCCATATTGCTGAGTACATTCATTTTCCCGTATAAATCAGATACAAATTAGTGAGGAAAAAATTAGTGAGAAAAAAAGTACTTAAAGTACCTGTGACCGACGAAAGACGAAAGAAGCACACTTTCAGGTAGTAATAGCATGGTGATATTAGAGAGATGAATATTCATAAAGTGTTCAAATAAGATATGCAAAAAGTGTGAAGGGAAAAAAATGGCACATTGCGATTCAAAATACAATAGACTCCAATTAACCAAACATGAACATGTATTATGCAGGCACAGATCCGGCTTTGAAAATAGACATGCCTCAGTTTTAAGTACTATATTTGTTCACATGATTATAATTATTAAAAAACTATTATTCTTATGAATGGAACTACAGAAACATTTTAATTATCCTTCCTGATTTCCATCAGTTCTTCACAGAGTTTCAACGCTTTCTTGGAGCATAATGTCTTGGCTTTCCATACCTCTGGAATTTTATCCATGCCATTCTAGAAAAATAAAAGCAAATTTGAAAGAAGAAAAATAATTCCACTTAATTTCAAACTACATACACATTGAATTAAATTCAGTGACATGATTCAGTAATGTTAAACTTAGCCCCTGAAAAGGCACTTGGATAATTTGATAATTTTTTTTTTTTTTTTTTTTTTTGAGGGGGGCTCGAAAAGAATACCCCAAAATGTGATGACCCCTTTCCTTTTTTGCATCGTCCAAGAACTTTACAGTCTTTAGTGCATCCCCCATCCCCCACCCCAGCTAAAGAATCATGATGTTGACATAGCAATGAGATGCTTATCCTTCCTTTTTTGTTCTTGTGGGTTTTTTTAAACATTTTTTATTTGTTTTTTAATAATTTTTAAAAATGGAATTCAATACATGTCAACACATAGCAATACTTTGCATGAAATGTTCTGTCAAGAAATAAAATCCTATGAAAACCCTGTCCATTTGCGGGTTGGGGTCAGACCCGCCATGACTTACCCTAGCTGCGAGACAAGCCCCAATGAAGGCAGAGCGGCTAGCATTGCAACCTCCTGCTTGTAAGGTCAGTCGGATTCCCTCAGCATAGTCGGTGCTGTTGAACAGGGCATGCAGGGCGGACTGGAACGCCCCAGGCAAATCTGAAACCATAAGATCATAAAACAATTATGTCATTACTCCATGTAGCATAAAGGGAAAGAAGAAGAATAAAAACAATATGAATACTACTATAATACATGTTTTAATTTGGCAAAGATCAAAATATTAATCTACCTTTTTTTATAACCCTTTTATGAGAAATAAAGCTCTATTATATTCCCATTAAAAAAAACATGTACTACATATGTACTACTACATATGCTTTCCAAAACAAACAATGATCATATACCCCTAAACAAGTCACTTTTAAGTTTCCATGTTCAGAGGCAAGTTCTCACATCAGTTATTTTTGAAGACCTTGGTAGCTGCTTGGAGGTGTGGAACAGAAAGCTTCCTCTTGACTTGCTCCAGGAAACCAACGACAGCGCGATCCAAGGAATGTGGGTAGGTCCTGTTAGGGTCTTTAAGCTGCTTGACAACATCATCAAGAGCATTGCCATCACCACCGTTCAAGATGAAGTACTCCAGAATTCTAGAAGAGATCCAGGGTAAATGGGAATGAGCAGGCAAACGTTATAATTCAATCAGAATTAATATGTACTACTGTCACACCTGTCTATAGTGACCGTCCAAGGGAAACTCAAAAAGTGGTCTTTGTAGACAGGTTCATTTATACATGTTTAAATGAGAAACCATTTTCAAGGGAAACAAAATATGTGGTCTTAGTAGACCGGTGGTCACTAAAGCAGGTTTGACTGTAGTTGGTTTAAAGCCCGCCCCCCCCCCCCCACTCCGAGAACGGACGGACCCCATGCGTGTTGCCAAAATGTCCTTTTCGTAACAAAAGAAAAAGGTCGACCCGTATTGACTTTACACACCGGACTTTTGCTGAAAAGGGGGGGGGGGGGGGTTGCTGAAAAAGGCTCGTATACAAAAGAAAAAGGTCAAGCCGTATTGACTTTACACACCGGACTTTTGCTGAAAAGGGGGGGTCGGTTGGAACACGCATATGTGTACCCTAAATAACACTGAGTGGGGGGGGGGGCCGGGGTTTAAAGAGGAGTAACCACTAAAATATATTTTGCTTTATATGTTTGGGCTTTGGGGGTTCAATGCCAGTTGACTATATTCAAATAATCAGCTTCAAATATCACCTCTGTAAAGAAATTTTCCAGGATGAAATACTTTTAAAATGAATGTAACAGCAACTTATGAATAGACTACTAGATTCAATCATGGTTCAGGGATGTTATATTTTCCTTTTATTTTCTTCATATTATTTATTTATACAATGCCAGGTACAGTTTTGTGGTTAAATCAATACAAACTAAGCTTACTTTTTTTTGCTTCTTTTTAAATCTTGTAAAATACATCCAACTGCACATAACTTACAAAGTACACAGGACAAGCTGCTTCTAAAGCTACCTCACACAAAACAAAGTAAATCTTGGAGATTTCGCTATCAGTTGCACTCCTCCTAAGCTTTGGAATGACCTACCACTAGACATAAGGAAATCCTCATCTGTTGCTGTCTTCAAAGTTTTGTGGAAAACGCACTTGTTTTCAGGAACTTTTAAATAGTTTTTTTTTTATTGTGTGTCTGTAAAAGAGTACTGCTAGGAGTTTTGTTGTCATCACGGTGCAGTGGTCGAGTGGTTTAAGGCGCTTGACTGGAGATGCGAAGGTCGAGGGTTCGAATTCCGACACAGCACTAATATCCTTTGGCAAGATATTTACCTGCACTTGCTACTCTGCACCCAGGTGTTAAATGGGTACCGGTAGGATGCGAACATTCATGTGGTTGGACGAGCAAGTGTGCGCTTGTAAAATGGCGACTGGCTGGAATGCTCCCAAGGGAGTGGAAAATGTGCATACATTGTGTGCGGGTAAGTCTGAATCCAAAGACCGGGGTAATAATATATCTGTAAAGCCCTTTAATAGGCACATCGTTGAATCAATGTATTGAGCGCTATATAAACACAAAATATTATTATTATCTATATAGTAGCTGCACTATATAAATTCATTTAATTATTATCATAACTACTTATGTTTTTTTTTGTCTGCCAAAAACAAAACAAATGAAAAACAAGACAGGGCATGTGTCTAGCCGAAGGAAACCTCACCTGGCAGCTACCAGGCTGTGAACGATAGCTTCATCTGCTGTCATGGTAACCGAGACGGCTTCTACGACCCTCTCCAGCATCTCTGGCTGGCCGGCATAGAGGGCGACGATGGGTACAACTTGGATGATAGCATGCATGTCAGTCCCCTTGTCACTACCTGTGATAATGAGAGTGTGAGGAAGAGAGAAGTGCAAGATTTTGTGTTACCACAACACGATAAACGGTTAATTATCATCTGATTTGTGATGTTTAACTCTAAAATACATTCATCCAAAATTTCCTATATTACATTATTGCCAAAGGAGCGCCCTATTACATTATCATCTGATTTGTGATGTTTAGCTCCAACGAATCTACAATACACTTCCAAAGCTTCCTATATTACATTATTGCCAAAGTAACCCTGCCACTGGAGAAAACAAATTGAAAACAACGTTTAGGTTGATACCAAACAACAAGGCTTTCATACTTATTATAACTTTTCTTCTTTTTTAATATTAACTGGCAATTTTTGCACAATTTCACACATTCATATGTCCACATGTAGGTCATTCAAGATTTACTGTAAGCTCTTGGAAGACGGTACATTTTCATACCCATGGTGTATTTTAGAGATAGTCTAACACTTTTACTTGACAACACACAGCACAGTATGAATTAATAGCTGTGACTACAAAAACATGCAATGATTTCTTATTTTGAAAAAAATATGCTAAATGCAACCAACTGTTCTGAATTACTTAGTGAGATTTTAGTTGCCTTTGAATTACACAAGGAAAACAAAAATATGGTTGAGCTTTTGGACGCAGAGCAGAGGTCGTTGGCTCAATCCCTGGCACAAAGGTCCTTTGGCAAGGCATCCATCTACATTTGCCACCCACCCAGGAGAGAAATGGGGACCTGTTAGGAAGACGAAAGCTTTTGTGTTTACTTGCCATGTACCCTCAAGATGACCATGGAATACTCCCAAGAGAGTGGCGATGGTGCACAATGTGTGTGAATTACTCCGATGACCGGTATTTCGTATTATTAAAGCGCTATATAAATCCAGATTATTATTACTATTATTCTACCTACCTGTTTCCTCCTCACCCGCTGTGTACTTCACAAGGAAGTCTTTCATGACTTGGTCTCTCCAAGCTCCATGGATGGGGAAGTTCTTCTGCAGACCGGACTTTTGAACAAATGCTGCATTGGCTTTGTTTTCATACTCCGAAGTCGGTCCAAAGTACTGGTACTGAGTTGTAGCAAAATCTTTGACATCTAGCCCTGAAAATAGACAACCAAAATAAACAACTCCAAAAAACACACAACTAAATGTAACCCTAACCGTAACCCTAACCCTGATCGAGACCCTAACCGTAATTGTACTTATGCGTACATGTTTCACTGCATTTTTATTTCATACGTTCTCCTGGATTCTGTAATTCTTGGGCTAGTTTCACAAAACAGTCATAAGTCTAAGTTTGTAGACATCCCATAGATGCTCGTGTTAATCCTATATCACACGTTTCAATGGGATATGTCCAAGAATTTAGGCATATGACGGTTTCGAGAAACCGTCCCCTGCTAGCATGACACTGGAAGAAAAATAACACACAAGGCTATATAAACATGTACATATACATGTATGCTGGTTTCTGGTCCCAAGCAATAAGAATGGAATGCTATCATTATGCCACTTCATGAATTTTTTCTTTTAAAGTCTTGAAAATGCATATTTTTGGTAATAAGTACATGTGTACCAAATTTACAAAACTGGTATTTATGCCTATACAATTATAGGTTTCATTTCTGCCTATCAGTCTGAAAATTGATATTTTTCCATCAATTCTATTATTAATCTAGTTACTAAAATTATTAACATGCAAACGCTGCTAAACGTTGATTTAAACAAATAGCTTTTAAAACTAAAATGGTGTAGCATAAGCCTATCTATTCAGTTCAGATAGCATACATTGTATACCGGTATTCCAATTGTTTTGATAACTATATTGATACAGCTTTTAATAACACGGTGATCTTCTGAATTACCTTTGCTCCTCACGAGCGATTCTAGCACAGCCCTCGTCTGGTCCCCATAACACGTGTTCTTGCCGGTGTCAATGCGGTAGTATGGATTGGCCGAGGGGAAGCGAAATTCTGGATATTCAAGAGCTGACAAAATGGCTTCCAACTTGCCTAGGTTGTATATCCAATGAATAGGTTGAGCTGAAACAAAAATTAAAAAAACATACTGTAACGGGTTTCGTCCGGGGTCATTGCACCATTTACCGAGCGGTCAATAAATCTCACGAGACTCCTATCACCCGCACGGTTCTTTCATAAACAGTGAAGCTATCACTCCAACATCATCGATCGCACTCAGATCACGCTACTTTTCTATAATACACGGAAACACAGTGTCATTTTACATCAAAAGGTACTTGCCTTTATTCACGAAGAACTCCAACTTTACAATGTAACTTCCCTTCAACAGCTAGTAGCAGTACTCCGATTCACCTGTTTCACCTATCTTATCCTGCCCTCCCTAGCTACCTGCCCGAACACGTCCTCTCTTGCTTATGCCTAATACCTAACTGCCCACCCGCATGCACTAATCCACATGCGCCCGCTACGTTGAAACAACTCCGTTACAATACAAAAGAAATTGTTATTATTATCATCCTTCTCCCCAATATAATGATTATTTTCAATCATCATCATCATCATCATCATAATCATAATCACCATCATAATGATCAAGATCTTCATCATTATCTAATTGCTTATAATGCCAAATTGGACTGAAACTGAATCGTAATAAATGAAGTGACATATGCTTTTGAAGCAAAGATGCCTCTGTAGTTGCATTAACGAACGACAGTTGACCCATAAATTGAAAGATAACAATGTTCTGAAATATAAAAGATAGTCTAGAAAACTAATTCATAAATGACTTTCATTATTTTTTAATCTAAAACAAACCTTAAGTTATGCGAGTATAAGGAGCAGGATATGATATGCCACCTCAGGCAAATGTATGTCTACCCTTTTGAAAACTTTAGAACATTTGCTTTTCAGTCAACAAACAATTTTGTTCAAACTTGGCAAATTTTACCCATCCAATTATAAAAGCTACCATGAAATTGTCAAGCATATACCTGCAGCATCCGCGCATAGACATCCAATCACAGCTGCTGCTGCCCTTTCCTTCACAGTAGCCATGGTTCCAGATCTGTCTAGAGACTTCTCTCACCATTTGCTAGTTTTCATTTCAACCTGGAGAGTGGAAAGGAAACAACAAATGAAAATGAAGATCTGTGGAGGGTCTGGCCGGTCGCTACGTCGCGGTCCGGCTAGCCTGCATCTTCTGGTTGCGGCGTCGAGTCGCGGCGGCGGCGGCCCAGGCCCACGGCGCGCGCAGCAGACGCTGTTTTCGGGGAAATCCCATTATTGCCACGATTCGAGAACGAAGTTTAACGACATATCCTGCGAGGCTGCGAACCAAAGTTCTCAGAGTTTGATTCACGGACTTCATTGCACATAATACGAACATATCTTGGAGGTAATAATTAAGGTAACAATATGGTATAGGTATTTTAAGTAGATTATGAAGTAAATGAAGGTTATTTTTTGACTTACCTTTTCGGCTTTCGCTTTTAAAATGCAGTCACTTCGGCCCGACGCATTGAATTCATTGTATGTGTTTCGTAATCATATGATGATTATGGAATGCCTCTCAGCTAGCTGCTTACACATAGCTGCATTACTATCCTGCCTGTGTATTAAAATTTGTGCTATTGATTCTCAACATTTCAAACACCACTGTAAAAACTCAACTGATTTCACTAAAAATCAGTACTTTAGGGACAATTGAGGTCTAGCAGTAAAATACAATTTTTTTTAAACTTACCGATGCACGATGCGATGTTAGAAAGAATAATTTAAAAATTCAAATTGTAAGTCTACTCAGTACTGTCAAACTTGCTGATCAGCCACATCGGCATGATTGTGTGCATTTGTGTATTAAGAGTGTATTGACTATTCATGTGTACAAATGCTGCCTAAGTATTAACACGTAGTGCAGTGCTAGAGGTTACGCATTAGCATGAGGTTAGCAGAGTCAGAGACGCCAAGTTGAAAGATCGGCAATGCGTGACATTTTAGTGTTTCGGCGCGCAAACGCGCGTGTGAGGGTATAACACACGTATAAGGTGAGCATTTTCAGACCCTTGAAATGCGTGATGTCACGCCTAATGCATGATACTTGGAAGCTCTGGGTTACGATTGTGTTTGTGACTGCATACTGTTATCCTGGTTTGAGGCCGTGCAGGCAGTATTTTAGGGTGTGATTTAAACAACTATTAAATAGGTTCCATGGCGAGTTGTGACTTAGTCTGCTTTGTCTTTCACGCAAGTAATTCATATGGAGGATAGATAATATTCGGTACATTACAGAGTAATGATCAAAGTCACAAATAGTGCAAAAACTTGTTATCCTGTTATCTGAGTAAAAAAATAATATGACTTAACAAGATCCTGGTGAATGTCTTATAGGGTGCACTTTCCCCTCCTCCACTCTCCCCCCCCTTTTTTTAACCCTCTTCCTGTACATCTTCCCTTAGTATTCCTTCTCCTTTCCCACTCTCCCCTCTTTTACCTCACCCCTCTCTCTTTCTCCCATCTTCCCCTCTCCCCTTTCTCCCTCTCACCCCTCTCATTCTCTATCATCTTCTGCCGTCTATACCCCTCCTCTTCCCATCTCCTCTTCCCTCTCACCTTCCTCTTCTCCCACCACCCCTTCCCATCTCCTCTTCCCTCTCACCTTCCTCTTCTCCTACCACCCCTTCCCTCTTCCCCTTCCTCTTCTCCCACCACCCCTTCCCTCTCCCCTCCCTCTTCTCCCATCATCTCTCCCTCTCTTTCAACTCCCATCTCTATCCTCCCCCGCCTCTTTCTTTTCAAGCCACTGGTACCCATAACATTGATGACCAGTTAGATAAAGTGATTTTTAATTAAAGGGCCCAAATACAACTCTCCAAGTCGACTGCAGTGAGTGATTTTAGGCAGCAATAAACCTGAAGTGAATTTTTGCTATTTAATGTTTTTTATTTATTTTTTCATCAGAAATCTTGTGGAAGCTCCTGCATGATGGATGCCCTCCTTGAAGAACTCGCCAATCTCTCTGATTCCGATCTTTGCAAAGAACTGAAATCGGCCGGTCTCACTTTCGGAGGCATCTCAAAGTCGACGCGCAAATTCTTCGAAAAGAGACTCGCCACCCACAAGCTCAAGGAACAGGGTCTTGAAGACGATGGACATCAGGACAAAACAGAATCACAAAATGCCGAAGGGCAAGACGATCTTCCTTCACCAGGAGAAAGCAAGAAGGAAGACTCTGCAACAAATGGACAAACAGCAGAAGAGAGACAGACTGGTGACCCTGTAACAAACAGCAATAGTACAGGTATCAATAGAGCTGTGCGAGACGGAGTTGGGAGTGGGAACCAGTCTGCATCCTATGTGAAAGGTGAAACCGTCTATGTGGTGTGTATTCCAGTGGAAGGAGGGATTGGCCAGAATGATAACTCAAGCATCTGTTCAGGTGATGAAAATGAATTTTCTATAGTTAAAGTAATACACTTCCATATCCATCGCATGAAACATACTAATTGTGGATACTTGTGTTGAAACCCATGCACAAGAATATTGATAAGTCATTAGATATTGGTCACTATTAAAATCTACTTCAAATCACTTTGTTACAAAGTAATCTGTTTGATTCATAGCATGTTTCAATAAAAAATATATCTTTCTGAACAAGAGATAATCACAATTCATTTTGTAACAAGTTAAAGTTGATACTTCAATAAACTAATTTGATCTGTCTAAATGAACTTTGCGATTTAGCGAAATGTTTAATGTAGAAGATGCTGGCAAATTGCAACAAATTAAAAATTGTGAATGCATAACAATATTACCAGTACATGTTTACAGGTTCATAATAATTGTATGCTAGTTGCTTCATTTGTACTAGTCATTATATGTAGGGACACTGATTTTCTGCGATCACAGAAAAGAATACCTTGTCGATTGTAGTAGTCTGTATTTCACAATGGTGATAATTAGAATATTATTTTGATATATTTCTGTAACATTAATGATAAAGATTTTTCACCATAGCGACATTAAGGATGATCCTTTGATATTTTTCTATAACATTAGCCACGTTCACCAAAGTGACATTTCCGATAATATTTCTTGATAGCTTGTTGTTTTGTTTTGTTACAGTAACCAAAACAATCTCCCAGAGCAAAAAAGAAGCAATGAAGCTGATGAAAGCAAATACAGAAGCAAGATTCCGGACCTTCAGATCCTTGGAGGAAGCCCAAAATTTCACCAGATTGCAGGATAATCTCACCACACCCAAGAAAGTAAATGGTGCTTCCAACAGCTCAGAGGTACATATTGCTTCTTTCCTTTATCTTGCTCTTTTTTTAAAAATAGTTTAAAAGTGTGAATGCTTCAAATATTATTACAGTACCCAAGAAGATGGTAAAGTGCATGATTTCTTAGGTAAAATTTGTGATGATAAAATTTACAATGCTAAATGCTCTTTAAGCCCCACTGCACTACTTATAGCTACTTGCGCCCTCTATATAGCAAACAATGCCTACCGTATTTGCCGGCGATAAGGCCGCACCGCCGCATAGGCCGCACCCCAACTTTGACATTTCAAAGAGGGAGAAAAAAAAACGGACGAAACAAAATAATCGTAATTTTCTCTTAAAACACTATTTTTTTTTTATAAACTTATCCCAAATTCATCAATATTCTTATAATTTACCGGAAGTTTAGCTAAAAAAGCGATCGCAGGCAGATTTGGTGTCCGATATACCCCTACCACAATGTACGGTGTAATGCGAAATTGCATGAAATGGAAAAACAAAATGGCGACTTCAGATGTATGCTTCGCGGCAGGTCAGTTAAACGGTCCCTTCCTTTACTTTTGCAATGCATTGGCACGAACTTAGATCAAGATATATCAGCAAATGTTGTTTTTAGGAAGTTATTTTCGTCTTCATGTCAACATTGCAAGATAAAATTGTCGGTAAGATGTTTGAAAATGTCCTGTACCATAGTGGTATAGTTTTTTTACCGCTTCTAGTCCCATACGTGCAAATTCGTGTTGGTTTTGACTTTCGTTTTTTTTTTATTATTTACTCTTTCGTCGTAAAGGCCGCACCCCGACTTTTTGATATTTTCTCTTCCTAAAATACTGCGGCCTTTACGCCGGCAAATTAAGGCTGTGCACAACAGTGTAATGAGGTACCCGAGTACACTCCCTGGCTCACAAGCGAATACTCAAATATTCGGACGCCATGTTTTTTTATAATTTTTTGGATTTTTTTTGAATTTTTTGATTTTTTGATTTTTTTGATTTTTTTGATATTTTTGCTACTACCATACCACTCGGCAGTTTCCCAGGTCCCTCGCCAAAAACGCATGCAATTTTACTTCGAGTTGCAGTTGAAAGCGCCGATTTAATAAGAATAATAACAATAAACAATGCTGTTTTAAAAACCAAAGATGGCAGAATAATCCATTTTCCTCCAAGTCCAAACAGAAATCTGGACAGGTCCCAGTTTCTGAAAGGTGAGTTTGACAGTGCTTGAGTTAGGAAACATTTTTACCAACGGTACCATGCCAGCGGCTGCCGCTCTCCCTGGCACGGGTAAGCGTGGGCCTGGACATTTAAAAAAAAAAAAAAAAAAAATTTTAATTTTTTTTTTTGCGGCCGAATATTCGGGTACGAGAAATCGTACCCGAGTAGTTGTCAACCGTGCGGGTACTCGAGCATTCGACTACCCGTCGCAGCCTCACGGCAAATACGGTAATCGGTGCCTATTGGTCCCCCATGATCCCCTTTTTCTTTTGTTATTTGTGAGCTGATTTGATGAGATCAGTGACCTTACAGGGAGGTCTAATCCTTCTGGCCAAACTAGTACAGGCGGGCTTTAATCAAATTAATTTGACTTTGAACTTGTTTCAGCAGCCAGCTGTGAGCGACCGAGCAAACACCTACCGTACCCCCAAGTCTCAACAGCTAACTGGCCTTCGGTTTGTCATCGAGAAGAGGGACGCAGAGAAGTTTAGGACCCTCGTCTGGGAGAACCCAGGATATCTGGTGTCTTCAGTAGACACCCCCTCAGTTCTCCATGTAAGCTGTTGAATATTCATGTCCAAAGAGAACTTCTCTGATACAGTAATATGCATGTTTTAATGAATATTCATATAAAGATGGCAACAAGCCAGTTCACGGTTGCAGTCTGAACATAAGCAGATAAAGGTCATTGCAGACCAAATTGTGAAATACACAGAGACAAAATACTGGATACCGTACGTGCTCATGAAAGTTATGTACCGTAAATATCCGTGTATAAGGCGCACCCCATTTTGGGGGGGAGGGAAAATTTGTTTTTGTTTTTGTTTTGTTGCCGAAAACCCACGCGGGGAAGGACCTTCATTTAACATCGAGGTGCAATTAAAGGCGCTGATTTGTGCTTGTAAACTTGTCACAAATAATAGTAACAATGTCGTTTTTAGAAGAATGTGTAAGATCATTAATGTAAATTAAAAACAATAGAGTACCTAGGTCCTTGGATAGAACCTTGTGGTACACCATTTGTTATATAAAACAAATTGAGGAATTATTATTATAAACTACATATTGAGATCTATAAGAAAGATTACTTTTAAACCAAAATGACAGACAAATTTTAGTGTTGTTGTAGTTTCCGAGTGGTGAGTTAACACACTGATTACTGAGCTGGGTGACATTGCCAGGCATAGCGCCATAAATCGAAACTAAAAAAAAAAAAAAAAAAAAAATTTCTGTACCTGTGTATAAGGCGCACCCCCGACTTCCAATTTTTTTCGGCGGCAAAAAAGTGCGCCTTATACACAGAGATTTACGGTAATCATTATTCATTTATGCGCTAGCAGTGCACCCCATGATACACAGGTGGAAGTACTATTTGAAAAGTGGAAACAAAGGCTATTTATGTAGCACCTCCATCGCTGTAGGAGTGATTATTTTAAAATGTACAAAGTGGGACCTCTTCATGTTTTGAAGATCTGTGGATATTCGGGGTCATTTGGGACATGTGCTAACCATGAACTGGTCTATTCTCTGATACAGTTATATGCATACTTAATGAATATTCATATAAAGAGGGCAATTAAATGTTCTTCATTGTTGATTAGTGCTTAAAATGCATGTAACCTTGTTGTATTTCCGCTGCAATGTATATTCTAGCTTACTTTTTTTAGATATTTGCTCATGATATGCTGGCATTATTGGATTGATTAGGCCTACTCTTTGTTTAAATCTACCTACCATTTACAATTTATCTATATTTTGCTTGAAAAATATAGTCCCCTTTCAAAGATATATATCAAATATGATAATATTTGGAAAAGACAAGAGGAACAGCAATTACAAAGTTATTTGTAGATTGCTTGACAAATTTAGTCCCCTTTCAAAGATAAATACAGTCAAACCTGTCTACAGGGACCGCCCAAGGGAAACACAAAACGTGGTCTTTGTAGACAGGTTCCCTTAGTACATGTTTCAATGAGAAACCATTTTCAAGGGAAACAAAAAATGGGCTTGTTGTAGATAGGTGGTCACTAAAGCAGGTTTGACTGTATATCAAATAAAATAATATTTAGAAAGGAGAAGAGGGACAGCTATTACAAAGTTCATCATTATTATGATACAGGAATGTAGTCTAAGTGATAATCCTTTCTATTTTTAATTAAATTTTTACTCCGAAATTCCAGGAAGGCTGCAAGTACAACGCCCTTCACGTAGCAGCCATGAAGAACCTTCCTGACATGATGGAGCTCATCTTGGATACCATCAACGATCCGGAGATCCCAAAGCTTCTCTACCCAGGGGACTCGGAGGAGAGCAGGGCAGATCGATGGGGGTTTGTCACACACCTCTATCTGAACTCCTTGGAGAAAGGGGTGAGATATTTATGTATGATTAAAGCCCCACTGCACTACTTATAGCTACTTGCGCCCTCTACACAGCCAACAATGCCTAAGCGGTACCCGTTGATCCCCCCATGATGCCATTTTTCTTATGCTAATTGAGAGCTGATCTGATGAGATAACCACCTGCCAGTGACCTTGCAGGGAGGTCTAATTCGTCCATGCCAAACTAGTGCAGAGGGCTTTAAATGATGAGATAGGCAGATGCATGGAGTGATTCAAATCCATGTATGAGTCTAATTTGATGATTAGTCAAGGTTTCGTTTAATCCTATGTGATGAGCAATAGCATTAAAGTGTATCAAAAGGCCTGGCTTCATCAGCTCGAGTTTGCCAAATAACCTGCTATTTGAACTATACCGATCCCAAATTAGCCAGTTAGTTTGCTCTTTCATCAGCCTGCAGTTGCAATTAGCAGGATATTTGGTAGAGAAAATATCCAGATAAATGTTGGTCTTGTTTCCGAAATATCCTAATATTTGGGAAATAGCGGGCTAATTTGTGCTCGTCCGAGCTAGTTTGTGATGAGCGTATCGGTCTGGTGAAGAAGCAATTTTGAGCTTCAGGATAATATCCGGAGTCTGAAAATAGCGGGTTATTTGGCTAACTCAAGCTGATGAAAACAAGCCTAATCACCTAAAGAGAGTACACTCTTGCAGTGTCATTCCACTCCCTATCCTGATGTTCCCCTCCCAGTTTAGTTCTCGGTAGGTAGAAGGTACCAGAGACCAAGAGGGAACAAAGAAGTAATTGTATACTTTAACTTATGATGTTCCTTCATTAATTAAAAATTACAGTAGTTTACTTTCGTGCTGCCGATATTGTTTCAATGTGAGTCTTCTCTCCCTTTCTTAGTATATGTCACATCGAAGACTTAAAATGAAAATCTACTTCTCCTTTTTTCTCTCTCAGAATGGTGAAACTCCGCTCCATTTTGCCAGCAAGTTTGGTTTCACAGAATGTGTGCGCATCTTACTGGACCACCCAAAGTGTAAAAAGACGATGACCAACAAGTATGGGGAGACTGCTAGTGAGGTAAGGGGTTATCGTTTGACCTTGCCCTCTCACTTTTTGTTTTCCTTCTGTCTCTTTCTCATAATGCCTATTGCTGTCTTAAATTGTCATGCTTTGATAGTTAAATTGGGGCTTATATGGTCTGATTTAAATTTCTTGCAAATATTAATGAATGATAGTTTGTACAAGATATTACTTGAAATCTAATTCTTTCTTACTTAGAAGTCGGGCAAAAAAAAAAAAAAAATTAAACTGATGCCTATCGTTGTCTTTAATTTTCATGCTTTAATAGTTACAGTGGGGCTTATATGTTTTGATTTAGATTTCTTAAGAATGTTATTGAATAATAGTTTGCACAAGAAAATACTTTGAAATTTGATTCTTAAACCTCAAGAATCATCTGAATTTCATGCTTAAATGTATGATATAATGTTATGCACGATAGAAATGTAATTCATTATATTATTATTTAGTATATTTCCAGAAATATCAAGCAGTTGTCTTGGTATGAATAGAAAGCTACAACAATGAATGCAAAAGATCTCTCAACCCTTCCTTATCACCTGCATGCCAGCTCCAATTCAGTTATTTATCTAATAAGGCATCCGCTTTCTATGATTTGTATCATGATTGTATCTGTTGTCTCTAGATTATCTGCAACAGATACAAGAACAATGACAAAGAGAAAGTAAATTCAGCCATTGCAGAACTGTTAGATGGTAAGTATTATCCAAATTGATGTAGCTACCTGATTTTTTTTGTATCTCTCTCATTTTATTTCACTCTCCACATTACTCAACTTTTTGAGACACAATTATTAAAAAAATCATCCATGCTTGTCCTCCAGCAACAGAATTTTTTTTTTTTTCTTTTTTTCCCTCTTCAATTGAATGCTTATATTTGTCTCTTTAATTTTTCATGTATACTAGCTATAGAAATTTGCTACTCTCTCATCATGAACTAACTTTTTTGTTACATCCATTATGCCTGAAATGTATAATGTGTGGTACAAGGCTAGTCAAATCCTCACCAGTGATATTAGATAATAATGATACAGTCAAACCTGTCTATTAAGGCCACCCAGGTGAAACATAAAAAGTGGCCACTGTAAACAGGTGGCATTTCTAGACAGATTCAACAACACACATTTCTTTGTCTGTCTGTCTGCCTCTCTCTCTCTCTCACCCTCTCTCTCTCTCTCCCTCTCTCTCTCTCGGGAGACAAAATGCATGACCATTGTAGACAGGTGGCCACTAAGACACGTTTGACTGTAATCAGTTCTTGTATAGCACATGATATAATGTCTCCATAGGCCTGTCCTCATCAGCTCGAGTTTGCCAAATAACCTGCTATTTTGACTATCCCGATCGCAAATTATCCAGCTAATTTGCGTCTTCATCAGCCCGCATTTGCAATTAGCGGGATATTTGGTCAAGAAAATATTTCCAGAGAAATCTTGGTCTTGTTTCCAAAATATCCCGCTATTTGGGAAATAGCTGGCTAACTTGCTCCTGTCCGAGCTAGTTTATGATGATGAGCGTATTGGTCTGGTAAAGAAGCAATTTCGAGCTGCAGGATAATATGCCAAGTCTGAATAGAGCGGGTTATTTGGCAAACTCGAGCTGATGAAGAGCGGCCTTATGTGCTTCCAAAGGACTTTTGATACAGATAACCTTGACTGCATCATTCATTCCCCCATGTAGATCACTTCTACATTCCCGTGTGGAGGGCAGATGACAATTCATTGCCGGCTGTGATTGGTGAGCCTTGGTCGCCCGATGTCCCTAACGGCCAATCAGCTCTCTTGTCTGAGCAAGCCAAGGGTAGTCCCATAGACAGTAACATATTACTGCGAGCCCTGGCCGGACCCATGTCACCGTCTGAGGTGAGTTCTCTGGAATGAGGTTGTGAAGTAATGTGATACCTAAATTAATTCAATGCAAATTCAATTCAATTTAAATAAGCCAGTTCACGATTGCAGTCTGAGCATGAGCAGATAAAGGTCATTGCAGAACAAATTGTGAAATACACAGAGACAAAATACTGGATACGTGCTCATGAAAGTTATGTAATCATTATTCATTTATGCACAAGCAGTGCACTCCATGATACACAGGTGGAAATATTCTTTGACAAGGGGAAACAAAGGCTATTTAAGGAGCACCTCCATCGCTGTTGAATTATTCATTTATGCACAAGCAGTGCACTCCATGATACACAGGTGGAAATATTCTTTGACAAGGGGAAACAAAGGCTATTTAAGGAGCACCTCCATCGCTGTAGGAGTGATTATTTCAAAATGTACAAAGTGGGACCTCTTCATGTTCTGAAGATCTGTGGATATACGGGGTCATTGCAGTAATGTGCTAACTGGTCTATTCAATTCAATTCAATTTCAGATTCAATTCAAATTCAATTCAAATTCAATTCAATTCAATTCAATTCAATTCAATTCAATTCAATTCAATTCAATTCAATGCAATTCAAATTTATTTACGCTCATAGAATATAACAAACTTAAACATATAGATCAATATTTTCAAGTATAAAAGTTGATAAAAAATGTTGATAAAAAGAGTTCCATGTATTAAAAGAAACATTTGACAATACACAATATAAGCACGTAAAATATGGACAAGAGTGGGGTTGAATTAAAGATGGTTGGAATATTTCTTTCTTACCTTATATCTCCTTTGACTTCTCCCTCTCCCTCTCTCTCTCTTTGTCCCACTTCTCTTCATTTCACTCTCTCTTTACTCTCCACCTCTCCCTGTCTTCCTCTCACTCTCTCTCTCTCTCTCTCTCCTGTCTCTTTTCCCTCTCTCTTTCTTTGTCCCGCTTTTCTTCATTTCTCTTCCCCTCTACTCTCCATCTCTCCCTTTCTTCCCCCTCTCTCTCTCTCTCTCTCTCTCCCTCTCCCCCTCTCTCTCTCTCTCTCTCTCTCTCTCTCTCATACACAGGCTGTTGACTTTCAGAAGGACTGGAAAACACCGCCATCTTTCAGTAAAAGGCAAGCAGCTGCTATCAGAAGAGGAGACAGTGAGAAAGGATTGGAGAGACTAGGAAGGTAAGATTCATGATTCCTTTTTAACATAGATGTCATTTATATAGCCATTTGTACATGATCATACCTTGTCAGCTGTTCGCAAGAAGGTTGTACTTATTATGTTTTGTCAAATGTAGTAACAGCCTTCCTGCAAACAGCCGACGATATCATGATTATCTGAATGAATTGGTAATTTCATGTATGGCCAATTTCAAATTCAGAAATATAAACGCACAGATAATAGAAATTCTGCCTAACATCTGTAAACTCCATGTAAAATTGGGCCAATGAGTACAGGGAAATATTACTTTATTTTATTATATAAGTAAAAGATATAAGCGAAGTGTTTTCTCTTCTAATTACGTATTATGTTTATCTAATTATCAAAATGAATGTGCAGTAAAATGAGAGAAACATATATAAACATGTTTATCATTGTATTTTGTAAGTTCATGGATATTGTGACAAAATGTTAACCCTTGTGACCTTTAACAAAATAGTCTAAACAGAAGCTGCTGTGAACATTTTAACTTCTTTAAATCAAGCCTGGGTATCTATGACTAGAGTCTATTAAAAATGCATTTTATACCGAAATTAGTGTGGATCCGATGGGTCAAGTTACAGACTGACATATTTATAAAAATATAAATTGCAAAAATCACATCACATACATTCACAACTGTTTAATACCAGTATTCACTATTCTCTCTGATATCCCAATACTTCCCTCCATCTTCAGAGAGCTTGCTCACAACAAAAATGTACCATGGATGGAGTATTGGTCATTCCTTGACGACTTTGCCGACTTCTCCACGACAGAGGGTCTGGAAATCTTAGAAGACTATCTAGAGAATAGATGCCACGAACTGACGGGTACGCTAAACCATTTTCATTAACAAATTTGCTTTTTTATGCCTCCGTTAGGAAGTAGCCGGAGGCATTATGTTTTCGGGTTGTCCATCTCAAGAACCAATTGATGAATTCTTGCCAAAGTTAGGTCATGTATGTATCTTGCAGAGCCAATGAATTAATTAGATTTTGGGGGTCACGAGGTCAAAGGTCAAAAGTCACGGGGCTCATTATATATGCAAAAATAGCTCGTGATCGCATTATCTCAAGAACCGATGGATGGATTCTTGCCAAAGTTAGGTCATGTTTGTATCTTGCAAAGCCAATGAATTGATTAGATTTTGGGGTCATGAGGTTAAAGGTCACGGGGCTCATTATGTATGCAAAAAAAACTGGTGATCGCATCTTGAGAACCGATGGACAGATTACCATCAAACGCAGGACATGTATGTATCTTGCTGAGCCAATGAACTGATTAAATTTGGGGGTCATGAGGTCAAAGGTCATGGTTCATACAGTATATGCAAAATAGCTTGTAATCACGATATTCTGAGAACCTGTTAATGGATTACTATTAAACTTGAATTTGAAAAATTGCTTCTGTTGTGGTTTGTGAAAATCGCTCTATGGCGGAGGCATCATTTTCTACGCAGTCAAAGTTCCATTTAGTTTTTCTTCCCCACGGCATTGCTTGAAAATTATCAAAATGCTATCCGTTCGTATATGTAAATGCACAAAATGGAATGCTCTCCAAGTGAGTGTTGTTGTTTGATAACTGGGCTGGTTGTAACATAGATAGGTGCCTTATTGTTAACCTGTAGTTTAGTGGCATTGACTGGTTCCTGTATAAAATTGCATGAGAGAATTCAGTAGTCCATAGGTTAGTTTGAAGAGTAGTTTTAAAAAAGATGTTGCTATTTTCTAATGGAAATGTTGCTAATTCTAATGAAAATTTTGTGTTCTTTGATTTTTTCAGAGAGTTCCTCCCAGAAGAAAAGCAGTGTCACCAAGGTCCCTGCTGCTGTGATGAAGAATTTGGTGTCCGAGTTCATCACCACAAGTACCTCCAATCAAGTAGGAGTCGATAAGGAAGCAGTGACTGACATAAGCAACAGATCTGATATGGATGCTATGGGTGCTGAGAAGAGCAAAGAAGGAGAGATAGGAGTTAGTGATGTGGGAACAAGAAAGTGTGAGCCAGATAACCAGTTTCCTCATGAACAAACAGAAAAATCTACAGATGCAAGAAGTGACAGGCACATGGAAAAGCTACCAAGTGAACTAGAGGAAATGTCATTGAGCATGAAGGAGAAATTGGATAGGGACCCTGGAAAGGGAAAGGTGAAAAATGGACATGGAGAAGACGACAGTTCTCTAGGAAAGAACCTGAGATTGAATGCTGGAGGTGATTCCTGTACTGTAAATGCAGTTCCATCGTCGGAGGGAGGTTTGACAAGTATGCCTGCACCAGCCTTTGACACTACGAAGAATGAACCGTCGATGAAGGCGCAAGCAACAACGCTTGATGATTTAGGAAGGGTCGGTAATGAAGGGGAGTTCAAAGAAACATTAGATCTGACCGCGCATCCTGTAGTTAGTTCAACTTGCAAGCCTACCAAGAACTCAACAGAATCCGAAGCCAGTAGCAAGAGTGCAGAACCTGCCTCTCCTGTTGGTGCAGCGAGTGGGAGTCCTGGACCAGAGTCAAGCAGAGGTTTAACTGCAAGGACTCCTGAAAGGACATCAATGATAGGACAGGTGGCCAAGCTGTTGTATAGTCCAGTCCAGATGATGCATAATATGATGGCAAAACTGAACATAGTGTCTCCGAGACGACAGATAGCCAAAGAAGAGAATGACGTTGACACTGGTGAAGCATTGGTAAGTTCCAAGATGGAAGATGAAAGGACAGAGGGAATAACTGCATCAAGCGTTACTACCTGTAATTCACAATCTGATCAGAAAAGCCCTTTAAATCGTCAGCAGAATCAAACAGCTTCTACAGAACCGAATGCTTTCGGCGATGCTAATGAGAACACAAGAGACACGGATACCACAGATCCTGGTGCTTCAGGAGAGCACAGTTCAGCACCTAGCACGGCTACAAGCCTTAGTGGAGATGGCACATCCCCTTCTCGAGTGACAAACATCATTGACTCTAACCTTGACCATGACCCACATAGTCATGAAGAGAATGCCAGCCCAGAAAGGACAGGGGATGTAACTGCTGCTGGTGTCATTGGCTTCCAAACACCAGAGAACCAGAGGCTCATATCTACCCCTCCACAGGCAGCAAGTGTCGGTCTAGAGTTTGGAGCTTTCTTCATAAATGGGTAAGTGTGATTTATTAGGAGAATAAGAATGGTAAATAGCTTTTTTTCTTCATTCCTTTGTAAAATTGGAAATTCCAAAATTGTCCCTGCTCTCCTAAATTGTTATGTTATGTAGATGTAACTACGGTACTGCACTATCTATAAGGAAAAGGTAGAGGAGGTGGGGGAGGGGGGGGGGGTGGGTTGAAGAGGATAAAGAAGAAGGCAGGTCATTTTATGCGTACTGATGAACTATGAGTAGGACAATACGTGTGGTCAAGGTTTTCCATTTTTAGCAGTATTTGATTTTCTTAAGCAGGTAAATGGTCTAATGTGTTGTAATTGACACATTTAAAAAAAATTTAAGTTATGAAAATTATTTTATGACACACATTTGGTGCACCGAGTGCGATAAGACCATGATAATAATCCATTAAGCCACGTTCAGTAATAACCTTGACATTTGTAAGACAACAATTATTTTGGGCAGATTCTTTTGAGCGATCATCTTAGCAACACTTAAGTCTAAGTTTATCTCTTTGGATTGTTTTTTCAGTGATGCTCCAACGAAGATAGACCTCCATGTTCTACGGGCTTTTGAAAACACCGATGTCGACGACAGATTTCCTTTTGTAAAGCAATGGAAACAAGCAGTGGAGCAGATACCAGAGGAGATGAGGCAAAAGTGAGTATTATGCAGGAGTATTTTCACATTTTCTATACTCCTATTGTGAAAACACAATTAACTTGCACTTAACCCATTGACTACTGGAACTGGGCGGCCCTGTATAAAGCCTATGGCGATGAGGAAATCAGTAGTCAACAGGTTAACTTTCCTGTTGATTTTCATAGTTCACTGGCCTTTCCACATTAGCAGATACCATCTATTTGCACTGTAGCTATTCTCTAAAAAACAAGAAATAGACAATTGTGTACTTTTTTTGTATCGTTTGAAGTCGATTTTTGATTTCACTAAAAAAAACACGGGTGAATCCCAAGAGATAATGATTGCAAGATTCCATTGTGCAAGACCCCATACTTTGCTCCTATATCATGTTGAGGTATGATAGTATATTTGGTGCTCCTATATCATGTTAAAGTGTAATGGTAGTTTCGGTGCTCCTTTATCACATTAAAGTGTAATGGTAGTTTCGGTGCTCCTTTATCACATTAAAGTGTAATGGTAGGTTCGGTGCTCCTTTATCACATTAAAGTCTAATGGTATGTTTGGTGCTCCTATATCATGTTAAAGTGTAATTGTAGGTTTGGTGCTCCTATATCACATTTAAGTGTAATTGTAGGTTTGGTGCCCCTTTATCACATTTAAGTGTAATGGTATGTTTGGTGCTCCTGTATCACATGAAAGTGTAATGGTATGTTTGGTGCTCCTGTATCACATGAAAGTGTAATGGTAGGTTTGGTGCTCCTATATCACATGAAAGTGTAATGGTAGGTTTGGTGCTCCTATATCACATTTAAGTGTAATGGTATGTTTGGTGCTCCTATATCACATTAAAGTGTAATGGTAGGTTTGGTGCTCCTATATCACATTAAAGTGTAATGGTAGGTTTGGTGCTCCTATATCATTTTTAAAGTGCAATGGTAGGTTTTGGTTCTGGGTGTAAGATGTAGGCAGTTTTGAGAGGTGTAGATCCTGATGGATTAAATGTACAGTTAAGGAAATGTCATACATGTAGTAATAGGTAAGAAGTAGACAACTTTTAAAGTTTGATTTTCTTTTAATCTACTAAATTATGCAGAATTTTATAGAAGTTACAAAAACAGTATACTCAAAACTTCAATTAAATTTGCATCATTTACTAGCTCACAGGAATTACCATGTGTTTAGTTTTTGTTGCTATGTTGGACAATCATTTAGATTATATAGGGCAATGATATAGAGTGGTGAAGTGTGACATCATCAAAAATCTAATTTTAGAATTTCTCAATTTGTTCTTCATTTTCCGAAAGAGCATAAAAAATAATGTCCAAATGTCGAAAGCCAATGGAATATGTTAAGTATTGGCTGAGATATGACCATCTGAATAAATATGTTTCATATAGGAACTCAATGTTATATGCTCTGGCTCCTAACTATTAGGAGCCAGAGCATGTAACATTGAGTTTCCATAGGGCATATATATTTTTTCAAGAGGTCATATCTCAGCCAATACTTAACATAAATTCTAAAAATAGATTTTTATGACGTCACAACTTCGGTACTCTATTGTAGAGAATAAGACCTCACGTGTGACTTAGCAAGCATACTCTGAATTAAACCAGCTAATATCATTCCTGTGTGTGCTTCTGCCACCAGATGGCGCACTCCCGCTCAAGCCTGGCCGTTTGGGTCACCCCTCCGCAGTGGTCCATCACCATCCCACCAGCGCCACCGCAACCACCACAGCCCTCTTACAGGTGGGAGGTCCCCAGTCCTCCAGAGACTACGCCATTGGTCAGAACCGGTCAACAGAGGGGCGGGGTCAAGGAACAACCAGGCCGGGGACCACACGGGGGTGTTGGGACGGGGCCAGAGTTCTACAAGTGTTGGTCTCGAGAACTCTCCCAGACAAAATCTGATGTCGTCTGCCTACATGCAGTGATGTTGATTTTATTTCTTTTAAATATCTCTTTTTTTTCAAGTGCCTTTAGTAATGAAATTCATATATCAGAAATAATTTGAAACATAATTTAAAACAAATCAGGAATTTGATTTCCACTTATCAAATCAAGATTTTCTCAGCAAATTTAAATATCGCAGATATATGATATATTATTTTTAGAATGAGACTGGAACCATTTTTGATTAAAGAGAGGAATATAATTGTTAAACTTAATTAGTTTCCAGTATTCTAGAAGCTGGTGTATAACTACTTGGCATCTGTAGAAGCTTTCATACAGGTGTCACAAATAGAATTTGTTAAAACAAGTTTTAATCATTTCCCTTTTTTTTCATTGCCCTTATTGATACAAGATTTTTTTCTGGGATAAGTGATTTTATTGTTAAAAACTCAATCTTGAATTTCAACATGAAAGATCGATCTGAAACCTGTTTATAATTATGTAGATAAACTCTAGCTGTTCGAATTGTAGATGACATTTAATTATGCAAAAGACAGTGGAAGGCCACACTGCTTTGGGAATTTCAGAATCACTGAGATTAAAAAAGAATTATCTATTGTATAACCATTCGAACATGTATGCATTAAGAGAACTAGGACAATTTACAGTCTTGCCTTTTTATTGTAAATGTTAATGCAATAGATTAACAGGTAGTCTGAATGTTGATATTGAATTTGATTTGCTCTACCGGTATATTGTATGGATGGATCATTTTCAGAATGTCAAGTTATTGGGATGCACCATCCTCCTAAGTTCTTTGTTTTGTTTTCCTATTTATTGAAATTATTATTTGTGCAATCCATCACATGCCAGCATTTTTTGATTGGACATGTAAATAGATATGAATTTTGTTTATTTCTGTCATTCTTTTGAGATCTCAAGGATATCTGCAAAATAATTCAAATGCCATCTGTGGAGAAAATTTTGTTTTGAAGAAAATAATGTTTTGTTTCATTAAGCTCCAAACTTAAAATCCCTCAATTTAAAATCAAATACAGATTTACTAAGTACCCCGAAGATGGAAGCTTTAGAGCTTGTTTGTTCTATTAAAAAAGTTATGTCTACTCTGAAAAAAAATGTAATGACGTTACTGAGTACAAATCTATGTGGAGTCGTTTCCCCTCCCCCAATTGAACTGTGTTTCACTGAGTCTGGATAAAGTAGACTAAACCTCACTATCCCAGAGTGCCCAGCCAGGTATATTTGGGTTTAGTCTATCTACTCCAGACTCAAGGATGGTGCAACATAAATACTGAGAATTTACTTCTCCTGATGCTGTTAGAAAAATCACTGCACTATTATATCAAAGTTAGAGCTGAGTGCTAATAATTACCATAATATTGTGCCTGTTCAAATACATTGTAGCTAATATCAACTCAGAAATGTAAGACGGATCATTGCTTTGTTTTAAATAAAATTAACATCTGAAATTGTATTGTCAGTGCTGCGATAAAATTGTTCCTGTCTGATATTGTGGAGATTGAAGTACATGTATATCTTTATGCAGAGAAAGGGAGAGAGAGAGAGAGAGAGAGAGAGATAGGGAGGGAGAGAGAGAGAGAGAGAGAGAGGGAGAGAGAGAGAGAGAGAAAGAGATTGGGGGGGGGGGGGTGGGTAGTGGGCAAGAGATTGATGATTATCACTTTCACCTATATTTTTAAATTTGCTTTCAATCCATCCATTTTAGTTTATGTACATAACGTGCCTATACCAGATTCTGATTCAAATATGAAATATCGCACACTTTTTCTTGAATTAACCAAAAATCATAGTTAATATTAACGAGCAAACGAGTTTATAAAAGTAATTTTCAGTCTCCGAAGGCACTCTCTATCTCCCTCTCTCGATCATTCTTGTCCAGTCTTTCTCTTCCTTACTGTCTCTCTCTTTTCTCCCCTTTCTCTTCCCCTATCTCCCCTCCCCCTCTCTCTCTCTCTCTCTCTCTCTCTCTCTCTCTCTCTCTCACTCTATCTCCCACTCTCTCTCTTCCACAGTCTTCCTGTCATTCCCCCTTCCTCTATCCTGTTTATCCCCCACTCTAGTTTTCTCTCTATCTTATTCCATTTCTTGATGTTGAGTCCCCGGCTACTGACAAATATGTATGATATGAAATAACATGATAGTGCATGTATGTAGGATAGCCAGTGAAATGTTACATGTATAGGGACCCCCTCTCCTCACCCCCTTCCAAATAATAAACTTGTTGATGTGTAAAGATACAGAGTTAATGACTTTATTCAATGCTCAAAAGTGACAGTGATGAATGTAAGTTTGTTATTGTTTTATTTCATGAACATGGTGCAAGGGTATAGAATATGAGAACCCCTCCCATATCTCTCTCTTTCTCTTTCTACCTCTCTATTTACCTACCCCCTCCCTCTCTCTCTCTCTCTCTCTCACATCCTATCATTCTCTGTCTCTCTCTCAATTAAAAAAAAATCTAACTCTTGTTATTTTCCCCCTCGTGTTTTTCTTTGAATATTTCTTCTGTAGATAAATGGGAAATCATTTCCTTCAAGCCCCTCTAAAGTGTTGGTAGCCCAAAAAATTTGATGGCAAAATTTCATTTTAATTATCATAATGTGAAGAAGGATTTCATTTAAGACACATTTATGCAAGGAATTTCAAAACAAATGTGTTGGACGTCAAATGTTGATGAAAGAATAAACATGTTAGGTTTTCTGCATACAACAGAAAACCCAAGTTAGGTATTCTTTGATCAATTTATGTCTTTAAACACATGTTTGGGGAAAATCTTTGCAGAAATGTGTCTTTAATGACACCCTCTTTCAAATTATGATACCATTTAAGTGAAATTTTGACATCAAATTTTTGGCCCGATCTTTAAGCAGAAACATCAATAACAAAAAAAATGAAATAGAAATTAGATACATTTGGAGGATGGGGGGGGGGGGGGGGGGCATTATTTTTGGTTAATACACACAACAGGGTCAAGTATAAACCAAAAATAATGCCTGCCCCCCCCCCCCCATTTTTTGCCACTGTAGTTATTTTGATTTCAAAATTATAAGTCACAACCAACATAGACCCTACAATGATTTTTTTTTAAAGCTTATCCCTCTGCCCGCCCCCGAGAATCATGGATCCCCCAAAGGTATCTATTATTTCTCTATCACTTTTTTTTTTTCTCGATGTTTCTGCTTAAAGATTGGATTAGATTTCGTAGGGAGAGTACGGGTTACCTGCCCCAAGTGCCCCCTCCCCCCTCCCCCTGAATCCGGCAATGGGGAAATTGAAGGGAAAAAAGTAGAAAGAAAGCTTTGCGTATGATATGATATCGATATCGTTCAATGACGTCATCAAACTTTTAATTCTGAAGATAAAAATAAAGATTTGCCACACAAATCATGGTCTACTACAAAAACCATGATCTACCGAGCAGATGACTTCTGGATTATCGAATTTTGAGATAAAGGCCTATAATTGACAGATCTTGATCTAGTTGTAACATCAAATAAAGTGATTCGTCGAACGTTGGGTTTATTTTTCGACTGATTCGTACTCCTCCGGCCTCCAGACTCTGCCTCATCCTCGCACTCGCACTTCGCAGCGGTAACGTATCGAGAGTTCTTGCCGTTCAGCTGCAGATGCTAGATGCTACGCAAGATCAAGAGTGAGTAGATCTAAGTTACAGTTAGTTGGTAGCTTGCCAGCGCATTTAAAATTGCACTGTAGTGTTACTTGGAAAGATCGACGATCTTTCCCACTAACCAGGACCTCACATCATTCCTGTCACGGTTGTTGATTCTGTTAGCTAGTCACATTCAAGTTTGTTAAGATGAAAATGGAGTGTGATCATGGTGATGCAAGTGATACTGATACACTGATAATATGATTTCTGTGTCCTTGTTTATTTGTAGTCTAGGCCAGTAGCGTACCTACGGGGGGGGCAGGGGGGGCAGTCTGCCCCCCCTGACGAGTGACAAGCAACAAAAACCAACACAAAGTCATCATCACCATGGCTGAAAGGTCTGATTGACAGGCAAAAAAATGAAAATACATATAAAAACGGTAATCACTAAGTCTATCACAAGCAAACACCAAATTGACGGAGGGGGGGGGGGGGGGGGAGGGGTTGCATCATTTTGCATAAACTATATACTTCAGGCTTCATACGTAGTACGCCAGCACGAGATCGTCGATTGCTAGTACATCGACCTGCTTACAGACGCCTATGAATGTTATGAGCACGGGGCCTAGGCTAGGCTGCGCCGCCCCTCCCCCGGTCAGGCGCGGCGCGCTAGGGTTCGTAGGCCGGCCGCTGGCCTGCCACGTGTATTCTAGCGCATTATAGCGCCACCACGAGCCAGCGCCATGGCATGCTGATTTGTCCAACGATCTTAAGTAGATCTGAAATGGCACCAAAGAAAGTCAAAAAGGTAAGCATGATCATTCATTTTTTAATATCAGGGTATTTTTAATCAAGATTTTGTAGATAACATAAACCTAATGAAAACGTACAGCTGAGTATGTCGGCTGTCGGGTGATGTAGGCTTAACTCTTTGATGGGACGGGACCTCCTTAGGAGCATCTCGGGGCCCCGGGCGGGTACGGGTACGGGTAGAGGCGTTGCCCGAGCTAGGTCATGCAGATGCTGATATTTGTGACAGTAGACTCTAATCATTTTAGTCTAGCTTGCATACATTAATGTAATGTTCTGGTTTAACAAAGACTGGGTGACACAAGACCTAATTAGGACATGGTTATATCCGAAATCATGTGGATGAATGCCAGCCCTTCTACTTTTTCAGCCTCTAAGATTCGACAACTAATAGTCGTTATTTTCCCACTTAAAGACATTTTCAAGCCCACTTTTTTTTAGGGAAGTTCTAAATTAGCATCGTCTTTCAAATGCCGTTGGAAACTTGGAATTTAACCTTTTCATTTTGTGGGCCTGCAAATTGGACATAGTACCTTTAAATAGTAAGGTGACTCTGCTAACAAAATCATAAGATAAGGACAACTTTTCAGTTTGATTTCAGATCATGAAAGGAAGAATAGTGAAATCCATTAATTGTTTTTTTTTTATACAGGGCTTGGCCACCTTGAAATCAAAACATCGTGATTTTGACTGCAACTTATCGAGTGCAAAACGTTGCAAATTGAGGGTGTCAGGAGGTAAGATTTTTATTTCCTTGCACATCTAACTTCTAAGTTGAAACATGAATAGGCCTGCCGCCTACTATTACTTTAAATTACAGTAATAATATGCTGTATGTGGGTGAGTGTGTGTATGTGTGACACAAAAGTGTTGAGCATCTCAGTTAAACGTTTTCTGGTTAAAGATAGAGGCCATGCATGGATGGAGTCAAAACTGGTTTAGGTCTTGGTCTGTGTCACATGTACAAAGTCTGTAAAAGACTTTTTTTTTATCCTGATGCCTTGTGAGTCACATAGTGACTCAAATCTGCTGGCCTCGACTCCATCATTGATAAAGGCATGCATTATTTTGAATTTCTGTAAATAGAACCAATGCAAATATGTAATATTTTTTCAAATCTTTAATCCAATATTACAGGCAGTCATCATGGTCGGCTCATATCAAATGCAGCCAAATGTGGTTTACGGATAAGGCGAGAAGTTCCTGGTGATGGGAATTGCTTCTTCCATGTGCTCTTAGACCAGTTACAAAGGGTTGGCATCAAATGTCAAGCAAACCAAAAAGAACTTAGAGAGGAGATATGTGAACACATGGAAAACAGTGTGAGTTTAATATAAATTTATCTTCAATTAGCTTCTGTTTTTTTTATTTTTTATTCAAGTACATGTATGTGATCAAGTAAAGGTGGAATAATGAATTTACAACCCAATTATATTAATAATAAAGTATCCAGAAAGTAAATACCATTGTAATTCAAGAGTTCTATTTGTTGATGGTGATGGAAATGTGACTCAGAAGTCAGAAATAAGCATTTTATTTTTAATTTTTACAATTTCAAATAAGGTTTGTACATTCTTTTCATATTTTTCTTTCAAAACTGAAAAACAAAAATAAAACAACACAAAACGAAAAACATGTAAATGTGTTAAAATGTAGAATAATACACAACAGATAGTTTGTCCAGGACAAGTTCAGTGAATGGTTTTGTATACCTTTTTGCAGGCAAATTAAAATATCCACAAAAATATCTGTATCATATGTTTTGCTCGTTTGTGTATGTTTCACTTAGGCTTCTAAAGACATGGCAGTGATGGCACACATAGTGACTCCTGATTATATTCAGGAAATGAGGAAGGATGGGACGTGGGGAGGAGAACCTGAAATCATTGCATGTGCCAACAAGTATAGAGTGAACATCAATGTAATAACAAGCGCAGAAGGAAGCACCGAAGCAGGGTTTATAATGCACAAGTACAAGGCAACAGGAGAAGAGGCAAATGCTGAACTGATGACGTTGTATTTTGGACATGTGTTTGAACAACACTATGTAAGCCTAGGTAAGAACTATCAATAATCCAATATGACTTTAACCCTTAATTATACCTTATGAGATTTAGCATACCACTTTCAGAGGATAGCATTCTCTGCTCTCTCCTAAGCATGTCTAGGACAGAAACTGTTCTCATATTCACAGCTTAGATATAAATTTGGTTGTGTCTTCAAAAACAAAAACAAAACAAAAAAATCCCTTGATTGTTTAAGATGATATTGATGCAGAATTGATTTCATGCATGTACTGGCCTATTGATAAAATGGAAGGCCAAAGGTTCTTGAATATAAATTGGCATTTTTCTTCTATCAGAAAGTAAAGTTGCAGAAGATTTATTAAGTGTTTGTACACATAGCTTATGATGACAATAACAATAATAAAAATAATAATAAACCATTCTTATAAAGCTCATACTACTACTGATATTAAAAAATTATACTAAAAAGAAGAAGAATGATAATAACAACAGTGACTTTAATATATCAATACAAATTATAATGATAATGATAATAATAATACAAAAAGAAGATTTATTTAGCCAGGGTAGTTCATTTATTCATTATGTGAATGTTCTTGTTTTGACTGTATGATCTGCATCATAATGGAGCTTCTTTATAGTATTTTCATAGCACACTCATATTTTTGAAAATAAGAAAAGTATATATTGTTATTCCCAAATATTGTCCAATATGTATCTACCCAGCTCATCCATTTCCTACAATGTCTAACCTCCTCTCTCCCACCCCCTCCCCCCCAGAACCAGTTGAAGCAAGTTCAACCTTGAATACTACATCAGAAACAACAGAAACGCCAAGTTCATCTAGTGCCCGAAACCCGAGTGAAAATCATCCATCTAAAAAGAAATTTCACCAAAGTAGTTTAATGGATTTGTTCCTCAGCCAACGAAGAGGGTCAAACCAAGGTATGTCATGGTCAATCAGCAGAGATGTCAACCACTAAACAAGTACAATTTTATCGTATTTAGTACAATAAAAAAAAGTGAAGTACGATAATACGATATCGCCTCTTGAAAATACGACTTTTCATCTTTCAAAAAAATATATATATATATCAACCGCGGAATCCCATAGAAACATGTACAAGTAAACCCCTGCATGCCCAACAAAAACGTTGAACAGTTATGGTGCGATCAAACCTTTCTTGCTTTTTGTTTTTATTTCATTCAGTTCAGTGTAAATGCTCGAACCAATGTTCCCAATTTATTACCAAGGTACAGTAAATCAAATTGCACCAAAGGGTAGAAAGAGGACTGGCAGAAGGTTGAAAAGATCTAAGCAAGGTCCTAATCATTGCGATAATGTATTGAAATAATAAAAATAACAGAAATGGCATAACTGACTTCCTTTTATTTACATTTTTTTTTCAATTTTATTTTTAGGATGCAAACCAGATGCTCCTCATGTTTCACTTGACAATGACGAGGGTACAAGTGAAAGGCCCAATGCTGAAGAAGATGATAATGCTGTATCTACTCAACCAGATCATGAAGGTGAACAGAATTGAAAATCTTATTTTCTGTCCTGATAGTTGTATATATTATGTATAAATATATATTATGTATAAATATATATACATTGTTTTCTTTCTTTTATATATTTATATTTCCTCTTTTATATATTCAGCCATTTATCCTAATTTAATTACAAAATAAGTTCTTTCATTACTTTATATTCATCTATTAATGGCTAAGTGCAATATGCATTAAATTGGGAAACAAATTAAAATAAATCTAGCAAGTGTTTTGATTAATTGAGTGAGATATTCCACTCAAAATTGCCATATGTTTAGTTGCTCAGACAAAGATTGAGGAGGAGGGGGGGGGGGGTTACTAGGGCAACTTTGGGATGACAGGAGAGAAAGGGAGAGAGAAAGAAACACTAGAAAACGGGGGGGGCAGTATCCCTAAAGAAATAGAAATACTGTGTAATTATTCATTGTAAATTCCACCTCTTTTTTAAACTGCAGAACATAAGCCTGGTAGTCCTGATACTCCATGTGTTTCACTGGATGACGATGACGATGAAGCTGAAGATGATAATGCTGTATCTACTCAACCAGATCATGAAGGTGAACAAAATTGAAAATCTTATTTTCTGTCCTGATAGTTGTATATATTATGTATAAATATATATTATGTATAAATATATATACATTGTTTTCT